TGGTATTAGGGCATTATAGAGGACTTGTTATGGTAAATACTGCTCTTAATGTCGCTTATCTTGGGTAAAGAAAAGAACAAATGCATCCATACTTCAAGAGCTGAATATTGAAGAGGGTTGGCTAATAAAACAAAGAAAATTGAAATATTTTGGTCACTTGAAACGTCATGGAAGTCTAGAGAGAACAATAATGGAGGGGTATATGCCTGGGAAGAGAGGAAGAGGAAGGCCAAGGAGAAGATGGGTGCAGGATGTGGCAGATGATCTCCAGATGGGTGTATCAGACGCAGGACATCTTGCTCATGATAGGAAGGTTTTCCGGAGGGTTGTTATGGCAGCGAGGTTCCGCGAGGGACATGCTACTGAATGAATGTCGCTTAAGGTTCACAGTCGATTTCCCCAATCCTTTCTTCTATTCTGGTTTGTCATCAAAATACTTTTGGCTTATTGTGTTGTGATTTACAGCTAGGCTGTGATGTCTGCTCCATTTTAGCCCAAGAGATTGATTTCAACAAATCGCTAATGACTTTTAAAAAATTACATGCTGTTAAAAAGCATTAAATATATTCTCTTAAGCAAATGTTCAAGCTTCGTAAAAGTAGTTTATCATTGTGCCCATTAGGGCTGTGGGGTAAACTCCTCAACAACATCCAAAAAAAAAAAAAACCCAGTCAACTGTTTCAGAAGAGCTCGTATGTCAGTGTAAATCAGACAGCCTTCAAATGAAGAAAAATACAAATTACTACTATTTAAGGGTACAACATGGGAGTCAGACAAATAAAGTCTAAAATAAAATCTCACACCACACGGAGATATGAAGAAAAACTGACAAAGCTGTTCTCGGGTACAAACAAGAAGGCTTTTACCTTTGTTGGCTTGCTGGTATCCACTCCTGCTGTCTGGAACGCTTCTGTAACATCGAATTTCCAGAGAATTTCATTGGACCAAGGCATCTCTTTGGAACTTCCCAGCAGGTAGTTTCTACCAGCAGAAATTTTATCACCCTTGTCATTGTATAGCCAAACCTGAACAGATAAGTCAGTTGTTAATCGGGCATCTCAGGGTACTTATTACAATCAAATTATCTGCATATATTCTGGAGAGATGTGGCTTCATGTCTGAATGGTGACAACACCAACTTGTACTAGATTCATCGAGAAACAGCAGATCAAGTGTTTTGGCCGTCTCGTTAGAATGCCCACAGGCACTACTTCTCAAAAGATCAGCTATAAGAGAAAGAGGACGACCATGAAATAATGGATCGACAACATTAAAGACACTATATTGATCTTCGTCTTCAAGGCATGATAGTAGCCAGTGTCAGCCAGCATGCATTAGAATGCAAATGATTCCTCTCCAGGCGCTTCTCGTCAAGATTGGTACACGAGGATGATGATGACGAGAACACAATGGATTTAAAAAAAAAAATTATGAAAATTTATTGAAAAACAACCCACAAAGAGAGCTGATAATTCGAATCTGAAAGATTACATTGCAGAAAAGGGGTGAGGGTAGGGGGAGGGGAGTAAATAGACCATGGCAATAAGAAAAGTTGGAGTGGAAGCGAGGCGAAGGACGAAGATGCTGAGTAGGTCAGCATTGTGATGTGGACAAACATATCTAACAGAAATGCTTGACAAAGTACGAGACATAAGTATATGATTATAAATGCTACAAGGTACTTACTAAGATGATATTCACTAAGACTAGTTTGCTGCTTAGATACACAGGACAAAGCAAAGTAACTTGCTTAACAGAATGTAATGGTAACAGAAAATACTTAACTATAATATGGACAAAGAAAGCACAAACAATAGATTGTGGAATTTATTGCCTGGCATATTTTGCTGTATCTCGTCAGGTGCAAACTACAGTAACATTTATATAAATGAAGCAAATGAAGCAATCCTTTATGAATGAAATATGCCAGGTATAAACGTTGCAGTCTACTGTTTGTGTCTTTGCTTTAATTAACTATAACAGTCAAACAGTCCTAACAAACTCAAGTTAATCAGTTACATTTATGATGGTTTGGACATGTGGAGAGAATCGACCACCATAAGTGGCCAAGGACCATGTAGCTACTTAAACAGACAACTAGGGTGACCCAGGCTTTGCTGTGAAGACAACATCCGACAGTCTCTGACTGACAGTGAACTCAGGTGGAACAAAACCAAACATAAAACTGCTGATTGAGAAGTCTGACGATCTCTCTGGCAAACCTCTACACCCCAAGGTGAAAGAGGAACGTGTAAGTAAGTAAGTTTTTAAGGACACAGCCGTGAAAAGTAGCCATACCTCAGTGTAAAGAGACAACCCAACACCATAGGCGGCGCCACACAGGTAAATCCTGGTCTTCGAATTACGGTTCTTGATAATGTCCTCCAGTTGATCAATCTGGTAGCCACTAATCTGTATACTGTCGTACTAGAATAAATGCAAAAGAAATATATGCAATTTTGTTATAAACTTAACAATTTATAATCCAACTTTTTTTTTTCTACGTCTTAAAGCCAATGCTTTATGGCTTTTGTAATTACATATGTCCACAGCATTATGTTTCATCAATCTTCTGTAATACAAATGCCGACCCTTCCCTCCAGCTTTCTAGCGGTCACAGGCTACAGTCCTGCGCTTTTCACTGTGTTTAACATTACTGATGGTACCTGTCTCATGTGCAAAATGGTGCTCTGAAACCAGTACCGTTGCACTTCAATTCCCAGCATTACTAAGGTGTCCTCGACATGGAGGTGACAGCCATTAAATCCAGCCATTCCAGCGACAGAGTCCACAAGTCTCTAGGGACTTTAACACCCTCTGGACTGAATTGCCAACACAGTTTTATTTAAACTCCTAGGGGATTGAACAGCCCTCACAGTTTTACCTCCAACCCCCCAGTTACGGCCCCTGGTACACTAAAGGGGGTATTTATTCACTTTTTCTGCCGAGAGACCGTCCCAGCTGCTTCGAGATACCAGCTAAGTGATTTTATGTTTCTCTGTAGTATTGTTTCATCTGTATGTGCTGATAAAGGCTCAATAGCCGCAACTTTCACATTTTGTTTGTATTTGTTATATTGTGAAGATTGCTTATACACTTTTACTTCGGTTTTATATCTTTTCTTTATATTCTGTCACAATCTGATAATATGTCCGTCTTGTCATTCTTCTGAGGGTAGTGAGCCAGCCAGACCCTCTGGTTTCACTCTGGTGCCTCATTCTCTCCAGGTCATACTTATCTTCTATATCTACTAATTCCGTTGCTTGTTCTCAAAGGGCCTTGACGATATCTGCCTTGTAATGTATCAAATCATCACCCAGTGGTGTCAATATAGCCAATCTGTCTCGCTGTTCATTAAGCACTACGCCGGCACGACTGGAGAAAAGATCCAAAGTATGCTCACTAACCATGACCTTTTCAGTGAAGCTTGCCACTCTGCTCAAAGCATCCCTGACTGACTGACTGACTTTCTACCCCACTAGGACATCACACAAACGATTAAAACCCGATGACACAAAGTGCCACCATGTGGACGAGGACCGCCGTGGAGAGGTCCCAGAAACAGCGTTCAGACAATTGGCCACAATTATGGCCTGCCTATATTGCGGCCCCTGGCAAAAGCCAGGTTGGGGCTTACAATAACAAAAAAATTCCTCCTAAAAAAAGACGAAACTGTAAGATGTAATAGTAAACTAGATAACAAAGCATCCCTGTCTTCACCTTTCTCAGCATGCTTGCAGAGACTGTTACAATGTCTGGGACAGAAAATGCATAACATTTGAATGTTCTAGGGAGAAAAAAAACAGCACATACTTCATATCCCAGGCGGCTGTAGTCGAAGATAGAGTTAGGGACTGCATTTTGCTGAGTTATAGCGATGGTGTTGACACCGGGGTAGTCGAAGGGATGTAGTGGCTTGTTGAACGAGTAGTCACCACAGTCGACACCAGAGAACGGTTTGTGTCGGCGTTTTTGTAGTTCCTGATGAGAAAATACATTCATGTATGAATACATATCTCAGTTATCTTCTACTATTTGTTCTATTTAGGAGGTATGTCATTCATATGCTAAATGCAGAACATCTAAACTTGTAAATCCTTTTCATTAGCAATGTGGTGTAGAGGTATCCAGCCTACAATAGGTGCATGGAGGAGAACTGACTCACAAACAGCGTCCTGTCACAAAGGCTGAGCTATGATGGACATATGGTGGCCTGGAGAGAATAGTGATGGAGGGTGCAGGAGGCAGAGGCAGACCTCCCTGAAGGTGGATACAAGACACCGAAGATGCATTAGCTATGATCCTAACGTGGGTTTCGGGCCCCATGTGGGGAGAACAAGAATACACCCACTGTCGCCATAACAAGCATGTCGTAGGAATCACCTAATTAGGGGTTTCCTGTATAGTCAGAGTTCTCTGAACGACAAACAGGAAACCAACAGTCTGCAAAACAAAAAAGCCAGATCTGTAAAATGAATGTGTAATGCAACACTCAAGTTGTGGAACAGGACTGAAGTCTAGAAAAGGACAAACAACCAAATCTTTGTGCCGGAGTTTACAGCAGTGAATATGAAGAAGAAGAAAAAAAATAGACTGGTATGAGAATTGAAGTCTTTAAAGCGTTTCATGACACCACCGACATTCTTTAAAATTTTGAGTATTGAGCACCATCGGTCCAACCTGCCATTGGTGTGATAAATTCTTTTACTTGTTACTTTACTTACATACTTTCACAAGAAACAAACGAAGGAGACTGAAATCACGCCGGCTGACAGAAGAGCTCTAGTTGTTCATGTGGACAGAACGATTTACATTGTTGCTTAACAAAGTTTAAACATAAAGAGCACACATTCCATACCCGATGAGCCATTTGCATCAAAAAGGTCCTTTACAAAAATATACATGCACAAGTACACTAAATCTTTAGATGCTGAATTACCTTTGTTTGTTTGGTAAAACACTTCTTTGAATTAGAAAAAAATTGAAATAATTTGACCTACCTGCCAGAGGACCCAGATCCTGTCCATGCTTGAGTGAACAATCATGAAGATGGGATCAAACGCTGAGTAATCAAGGGTGGACATTGAGTAGGTATCGGAACCTCCAATGAAGAAATGGACTCTGTTGTGTAGGAACTCCAGCATGATCTCAAAGTTACAGAAGTCCACCTCTTCCAGAGCATCCAGGGTCAAGGAATACAAGAGCGTGTGGCCATCTGAGGTGTTGGTGCTGAAGAGTTCTTCTAGAGGGCTGCGGGTTGTCTTCTGAAATATCAGATTGTAATTCGTATAAGATGTACTAACGTGCTCCTATCCTCCTTCCTCTTCCTCCTCCACCTCCTCCTCGTCATCATCCTCTTCTTTGTTTATGTTTTCCGTTTTTGTCTTTATTCTCTCTTCTTTTTTCCCACCTCCTCCCCCCTCCCCTTCTCATCATCACAATAATGATCTTCTTCTTCTCCTCCTTCTTCTTCTTCGTCCTACTTTTCTTCATCATCATCATTATCATCTTCTTCTTCTTCTTCTTCTTCGCTTCCTTGTCCTACTTTTCTTCTTCGTCATTATCATCCTCATCCTCATCATCGTGATCATCAACTTCTTCTTCTTCTTCTTCTCCTTCTGCTTTTGTCATTAGCCAATGGAGCGTATGCTCCCAGCCAACCAGTATTTACCCCTTTAGAGATATTTATGTTAAGTTAGTTTTGCTGCCAACTTCTTTTTTTTTCTAAATTTTTTTTTTAAATTTTTAAATTAACAGGAGATGGCCCAGTTTGACACTCTTCTAAAAGAAAGGGTATAATAAAAAGTAAACTGTATAGAGTTCCTGATTCTTTACAACATCTTGACTAGTCGTACCTGGCCAGCAAAACCAATAGTGTAGCTGCTAAAAGGATTGTCGTTGCCAGAGTCTGTCAGGAAGGGAGGCAGTGCTCTGCCTGGAGCTGTCCAGTCCCAGTAAGGTACACCAATAACGGCCCCATGCTCCTTCAGAGCCTGTTCAAACTGGACAGTAAACAGACGATGCCAATGTGGGAAAACCGGCATTCCTAAAATACAAAACAATATTTGTTCCATGTTGTAAATGTAAATAATGTGGACACAAACAATGCAGTGCACACAACAGCAGAAATGCACAGCAAATAACTTGTCCAATGTATTGTTTATGCCTACATTTTTTTAATTTCCGAAATAGTGAAAAGTTTAGCTTTATCAAATTCTAAAGGTAATATAGTAATAATTAAGTGACGGGTATTTGCTATCACCACAGTCTGGTGATATTGAAGCAGCAGGGAGTGACGAGAGGTTCTGGCAGATGCTCGAGGCGCAGAGGAAAGGCAAGATGGAGTTTAATCAGAATGCTACTGGCACCATTACTATCGGAACTCTTCGCTGGCTGCTGAAGATGGGGACGGAGCGCTTATGGGAATGCTCCGAGTGCTGTGATGTCGGTTCTTGAATTAAATCAAATCAAATCATTTGCTATCATTATATTTCACTAGGTGCGGCGTCCGTGGCTTAGGAGTTGCGAGTCCGACTCGTAAATCCAACGTACAGCAATCAAAACCTACTGCTGGCTGTGTGGATTTTTATCATGGTATGTGACGTCGCAGGATGACCCAGCCTAAAATGGGTACCAGGATGTATGTCCAGAGGAAGTAAAGACAGCCGGCGTAATGCTGACCACATTACTCACCTAGTCCCGATTGGTAGTAAAAATATGGGTGCTCTTCCCATATACACGATGCGCCTTATGGCATAAAAATGAATCTTTATGTTTATATTTCACTAGAACTGATACATTTTTTTTAGAAGTAGGAGAAAAAATGAAAAACATACAAGAGGTGATATTTCTGTGCATTTTTCTGCAGGCTTTCTGTGATCATCATCATCGAGTGCTTTACTGACTGGAGTTTGCGAACATGCGTCTTCACAACTTGCGATCTGCTTTGTGCAAAGGCACGATTTGCCTGATACAAATACAGCGGTGGTTTCCTCCGACCTTCCATTGCTGTGTAGTGTATAGCCTGGTGTGTTTTCATAATCCTAAACTTCAAGCATAAGTTTGAAGGGGGAGGTAATCATTGAAGAGGATAGCAGAAAATAGAGTTACCAGAAGAATTATAGTGTATGATTCTCAGAAGTACTGTGAAAGGGTGAAAAAGAACCAATGTGTCGTGAGCTGATACCAAGCTTCAGCAAATCAACATTACACACAGGCATAATGTCAGGGACCAGCAGGAGTGTGAGGAAATAAAAGAGCAGAATGTCTGGCCACAAAAGCGACAACTACGGGAGCATTCGTACTGGATAAAGGAGACATTCTTTAGACAATGAATACATGAAGGCTATACAACGGTAGATGAAACAACACGCGTAAGGATGTGTGGTCAAACAATTATGTTTGATGCCATACTAAATTACGTATGATAGGAAGAGAAGGGCGTTTGAATAATCAATCAGTGGGCTATGTGGTAGTTAGCATTAACAGCTCAAGACAATTGCAGTCGGAGTCGGAGAATCTATAGACATTCTTGTGAGAGAAGCTAAGGGGGACCGGTAACGACCTTAAACGCACAATCATATTTGTCTATGGACATTCTTGTGAGAGAAGCTATGACCGGTAGCGAGCTTTAGTCTATGGACATTCTTGTGAGAGAAGCTATGGGGGACCGGTAGCGACCTTAAACGCACAATCCTATTTGTCTATGGACATTCTTGTGAGAGAAGCTAAGGTGGACTGGTATCGACCTTTAACGCACAATCCTATTTGTCTATGGACATTCTTGTGAGGGAAGCTATGGGGGACCGGTAGCGACCTTAAACGCACAATCCTATTTGTCTATGGACATTCTTGTGAGGGAAGCTATGGGGGACCGGTAGCGACCTTAAACGCACAATCCTATTTGTCTATGGACATTCTTGTGAGGGAAGCTATGGGGGACCGGTAACGACCTTAAACGCACAATCCTTTTTGTGAACTTTAACGCACAATCCTATTTGTCTATGGACATTCTTGTAAGAGAAGCTATGGAGGACCGGTAACGACCTTAAACGCACAATCCTATTTCTGACTTAGACGGGACTAAATGTTTAGCATGACTGATGTCGAACGCAGAAGGAGAAGAAATATGGACATTCTTGATGTACTAAAATGTTGATTCCTAAATCATTAAAACTTAGCACTATTTATTCCGGTGTGATGCTGACCATTTCCCGCATCTTGTGCTGATCGGTCTATAAAACACATGTCTAGCCTTATATGCCCCATACGCCTAAAGGCATGGAAAAGGGGTTCCTTTACTTACTTACTTCACTATTTGTTCAAGTGCAAAGACATTTTACTTATATTATTATCAGGGTTTCCTAATGTGTGTCCTACCCAGCATCTGCACGTTTTCCTTACCTCCGAATTAAACTAGGATTTGAATAGTTCTTTCTTTGTGACATGTGAATGCGATAATTGTTTTAAATGTGATATATTCCTTTAGTAAAGTAGAATACCTACCATGGACACAACAGGCGTATTTCTGGTCTCCATTTTCTGGGCACAGAAAGGGAGCTCCATGAAAGCCGGCAATAGCCTCATATCCGCTTGGACCTTGATCTTCCTGAAGTTTGTGCAGGGCATTCTTCAGGTTGGCGGCTTGCCCAAGGGTTAGCTGGTTCACGTTCTTCCTCAGTAACTTATCAGATGGTACAACAGTTGTCTCTGGTACTTCACGCCTGGGACCTGCAAAACATAAAAGCTAGTTTTTTTGTATTTAAACATAATAATCATCTCGTGTCATGTAGCTAACTGAGATAGTCGACTCTCATGACATGCTTGCTGGTTAGGCAATGGGTCTGTTATTGTCTTCCCCACAATGTGACCCCAGAACTCACAGAGAGGTGGGGGGGGGGGGCGTATGTACTGCCCCCCCTGTTTTTAATTTTTTTTGTCATCAAACCAAGCTATTTAAGTGTGTATCAGTGTCTTTCTAACTACCCTTTCATCATTAACTTTTCTTTGTCACTAAAACCATGTTTAATTTTCTTCATCAATCAATTAGGTGCCGTCTCTACAATAAAGTTTGGCTGCAATGGATCTCAGACAAACTCTGTCTGTTCTCTGGTAATACACTCTCTCAGATTGTTGTTCTGCATCGCATGATGTTGTCCTCCCACTTGTATCATTGTACCCTCTTGCTTTCTTGTTCATGTGGTACGTTGTCACTGCTGGCATAGTCATATTTATTGTCAGTTGATGGCTGAACCTATTTCAGTTTTTCGTTCCTCATTTACTTTAACGATGTGAATTATTCCAAAAGTTCTTGTGATCACTTCATCTCTCATTCGATTTCTTGGTTCTTTGTCAGGCAAAATCACCATAACTACACGTCCTGCACAAGTTCTTTATCTACATTTACAACTGCGTAAACCCAACTAGGTTTTCAACCATTTTTCTTCAATAATTTTCATGCACATTGATGGCGAGTAACACAGCCCAGTCTGTAAAACTTATTCTCTAGTGACAACTGTAGGTATACATATGGTATTGACATTATGCACAGTGTTCAAATCTTCTTTGTTTTCACCAGTTGTAAACTCCAGTGGAAAGTTCTGGTTGTTCGTCCACTTCTGGACTTTAGTATTGTTGCAGAACTTGAGTTTTGCAGGAACATCAATTTTACAGGTCTGGCATTTTTGTATGCATACTGCTGGGTACTTGCCTCTCAGGCAGATGTACTCAGATTTGGAAGCAAAAACCTGTTTAGTCAACTTGCTAGGGACAGTAGATCTATAATTTTTCCCACCACATTTGGATTCTGGATAATAATTCTACTACACACATTATGCAATCATTGTAAATGAATAAACTACTTGCATTCCCTAAAGGGTCAAGAAAACCTTTAATTAGTTGACTCTTACGACATGCTCATTTGGGAGGCCCTGGGTCTATTCATGCCCACCCCATCAATGAGGATCCCCCAACCCACACAGGCTCTTCCGGTTAAAATGGACGCTAGACAGCGGCGCCGTTCGGAACAGAGGCAAATTGTTTGCTTCTGCCGGACGGTGGCCGATGCATTTTTGCTCCATTTGTAGACTGGATATAGTTTCGTCGCCCAGCTTCTGAGTTGAATGCATGGCGTGACCCTGTGAGCTGCGGATTGCATTTGGAATGTTTTTTCGACTGTGACCAACGTGGTGGTGTGAATTGTAGATTCAGAAAATGGCGCGATGCCTGTCGTTCAATGCTGGCGGGACCCGTATTGAAATTGATCACGCGGACAACCACGCGGACAACTGCTGATCTGTTGACGACAAGTTCTGCTATCATCAATGATGAACTGCGTTTCTAATGCTGGACTGTTTGTGTTAGCACTTCGGATGGCTACCATATGCTTTAATGCGAGAGTATGCTAGATATGCTGAGACAGCAGTCTGTCAATCTTTCCACAAGGGACTGTGATAGACATTCTGAGTGTTTTTCGCTGGCACAGGAGCGGAGCAAAGATGGGGCGACCCGTTTGCTATGAAGCTGAAACTAAGACTACCAGACTACCAGACTACCAGGGAAAATATCTTCTCCCACTATGTGAAAACACCGCTCATTCCTACTCACCCTTTGTGCCAGGGACGAACCGGACACTTGGTGGCTTGATGAGATGACTGTCCAGTTCCGTTCCATTGACGGCTACAATGTGATCCACAAAATGGTACTCGGAATCCGCCTGCAGGTGCAGCTTATTGAACACATCTGTAACGTCATACCTAAAGAGTCGATCGAATGCCCATGGCATCTCCAGAGGACCTCCCAAAACCGCGAATGTCCCTGAAAACGAAAACTATTTTTAGTTTGTCTACAGTGTATTTTGTCACAAACTTTAAATATAAAATAAATAATCAGTAACGTCAGCAATAGAGGAATGATATGTCAATAATATTGAAGAGGATAATCGTCTCTTCTTTATTTACCTCGGGTAACTTTTTTTATACTATGCAACAGCAACAGCCATGAAAGCCATAAAGTTTGTTATTTCATAGAAGTTTAAAAGCTACGATTTTCTTCTTTACGCATTAGGCAGTTATATTATTCATCACAGCGATACTATATCAACAATGAATGCAAATAACTGGTTATTACAGGTGTCTCAGACTTGCAAAAACAATGCCATATAAGAATTTAATATTCTCAACTTGTCTGAATTGATCTAGCCTATCGAACAAATCACTTGCCCTCCTAAAAGATCTCAATGAAAACTTAAATTAGTCGACTCTTACGACATGCTCATTAGGGGAGGCAGTGTTATTTTATAACTCTCAGGCATGTCACAACTAAAATCCAGGAATAACTGGGAATTTATTCTCTAATACACGCAATAATAATACCCAAGACATACCAACTAGCAAGCAATGGGCTAAAGCGTGATCCTAGAAGCTTTCCAGACAAGCCTGATGGATAAAGCTAGCTAGTTAGTTAGTTAATTAGTTAGTTAGATAGTCTTTTATCTAGAGCCCAAGGTGGCGCATAGGGCAGAGGTCATAGCTCTCCATGTCTAGTGGTTCGTTGCCCTCTGGTTAAGAAACTTAAAAATCTTAAAGCTCTATAAATATAGGGATGATAGTGTCGCTTAAATTTTAGTAAAATAAACAATAAAGAATGTGTCTACCAAATCCCATAAATTATTTTATATTGTCCTGTTAAAGGCTTTATTTAAAGAAAATAGCATTTATGAACGAAATAAAAAGGAATTTGCTGAAGCCCTTGCAGGCTGTGAGGCCCTAAGATGCAGCATTAATGCTTATGCTAAGTCCAGCCCTGTCCTAACCTTAACCCCAAACTGAACCTAAACCTAACCACAAAATGAACCTTACCCCAACCAGAACCTAACCCAAACCCAAATCTCAACATGAACCTAACCCTGAACCTGACCCAAAACCCTAACCCCAACCGTAACCTAACCCAAACCTTAATCTCAACATGAGCCTAAAACTGAACCAAACCCTAACCACAACCTGCATCTAACACAAACCTTTACTCCAAAGTGAACCTATCCCAGACTTTTACTCCAACATGAACCTAACCCAAATCCTAACTCTAGCCTGAACCTAACCCAAACTCTAACTCCAACCTGAGCCTAACCCAAACCCTAACTCCAACCTGAACCTAACCCAAACTTTTACTCCAACCTGAACATAACCCAAACCCTAACTCCTACCTAAACCTAACCTAAACTCTAACCCCAAAATAAACCTAACCCAAAACCCTAATTCCAACCTAAACCTAAAACAAACCCTAACCTAAACGAAACCCTAACCCCAATCTCAACCTAACCTAAACCCTAACCCCACCCACCTACAACTGAAAGTTGAGATTGACCCACCGGCAAAAGCACAATGGTTAACCTCATCGCAGAGATCAAAGGTCACATCTGCACTGGTCTCAATGCCATGGAGCAGAAATTCGGCAAAGATGCGATCGTGGCTTTGACGTTCCTCTAGGATGTCGTTGAGTTCAGAGATGGTATGACCATGGAAGTTGAGGTCATCGTACTGGTAGCCCAGTCTGAATTCAGAAACACAATCAATGAAATAGAAAGCAAGACAAACAGGGTAGATTGTGACCTAACTGATTTTAAGCACACATGTAATTGACATAATTAATTTAGAATTGAAACTTTTAAAAAGTTAAATGTAGAATATCTCAAGCAGAGGCAGCATTTTACAAAATAAAGATAATTTTATTCAATCTTTTTTTTTTTTTTTTTCAGTCGAGACAAGAAAAATACTCTTAATAGCTAGATAAAGCCTATCTTGATATAGCAACAGTTGGTAAAACAGTGAAAACTTGACTGGAGCAGCGGAGATGTGGTTTTATTGACAAAGGATAAGAATACGCTGGACAGATAAAAAGAGTAACAAAGATGTCTTGAAAGAAATTGACACACGAAGAGAACTGATTGCCCACATCAGAAAGAGGCGATCTACATTCTTTGGTCAAATGTAAAGGAGAAAACAGGAAAGTTGGAGGGGATGAGAGGCAGAGGAAGACCGAGAGAAAAGATGCTGGACAGTTTGACATCATGGCGTGAGAGATCATCTGTGTCAAAGTTGAATGAAAGTACACGAGACAGAAGGTTGTGGATAGACATCACTACCAACACCACATAGGATGGTCTTTAAGAAAAAGAAAACTCTGCCTACGACCTGCATTAGTGTTTGTTGACAGCGAAATGCAGTCGTGTGTATAATCAGTGTCATACGGGAAATGTAAGCATCTACACCTTAAGATATTTGCTGTGGGAGACTGAGCACCTATCATGCCCCGTGTGTTATGATGTCCATTCTTAAATCAGTTATCAGAAATACATGCAATCCCTAAAAGAAATATGGTTTTTTTTTCTTAGCTTTTCTCCTGACTCCTTTTTGCTTTTCAGAGTCAGATTTTGAAGTGGCATTTGGTGTGAGCCTTTGTATGTGTGTGTTAACGTAGATACTGGTGTTTATTGCTTGGAATATTTCACCTCTATTTAGCCTGGGCGACCTCTAGCTTCGCTTCTGTTATGTCTTAGTGACAGGGCTCTAGCAGACCATTTTTAGTGCATGTCTGAACCATTTGGTCTGTTGTCTCTGTTGTAGCACTTTTGCTTTACCAACTTATTGAGTCATTTCCGGCTTTTGTCTCTTATCGTTAGATTCAGGATTCCTTTTGCATTTATTTCCTGTATGTTTATTTTGATGTATTGCTTGTTAATGCAGTATGCAAGCAAGTTTTGCGAACTAAACCATAATTGGCAGGATTTACTCGCTTATTTGTGGTCTAGCGGGGGTAAATGTCATTTTTGTAGTTTGTCTTTGCTTTCTGAACATCTTCTTCTTCTTCTTTTGTCAAAATCTGCTTGTGCCGCTAGGCGTCGCAGTCTATCAGATGATCGGCAACCGAGCCAGGGCGCGCTCAGTCGCTTCATATGCCGTGATGTTATGAAGTCTCAAGTTGTCCGTGACTCCTTCAATCCATCTTCTTCTTGGTCTTCCCCTGCCTCTTGTTGTTTCGATTTTCATGTTGTATGCTCTTGATGCTGGCATCGTTGGTTCCATTCTCATTAGGTGACCAAACCATTTCATTCTTTGCTTCTCAATAAATTTAACGATGGGTATGGTTCCAATAGTTCTTGTAATCACATCGTTTCTCACTCGATCTCTTCTGGTTTTTTCTGAACATCAGCTCCCAAAATTAACATAGTGTAGTAATATACAGAAAAGTAGACACTCTCATGGTGGCAAAAAAAAAAAAAAAAAAAAAAAAAAAAAAAAAATTCAAGGACACTTTACAAGTCCCTTAAAGCCGTCAATAAAAACTCTGACACATGGGAGGCTGCTGCAAAGTCCGGACTACACGGCGAACCTCTCTAAAGAGGGACAGGGACCTGCGAGGCATTTAGAGAAAGAGCAGCTGAACAGTTAGGCAGGTTAGAAAGACCCATATGACGGGCGCTTCTTTTACAGACACTGTTCCCTTCCCAGATTACCCTAGATCCTTCCGGGTTCGTGTTGGGCTTATAAGACACCTCCGAACTCACAAATAATCATCTATCGATTAATTACGGATAACAGAAAGATTTGTCCTCCTCATTTGTGATGGACGAAGAAAAACAACGAACAACAGTTGACAAAACATGTCTTAACCTGTCATAATTAAAGGCATCACTAGCCCGAGAATTTGCGTGTGTGGTTGGGTTGACGTTATCCTCATCGCTGAAGGGTCTCATCGGCTGATGCAGAAGCTGTACGGCACAGTTGGCACTGTTGTATGGCAAACCTCTGAACTTCTGCAGGGCTTGCCAGATTGCGAACTGACGGTCCACGTTGGAGTGGTGGAGCAGGAAGAGCGGGTCGTAGGCGGTGTACTCAAGAGTGGACATGCCGTAGCGAGACTGACCACCAGTCCAGGAGTGGATAGCGTTGTGAGTAATTTCATATTGTACCTGTGGAAATGTTAAAAATATTAGTTTTCATAACCTCCTGTTCTTACATAAGAGAAACCTCTCTTCACAATCGATCTTCGTGTCCTGTCATACATGGCTGAGGGACAGTACAAGAGTAAGCACTAATACACATCATCTGTTATCGCTGAATGTTGAGCGGCGTATCAGAACTTAACATCCTACATTATGCTAAGGGGTTTGAGTGGAAGAGGACATGGAGATAATAGCTGCCTTAGTTTTGGGTGGAGAAATGCAACCTGAAAGCCTAATGTTGTGGCAGGTCCTAAAGTCTTGTTGGCAGGTTGCTTAAGAAGGAAACTACGATAGGGTGCCTGACTGTTTCTTTGAACTAGCAACTTCAGCAGCATGATTTGTTCTAAACATATGGGTGTTACCTTTCTTTTGGGGTAAACAATGCAGACAGAGAAAGACAGAGAAAGAGAGAGAGAGAGAGACAGAGACAGAGAGAGAGAGAGAGAGAGAGAGAGAAAGAAGAGAGAGAGAGAGATTGAACAAACGAATGAACAAACTTTATTTTCAAAGGGTTCAGAACTGGGCACACAGGGCAGTCTATCATTCTACTCTTACCGTCCACTCCTTGCTTGAAGTTATTCGTTCGTACATCATTTCATACTTATTAATTAAACACTCTTCGCAACATCTAAATCTGAATTACAAACGCTGGAATACGCTCTAAGTATTCTTGCAGAAAAAATAAAAGTATTAAACCTAATCCAATAATGCTATATAAGTCTAACAGTTTGAATGATGTAAAATATCTTCAGCAGCAATTCAGTTTTAGTTACAAACACTGGAATGCGCTTCACTGGCACAACCAATTTTTAACCAAAAAAATGGCATCCAATGGAAATACATAATATGCTTAACATACTACAATCTTCTATAGGGGCATATCATCTTTAGTGAGATATTATTCAAATAGTTTCCAATTGTATGTATAGGGGCTTGAGATATTTTTATTTCTCTGTGGAAGATGATTCCGCAGCACAGCTACTGAGAACGCTAAGTTTATTTTGTACAGGTCTATTCTAGGTTTAGAAATATGTAATGTGTAAAGGCATTTGCTATGCAGTGTTTCAGTAAAAGCGTAAGATTTCCATCAAATGATCAGTCCTAAAGTCGAAGGGTTCTATGTGAATTTAAGTGCACAGTTTTTGTCTTGTTGTTATTAATATAGATTTTGTCTTATTTATGTTGATTTGCAAACGATCGGCATAGCTTCAACTAACTACTGTTTAATTCTTGAGGCAAAGACAACTACATTACAAGTTTGAGCATTTGTAAGGACGATACAATCAAATAAATTGCACATAGCTTGTAATAATGTGATATTGCGTTTCTGCAGTGAATCTTTTATTCCCTGCATCCACTTCTTTCTTGGTCAGCCTCTTGCCCTGTAGCCTGATGTTATCATGTAGTACGTCTTAACTCATGACTGAGTTTGTTCCATTCTGACGAGATGACCAAACGATTTGATTCTTTTATGTTCTTTGAAATCATTTACCGGTTCTATGCCTACCTCTGTTCATAGCTCTTGGCTGATGAGAAGACAGACAGACAGACAGACGGACGGACGGACGGACGGACGGACGGACGGACGGACGGACGGACGGACGGACGGACGGACGGACGGACGGACGGACGGACGGACGGACGGACAGACAGACAGACAGACAGACAGACAGACAGACAGACAGACAGACAGACAGACAGACAGACAGACAGACAGACAGACAGACAGACAGACAGACAGACAGACAGACAGGGATTTCTACAACACTGCCTGTTTTTTGTTTTATGGACAACAATAACTTTATCATTTGGGTGAATTGCAAACATTTCTTAAGGCCCTTTGGTCTTGTCAGCCACCCTCACCACCACCATGTGCTGTGATTCCAATGCCTCCCAACAGCACAAATGAACACTATTATCAATTACTGAAAAGTGCTAAGCAACTAATCGCAATGAAATTATTAGAGCTATTCACATTCTACATAAAGAAGCTATTTGTTGTAATGGTGCTTTAGCGAAGGCAATCAACAGTAAGGTAGGTTAGTTGCGTATTCTTTACAGGACGTTGCAGAACCAACCCCAACAACCCCTGGCTGTTGTGTGGTTTTTCTAGGCAGTAGTTTGCCATTGCTTTCTGGAAATCAAGAGTAAACACCTTTTATTAGGTTAGTTGCGCATCCTTTACGGACGTTGCAGAACCAACGTTTTTCTAGGCAAATTTACGTCCAGTATTTTGCCATTGCTTCCTGGACCGTCAGCTTTCTTGATACCACTGTCGAAATCAACGCAAGGTGCATGGCCAGCTGTTGGGATCGAACCCGGCATCTCGGCATTACGAAGCGTTCGCATCGACTTAGCTACAGATCGTAAACACCTATACATGACACTAATCTTATCACTAACCGAGGTCTATACAAAGCTGACTCCAGAACATACTCTACAACATTGCACTGAGTATAGATAAAAACTTTTTTCTCTATGGCGTCTGAAACAAAACTAGATGTCAAATTTGTGGATGCCTGCAGATAAACAAATATCTAGTAGAAAAGGAAGGAAATAAGAAGGGAACAGTGCGAGAATAGAAAAATAAAAGAGGAAGAACAACAAAAGCAGGAAAATTAACTAATGCATCAAACAGTCTGCTCAAAACAAAATGTACTAACAAAAGACATTAGTACCTACCTCAAAGTCACAATAATCTGTCTGCTCAAATGCCAGCAGGACCTGTCTGTAAAAGAAGGACTGCTTGCCAAACTCCGGGTCGTTGAAGAGCTTGTCTCTTGGGGCCCTTGTCGTGATTTCTCCATTGTAGATGCGACCATGGTGGAATGGATTGTCCTCTTCTTCAGTCACTAGAGATGGAAGCTCCGTGAAGGCAGTGGTCCAGTCCCAGTATGGGATGCCGATCTTGGCTCCCTGAAGCACACAAAGTTTCAATATTTCATCGAAGCTTTAGGGGAAAAAAAAAACATTATGCTTCATGTTCTTATTGTCTCACAGCATATGCTGTAAAGCGTTGCAGTGAAAAGATATGTAGTTTCCTGTCTTTTGTTAGTTGCCTAACTCGTATTAATGTCAAACTGCGTTTCTTTATTGTCTTTTTTTTTTACTCCCTTTACCCGCTTCTTTCTTGGTGGGCCTCTTGATTTGTAGTGTGTTTTCATGTAGTACTCTCTAACAGATGGTTAATTTTGTTCTTTTCTGACTAGATGACCAAACAATTGATTCGTTGCACTTCTGCGAATCATTTACTGGTATTGCGCCTACCGATGTTCATAGTTCTTCGCTGGTGTCTTTATCTCTCCATGTGTTTTCCCCACTGCATTTCTTATACATTTCATCTCACACATATTGTGTTTATGTTTTTCATTGAAGGAATTTATGTCATTTACAATTTCGGTTCTAAGCAAGTGTTTTAAATTCCATTTAACCTAAGCATTTGTTGCAGTTCTGAACCTAGTTGAATAAAACTGGAATAGAATAGGGTTAATGTTAATACTAAATATACCACAACATGTTAATAAAACTGTAGGGTAATGTCTTTACATATCATACAGGGAACCACGTCACAAGTGACGATGTTCACTGTATAATTACCCAGCATATTTGCAACCGTGAACCTCTTTTAACATTAGTGAAAATGAGAATGCAGTAGTACTATAAGGCTCGGCACTAAAGGGCTCATTAAAGGAGGAGAGGAGGAGAGGCAGACCAAGAAATAACTAGATAGATAACTTGACTGACTGCACTGTTATTGAACGAGTTAATGTAGATTTCGTTTTTTAAACAGAAATATAATAAATGTTAGTGAATGCAAACGTAAAACTGTTGAAAATGAATAAAGCACACAAAAGCAGTACCTGAGATGTAAGAGCGTCCTCCCACTGCTTGACATACAGTCTGTGCCATTGAGGGAAGTTGGCCATTCCGTGGAGACAACAAGCCACAGGATGGTGTTCATACTCACACCGAGCTGGGCTGCCATGGAAGCTGGCAATGTTCTGTTCAACGAAGACATGCTCATTTTATCACAAGAATGTATTTTAAATAGTTACCAATACAACAGTCACCCGATTAATTGCATACGCGACTACCGGTCAGTTATAACTTCTGCGCTAATCGAAGATAAACTGCATTTTTTGTGCTGGGCTGTTTGTGTTGGCATTTCTGATGACTGCCTTGTGAATGTAATACTTGTGTATTGCTAATGGCTTTGTCGAGACTGTAGTCACTGTGCTGATTTTCTCTTTAAATGGTCTTTAGAAGGAAAGTGAGCTGTAAAAGGGATAGCTGTATGCAGTAAATGTTATCTTAGAAAGAAAGAAAAACCAAATGTTAAACAATAATACATTTTAATAACATGTACTAGACAAGCATATTAGATCTCTAAGTAATGTAAAGGATCACTTTTAACAACATCAGTTTTTTTGGGGCATATAACGGTAGACGAGCATAATGACCCTTCCCCCTCCCCCCCCCCACCCCCCCCCCAATCCGCCAATAAGAGAGCTATGTTCAGGCTAAATGTTAAATATATGATTACACAACCAATGTACCTAATTTAAATAGTATACTGTCCTACTAAAGAGACAGCGGGGAACTGCATTGTATTAACACATACTAATCAACATGTTATGTTAGGTTTTCTTTATACGTTTACATCAGAGAATCTAAAGAACTACCACAATATAGTTGTCTCCTAACTCACATACACATTTTGTGTTTAGCCCTTATTAAAGTTGAATGCCTATGATTTTAAATTTGTTTTCCATCGGCCATCAGTTAAGATTTTTCTTAACTTAACGACCAATTAAAAACAATTTAAAATGATACTCTACTGTAGCATTCATTCTTAACGGTAGTTTTGCACCTTTCGCTGTAGTTGACAGCTAGGCTGCGATATTTACGCTTGTTAACCTAATTCAGCGAAATCATAATTAGAACTTTGACGAAATGCTCCTTGTAATGGGGCAGTGGGTCTATTCTTTTTTTTTTCTTTTCTACCAGAAATGGATTTCCGGAACCCACTTGGGGTAAACTATTCACCAACAGACATGTTTTACCTGGAAACCATTAGGGCCTGTGTTGTTCTGAACTCGTCGAAGTGCATCTCGAAGGTTCTTGATTTCTGAAGTTGTTAAATGAGAGACGTCTTTACGGATACCAATTCCAGCAACGGTTGTTGAGGCTGCCTCTTGTGTGTCACCTGACAATAAGTCATGACATCCAATACATAAACAGCACAATGAGTCGAGAATGACAAAGAAACAAAATAATATACACAACTGGGTAGGTTGGAGGTGGTATGCCTTTCTCAAAATCATCTGTTCTCTTTAAAGATATACCCAATCTGATCTACCTGTATTAACCGGGTCAGCGTCAGTGGTTTAGGCGTTGCGAACATGCTTCGTAATATCGGGGTGTGGGTTCAATCCTAACTGCGGGCTTTGTGCCTTGCGTTGGTTTCGACAGTGGTATAGAGACGCCGACCGACCAGAAAGCAATGGCGAACTGCTGAACGTAAATTTGCCTAGAGAAACCACAAAAGCAAAATAATTCTTGGGTTGGTTCTGCAACGTCCTGTGAAGGACGCAACCAACTGTATATTAATCGGAGATTATTAGCTAAAGGTTCTCCCAATGTAGGTCGCATGGCTACATTTTGGGTAAAATAGACACACTAACACACCAACAAGCATGTCGTAAGAGTTGACTAATTTAGGAAAGGGGAGGGGGGCTTTCTTCGAAGTCAGAATGCATCTGCTGGGGAGAAAGGAAATAACAGTCTAGTCTACTTGAAAATATGCCAGATCTGTAAAATGGATGTGTATGCAACACTCTGCTTCTGCAACAACACTTAAGTCTAGATAGAGGTGTAAGAACCAACAACACTTAAGTCTAGATAGAGGTGTAAGAACCAACAACACTTAAGTCTAGATAGAAGTGTAAGAACCAACAACACTTAAGTCTAGATAGAGGTGTAAGAACCAACAACACGTAAGTCTAGATAGAGGTGTAAGAACCAACAACACTTAAGTCTAGATAGAGGTGTAAGAACCAACAACACTTAAGTCTAGATAGAGGTGTAAGAACCAACAACACTTAAGTCTAGATAGAGGTGTAAGAAACAACAACACTTAAGTCTAGATAGAGGTGTAAGAACCAACAACACTTAAGTCTAGATAGAGGTGTAAGAACCAACAACACTTAAGTCTAGATAGAGGTGTAAGAACAAACAACACTTAAATCTAGATAGAGGTGTAAGAACCAACAACACTTAAGTCTAGATAGAGGTGTAAGAACCAACAACACTTAAGTCTAGATAGAGGTGTAAGAACCAACAACACTTAAGTCTAGATAGAGGTGTAAGAACCAACAACACTTAAGTCTAGATAGAGGTGTAAGAACCAACAACACTTAAGTCTAGATAGAGGTGTAAGAACCAACAACACTTAAGTCTAGATAGAGGTGTAAGAACCAACAACACTTAAGTCTAGATAGAGGTGTAAGAACCAACACAAATTACTGCTCAAGTTTACAACTGGTGAATAATAATAATAATAATAATAATAATAATAATATTAATAATATTAATTATTACTATTATAGGAAGAAGAAGAAGAAGAAGAAGAAGAAGAAGAAGAAGAAGAAGAAAATGAAGAGGAAGAAAGAAGAAGAAGAAGAAGAAGAAGAAGAAGAAGAAGAAGAAGAAGAAGAAGAAGAAGAAGAAGAAGAAGAAGAAGAAGAAGAAGAAGAAGAAGAAGAAGAAGAGGAAGAAAGAAGAAGAAGAAGCAAAAGGTTTTATTGGGTTTTCTTTTTAAAAATTTTAGAAACTAGTGTTGTTGGTGTGAAAACAAAATTGCTAATCTAAATTGATACAAAGCTAAGTTCAGACATTACACTTCGACAGTTTAACTTAAAAAACTATGGAGGAGCAGCTAGCCGACCAATCAAGAACGCTTGGCTAGTATTCCAGAGACTTAGGTTAGAGATTGTTGTGTGTTAGGGCAATGGGAGTTACCGTCTTTCCTATCGTAGGCAAAAAGAAGTACAAACCTAAACTGAACAATTCGTGGCAACTGCATTAGCCATGAGGCTTTAAATGCTGAGGCTCAAGACCTCCTGCTTGAGAACCAGCTGTAGACACATGCCGTGATTGTAACTGACTCACAGAGCATGTTAAGAAACGCGAACACAGGATTGCTCCGTACAGAGTGGCAAGCATCAAATCATTTCAGGTCCCGAGTAGTTAGCATTCTTTGGATATTTTCTCTAGTTGATGCTGGTGTTTGGGAAATGAGCAGGCAGAAAGACTGGCTGGATCTGCACCATTTAGTGATGAATTGATGTATCACAATCTAAATATTGTGAGGGCTCTTTGGGAGAGAGTAAACAGTGCAGAGGCGCATATAGATCATGACGGTCTAAGGAGAATGGCGCTTCGAGGAGATACCAGGGGATCTGGCCCACGCTCAACACTCAGGGAAGGATAAGACGGATATACAATCAGAAGTTACTGGTATCATCATAATTGGAACTCTTCGCTTGCTGCTGAAGATTGGGACTCATGGTCACATAACATCACCCACATAGGGTTTATGAGAATAGTAGAAGAAGCCACAGAAACATTTTGTTGGCGCTTTTCCGTCTTTCCAGAGACAGTGTTATATTGTGCTGTGAGGAAGCATGGGACTCACAGCCCATGGAGATGGCGAGTGTGACTAGAAAGACATTCTAGCATCGAGTGGTCTTCCAAAATTAGAGCTTGGGATTTCAGCACCGTTGTTGCCATCATATATATCGAGTGTGTTTGTTCTTAGGCGCCCAGCTCTCATTCTTTCTGCATTTATAACTTCTCTCATTTTTATTTCCTTCTTGATGTGCCTCCTTCATGTAACACAGTTCATGACATTTTGTTCCGAATCCACTCCAATGACTGTATCATTCATGCCTCCCTTTCAAGCATCTTTATATCGTAGTAGAGGTGTGCCTCGACATCTTCTACCCATGTGTAATTCCCCAAAAAAGTTGACGTTATGGACAGAAACAACATGTTAAACCTCAGCATGTTGCTTTCTTTTGTATACTGAAAAAAAAAAAAATGTGCCGACAATAACCAGAAAATGCTCCTCAAAAAAGGTGATAATATTCATCCTAAAGAGTCTATTACAGTAGTAAGGAAACAAATATGTACCTGGGTATCACCAAACAAACTGCCGATCACAAAAAATGTTCTTCTCACTTGCACCAGGATCAAGAGGTGATGTTTGTCATTACAAAGTGTCTAAATCGGTGCTGGTACTCACCGTAAAGTGTTTACTACAAAAGTGCTGGAAAAAAATTATGCTTCAAATATCTGTCAGTACCGTTGCGTACAGCCAGACAAACAAACTTTGCTAATTATACTTACTTGCACCAGGATAAAAGATGATTGACGGAGTCGGGAAGACGTCTTTCGGGTTTAGAGAATGCCCTTCCACATCGAACACCTCCACCTCTAGGTGAATCTGTTTGTTTGAATCGAAGACATCTTCAGGCAGCAGGTTAGCCTTTGTTAGATACCGGGTGATCTCTTTCTTGTAGAGCCGATCATACGCCCATGGCGACTCGGTGGGTCCTCCCAGGATGTTGAAGTTCCCAGCTTTGGTGCATTTGCCATCGGCCTGGAGAAATTGTGGATACATTTGGTCAGGCTTATAATCTGCCATGAGCAAAAGTTACTTACAGATAACTATGATGTCTTTCAAGAGTTAAAGTGACAGCTTCCTAGTTCAAGATACGCTTAAATAATTTATGTCAGGGCAGAACATATTTTGTTTAAAACCTTATAGATTCAAGATATGCTCAAATAATTTCTGAAAGGGTATAACAGATTAAAGAAATAGCTTATATGTTCAAGATATGCTCAAATAATTTCTGTAAGGGTACGAAAGATTAACCAAAATAGCTTATATGTTCAAGATATGCTCAAATAATTTCTGTAAGGGTACGAAAGATTAACCAAAATAGCTTATATGTTTCAAGATATGCTCAAAATAATTTCTGTAAGGGTACGAAAGATTAACCAAAAATAGCTTATATATGTTTCAAGATATGCTCAAATAATTTCTGTAAGGGTACGAAAGATTAACCAAAATAGCTTATATGTTCAAGATATGCTCAAATAATTTCTGTAAGGGTACGAAAGATTAACCAAAATAGCTTATATGTTCAAGATATGCTCAAATAATTTCTGTAAGGGTACGAAAGATTAACCAAAAATAGCTTATATGTTCAAGATATGCTCAAATAATTTCTGTAAGGGTACGAAAGATTAACCAAAATAGCTTATATGTTCAAGATATGCTCAAATAATTTCTGTAAGGGTACGAAAGATTAACCAAAATAGCTTATATGTTCAAGATATGCTCAAATAATTTCTGTAAGGGTACGAAAGATTAACCAAAATAGCTTATATGTTCAAGATTTGCTCAAATAATTTCTAAGACCGTGTGACAGATTATAGAATAGCTTACTGGCTCAAGAAAAGCTGACATATGTTCTGTCAGGGTCTTCTTCTTCTTACTTAAAGTCTACTCCGTGTGGCGTTGGTAGGCATGTCTATCCACAACCTTCTGTCTGGTGTACTTTCACTTACCTCTGACACAGAGGATCATCCATGCCATGATGTCAAACTGTCCATAATCTTTTCTATCAGTCTCCCTCTGCCTCTCCTGCCCTCCAGCTTTTCTACTGTCACAATGTACTCCAGTTCTGTCCTTCTCATCACATGACCAAAAAATGTGTATTGTCTCTTTCTGATGTGGGCAATCAGTAATTTTCTTTAGGCAGTTTCTTTCAAAACATCTTTCGTTTTATCTGTCCAGTGTATTCTCATCATTCATCATCTGTCAGGGTATTCTTATCATTCATCATCTGTCAGGATATTCTCACCATTCATCATTTGTCAGCTATAAGCTGAACTATTTTCTGTCAGGCTACGACAGGTTTTATAAAACAGGTTAGTTTTTTAAGATAAACTGAACTATTTTCTTTTAGGGTAGGATAGGTTTTATAAAAAAGCTTAGTGGTTTAAGATAAGCTGAACTATTTTCTGTCAGGGTACGACAGGTTCTATCAACATCAAAAAATAGTCTTTGCCAGGTTATAATTTTTATAGTCAGGGCTGTATTTGGGTTATGTGCAACGTGTGCAGCTGCACAATGCAGAAACATTTTGGGTTAACACAATTCTAAAAGCTGGAAAAAATTAACAGGTAGTTTAAACAATGTGAATGTCTTTATTGCCTCTATAATTAAAAAGGTTTTGATATGTATTGAGCATCAATGTTCATTTAAGACCTCAACATGTACACATGTTTTTCAGTTGTGTATTCAGTTAAGTTTAACTACTCTGGTAAAGTTTAAAACTGAAGTTAATAATTATACAACTTATTGTTGGTTGTGTGAAAACAACTGACGGTTAGTTTAGCCCAGAGCAGGGCTATTCAACTGGCGGCCCTCGGGCCACATGTGGTAAGAACATGTCAAGAACACAGTAAAACCAATGCCTGCAAAAGAGCATGCCAGTCTGGGTATTATAAAATGAGAAAGACAATGTCAATGAAAGAAATACCTTGCAGATTTTAATGGAGACAGTTCCCGAAGTCTTGACTCCCTTCAGCAAGAATCCAGCAAAGACTCGCTTCTGGTTGCGTCGTTCGTGGATGAGCTTCTCCAGCTGTTCCACTGTGTGACCTCCGATGTTCAGGTTATCATATCCATAGCCTAGGTCTTCGTGGTCAAATACTGAACTGGGAACAGCATGCTCCCTGCACACAGATATAAGCATTTTCATCTTGTTTTAATGTAAAGATTCTTCTTCTTCTTCTTCTTCTTCTTCTTCTTCTTCTTCTTCTTCTTCTTCTTCTTCTTCTTCTTCTTCTTCTTCTTCTTCTTCTTCTTCTTTTTCTTCTTCTTCTTCTTCTTCTTCTTCTTCTTCTTCTTCTTCTTCTTCTTCTTCTTCACGATTACTGGCTGCAAACTTCAGTGGACCAATAATATGGCAGGACAGTCTCACGAGAAATGGGAACTGAAGAAATCAGAGATATGTCCATCTACTTCTGTCAGCCCTGTCCTTGGAACTTCAACTGTGCAGTGACCATCTGCATCATACTTATAAAGTGTTACACATCAGTCAAGTAAAATATACATCAATATACATGGACAACGCGTAGCACTTACTTACAAAGCGGTCACTGGCTATAAACATGGGCAGGGAGTTTTGGTTGTTAATCCACTTCTGGGCTACTTTTTTTCTTATCCCAGAACTTGATTTTTATTTGCATACCCATTATACAGATCTGGCTTATTTGTATGCAGACTGTTGTGTCCCTGCCTCTCAGACATAAAACAAACTATTATCGCTCTTCTCGTTTCTGGTTTGTAGCAAATTTTGATGATAGTCAGTCTTTTTAATATACATTTTCTCACTGTCATCATCTCCGACATGATCATCATCATCCTCCAGTTCTCCTTTTCTTTCTTTTCTACGTTTTCAAGCCCTTAGATATAGAGAAACCCTTCTATAACACCAGACTGACAAAAAAATTGGATGGTGTTGTCAATACCACATCGTTTACCGTAGCGTTTTCCGAAACACAATTTTAATTTGCATCGACCTGGAAAACCTAGTCATATATATATATATATATATATATATATATATATATATATATATATAAAACCATATCTCCACGAAGATTCGAACATGTAACGAACGCCACGGCGGATAAACCTTCCAGACACTGTGCTGCCACCTAACACATCTTGAACTGTCCAAACAATAAGCCATCACGGTTGCATTGTTTGAGAAAACAGGCCCTTTATCATCGCGCAATGCCACTGTGAGGATTATGATCTGGATTATCTTCGTGGTGCTCTGGGCACGTCCATGGATGCTCAGATTCACCCTTCAAGATGTACATGGATATATCCATATACATCATCAGCCTCATGCGTTTAACAAACCATTCCATAGTTTAAACAAGAATTCTCGTTAGTCAGGTTTGCCTATCATTTATGATTGATTGTGCAGATCATTACTCTCATTTCTCGCATTTTTAACGAAGATGTTGACACACTTCTCCCAAAATACACCACCTCTGCTCCAATCGCTTTTTATCTCTAGAGGCATTAACAATGTCAGCGCCATCCATAGACAGTACATCTGCAACTAAGGAAGAACCGGCGAATCTGTCGTCTCTTTTATTAACAACAACACCCACAAATCATGAGACACAAAGATGAAGGTAACTACATTTACAGTATCAATAGTTATAAGAGAAAGATAATGGTTGTAAATACCACATAAGAAATGAGAATTGTCAGATGTTATGTATACCTAGCCCTTGTGTATGGTGTAGAAACTCGGACAACGAACAGGCAACAAGACAATCATATCGTCTCTGGAAATGTGGGTAAGCAGAAGAACAGGTCGTATGCCATGGGAATAAGAACTATTAAATAAAGAGATTGAAGATGGACTGTGAATGAAAACAGAATTACTACAAGGAAAAAAGAAAAGACACAGATGACAAATATTGGCAATTTTCAAAGCCATAAAAAGCGTTACAAACAATGCTGGAGGGAAAGGTCGAGGGCAGGAGGTAGATTATGATATAGGTTGGAGGACAAAATCAAGAGATGGTCCAATGGCTCTCTAAGAGAGTGTACAAACAGGGCACAGCATGTTGGTGAACCATTGCAGGCAATTAGCATTGTGGAGACGACACCTCACTGAGGGACTGAACTACGATAAAATGGTCAATTTCTGAGACACAATGTACAAGGAATCACAAAACAGGCAGTCAGCGGGAAACAAATGGACTGATAAAGCTGAGATTTACAATTAAAACAACATGACAAACGTTGATGAGAAATGCGAAATGTACTAAGCTGCATTCCATTCATAATATCAAAAGGATCGCTTTGGTTAAAAAGAGATGTATGAATGGACTTCAAGCCACATTTAACCTAAAAATGGCACAATAGGATGATGTTGAAGCATGGTACTGTATATTCACCTAGTAACTCTATTCTCATTAAACCCTTCAAAGCTAAATGGTTTCATTGGCTCATTCATTGAGTTGACAGCACAATCAGCTCGGTCGTATGGTAGATGCCTCCTCTGCTGCAATTTCTGCCAGACAATCCAGATCTTGTCGGTGAAGGAGTGGTGGATGAAGAAGATGGGATCGTAGGCGGAGTACTCCAGGGAGGACAAGGAGTACGTCTGATGTCCTCCAACGAGGTAGTGGATGGCATTATGAAGCACTTCGAACTGGACCTAGAGAACGATAACACCAGTTTATGAGAGGTCTTGCACTCATTAATCAGAGATAATCTTAGGCGCATTGTACAAATGTTATGAACATATATAAAGAACACAGATACTCGCCTCCCGTCCTGTAGATCTTCAAATCCGCATCTGATATTAACGGCTAAAACGGCAATCAGTTTTTATGGTTAGTAACAACTTGGTATACCCAAAACCATTTAGTCAATCAATCAATACTCATCGCGCCCAGGGGCACATTAGGCAAAGTGTGATGTCCCTACTGGGAGGGACAGAGGAAGACATACAGTCACGTCTGAACAAAGCTAGAGCTGCTTTTGGAAGGATGAGGCAAATCTGGAAATAGGGAGACCAACAAGGTTACTGCAGAGGAAATAAAACTCCGACTCTACAAGAGCATCATTTTGGCCAGTTCTTCTTTATGGAGCGGAATGCTGGAGAATGACCAAAAAGGATTTACACAAGCTGTCCACCTGTCCACCACTAGAATGTTGATTTTTATCTTTCCATGTAAAATTTTCAGGCCAGATACAATCTGAAACACTAAACTCATATGTTTTCCAGCCACAAACCAAAGAAACTTTAGACCGTATGATTACCATAAGAGAAGATGGAAATGGCTGATGTGGCCACGTTATGAGATTGTGACTTCTGCCTTTATTACCTGCTTGAAACAGCTATTTCACATGGACACCAGAGGGAAAGAGAAAACAGGGGCGCCCAAAAACAACATAGGAGACGAACGATGGAAAGTGATCCTGAGTGCGGCGTCTTTGACATTAATTATTAAACTGCACTGAAGATTGCACAGGACACTTTGGTTGAAAAGCATGGAAAGCCCTCTCTAATCAATCCTCATGGTGTACACTAGGCATAACGAGCGAACTGATTCTTTGATGATGCAAAACTGTTGCCACTTAATTCGATCCTGAGCCATCCTCTCTATCTCCAGTTTTGTCTTTTGCACAGCCTTGAGTTCAGCCACAAAGGTTCACCTTAAAGTGCCCCTGGGACTGTCTATCCCTCGCTGTCCTTGCGTCCATTTCATTGTCTGTCTCTGCTGTCTCTCTTCAGTCATTTTTTGACATGTCCAATCCACCTCCATCTTCGTATTTTTTTGTGTCCAATCAGACTTGGTGCAGAAATTTATCCAAATTTACTTGGTGCAGACGGCATTCTTCTAAATCTGTCATTAGAGGAGCGGCTGGCCATATTTTTTGTTTTAAACTACGCAGGTTATGTACAGAAAGGTAATCAGACAAACTAGTTTAGAAACTACGAAAGGTAAAGACCATGCAAAGAGACAACTATTAAAATACTAACTAACATGTCTAACTAACTAACTAACTAACTAACTGACAAACTAACTAACTAACTAACTAAAGGCTGTCCTAAACTAACTAACTAAACTAAACACTCAAACAAAACTAACTAACTAAAGACAAATAACTAACTAATATGCAATAAGATAAATGTAAATTTGCAAGGAAGTATGATGGTCACTAACTAAACATTATAATTATCTGTAACTGTCTTTTAACTCAATTTCCTAACTAACTATGTGCTTTTAATTCTCTTCTAACTAGAACCAACCATAAATGTTGTAGAACTAACCAACGTTCTGTTTCCTCAACTAACTAACTAACAAACTAACTCGTAAATAACATGTAAAACTAAACTATGTGTAAACTAACTGTGAAGAACTATTTTTTGTAACGAGACAAATACCTAACTACATAGACGCTACCTAACTAACTAAAGACAACTAACTTCAGGTCAAAAACTTAACCAAAACTAACTATACAGGTAGTCCTAACTAGACTAACTAACATAACTAACTAACTCTCAACTACACGCTGAGGGAAATAACTAACTAACGGGATCTAACTAACGTGGAGTTGTCCGATGTGGTATAGGTATAACTAACTAACTGACTAACTAACTAACTAACTAAAACTAACTAACTAACTAAACTAACTAACTAACTAACTAACTGACTAAAATAACTAACTGACTAACTAACTGACTGACTTAACTAACTAACTAACTAACTAACTAACTAACTAACTAACTAACTAACTATCTAACTAACTAACTAACTAACTAACTAAATAAACATATTGTAGTTTGATCCTACCTCAAAATCACAATAGTCGGTTTGCTCAAGGGCTTCAAGAACAGAATTGAACAGTTTGGAGTGACTTCCATCCTGGTCAGTCTTGTACAGCTGGGGCTGCACATCACGGACAGTGTATGCGTCTTCTGAAGGGATGTATCCATGGGCAAAGGGATTGTCCAGAACCTTAGAGACACAATGTAAAATCTGGTAAACATAGGAAACATCTGGAACATCGTAAACATCTGGCACTCTGAACCACTGTCTCAAGAAAGGAACATATAATCTGCAGGGGCAGGAACAATCACACTGGCAAAGGTAGAAATCCAAAAGTTCACAGATGAACGAATGTAGGAGAAATGCGGCAAGAAAAATAGGAAGAGACAGAACACCAATAAAGAAATCAGAACAATGCTAGGCACAGTACCAGTAACTGTTGTTCCAGACGATCAAAGAGTCAGATGGTTCGGTCATCAGGTCAAAATGGGACAAAATCAACCAGTAACTAGAGCGTCTACAAGAGAACAGCAAGCAAAAATACCAGAGGCCCACCTAGAAAGATATGGATGAAGAAGGTAAAAGAAAAAATCCCAGAAACGCCAGTTGACATGCGTATCGTCTGCAACACATCATACAATCTCACAACGTGATGACCTTCGATTTCAGCTGTTCTTGAAACTGAAAACGCTGCTGAAAAGGACCCGATTTAAGTCACGAAAAGATATTATGGTTATCGTGACAGCTCACTCTGACTCCTTTCCGAATGAGTAAAAGTTAGTTGCGTGTCCTTTAAAGGTCACTGAACTACCAACCAAAGCATTATTTTTATTTTTTTCTGTTTGTGATTTTACAAGACAGTATTTCGTTCAGTAGTTTGCCACTGCTCAATGAATAGTCAGCTCTCACTAGCACCATCAAAACCACTGCAAGGCGGTCTGCTGTCACATCGCCTGTTGCTGGGATCGAAACCCAGCAAATCGGCGATATAAAGCGCTTTGCGGTGCATAAGCCACTCCTAAAATATTGCTGGCAATGGTGAGGCCTCCTCTACCCCCCCCCCCACCCCCCTCCTCGCCCTTTTCAACAAACACAAAAATTACTTTTGGTTGTGTAGTGTTGGAGGATATCCAGACTTAAATGACATGAATCAGAACACAGCTTACCTCATCCTTCCACACGTCATAATAGTCCACCTTTGTGAAGATGCTGGGCAGTTCCTTGATGGGCAATGTCCAGTCCCAGTACGGCAGAGCCACTGCACTGCCATGTCTCTGTAGTGCCTGTTCAACCTGTAGAACGATAATACACAGACTGCCGTCACATATTTAACGGTAAAAGGTAACCCTATGCCCGAAAAATAAACTATAAATACACAATCTAATTATTACTGATACCATCGGAATTGAAACTCTGAGCTTGCTGCTGAAGATGAGGATGGAGTAGTTATGGAAATGTCCCGAGTGCTGTGACGACAATTTTTATTTAGACAAAACAATAAAGCCGCTGTGTTCTAAAGTGATACATCCTCAAATATTAAAGGCCAGGACATGGTGTGAAGCATCCAGTTTCCTTCCTCGTCTTTTCTTTGGCAAATTTCTTCTTCATTCTCCGCCTAGAGATTGGCACGTTGTATTGTGATGTACAGCTATGCAGCAATATGTGCTCCTTTCAGCCCAAGACATTCGATGTCAGGAAATCCTGAATAAATCCCCCTTTTCGATACACCTGTTAGTACCAAAGAGTTGAAGTCACATTCATGAAGTGGTAGATATTCAGTTGGCACTGTTTTTCCTTTCCAGACGATAGTCTTATACAATGCTATAAGGGGGTAGTGGGTAACACTGTGACAAATGCCACTTCAATGAGTTTAAAAATTGGTGCCTATGTTTAACACAAAAAATATCTCAGCTGTAGTGAAAGATAAATGGATGAAATTATTTACTAATTTTTACTTTATTCTCAAAGCTATGTAAGATTACTGCCCCTCCTAACAAGCAGTTTCAATGTATTTTTGCTTTGGTATTAAAATATATGATGATCCTTGCTGTATTGCCTTTTAGGAGTCATAAAGCACACAATTCAAATGTAACTAATCGACCGCTCAAAAAAAAAAAAAAAAAACCCACATGTTTCTTTTCTTTTAAAGTGAACTGAGAATAAGACTATCACTGACGAGCTGAAAGTGTGGCAACACGCTACAAAATAAGTGAGATGGATCCTTTCCAAGTTCTTGAGAAATTCCAAAGTTGAAACTTATATGTTTAGATTGACTCACAACTGTACTTTAAAATTTGTTTTGTTACCTAACTTAATTCATACAAGTGATAAAAATAAGAAAGAAAACGTCTGTTTCGATGCAGATGTGCAGTCTAAATGTTATTTATGCATTAAAAAAATTAACACCTAGAATAAAATAGGAGCTCATGCCAAACAGCACATTTCCAGGATAAGTAACTACTAAGAAGTTATTGAAAATACAATGGTACGAATTTATAAATGCACCATAGCAAGAAAAGCTCGCGTTATGACAAGTGAAGTTCATCCACCGTAGCAAGATTCATGAACTGTAGTATAGAGACAATGTGGCTCTGTATGATAAAGACAAAAATGTACACATTGCTGAAGAAAAGTGGTTTAAAATGAAAGTTTTGTGGCTTAGACGTGAAATGTCCTCATTTTACTACCCAACAAAAAAAAAAATGAAAGAAGCCTTCTGAACCACTGGTAGTGGAGTGGAGGTCTGGTCGTCTCTGATAATAACGAAATCGTAGTAGGACCCTACTGCACAGTGTATGAGTTACAAGTTGTTTAAAAGAACTATCTCTTTCAGAATTTCAATTTATGACTATCTAGCAGAAGGACCTGGGCTACAACCTGGTATCAGTGAGACGACACAAGAAGAAGTACAGGAGAACATACATCTAATGATTCGACTGTTCACGAATTTTTGAATTAATTCCTTAGCTCGGCAAATATGCTAAATAGTTTCCATCGGAGACATTTTGAAGATTTGTGACCATATTTATCTCACTCTACAGACCGTCGCCTGCCGGTTTGGACGTCTTGGTGTGGAATCAACATTGAAGGGGATTCATTCCTAAGAAGACTTTGGCTCCTAGGTCGTGTCAGCTGAATGTTGAATTAAGAATCGACATCACATCACTGGGGATACTTCCATAAGAGTCTCAGCTGAACATGTATACCAGGTTATGTCCTGGGAAGTAAAAGTCGCAGTGTGATGTTGGCCAAGTGTCGATTTTCTAAAAAATGCAGTGTAGCATCATTTGATCAATCCGTACTGATCTCAACAGTGTTCTCCACTATAATTCACACTATATTCTGCTGCTTATACCGGCCACGACTAGGCTGAAAGTACCAAGTCAGTGTAAAACCTGCAGAAGGTAAGAGGGTTATGACCAACCTGCAGGGTAAAAAGTCTATGCCAGTGTGGGAACGTTGGCATGCCGTGTTGGCAGCAGGCTACAGTAGGATGGGCAGGATCAGGACAACGAGCGGGAGCTCCGTGGAACGATGCCAGATTGGCCCAGCCATCATTGGTGTTGTCTGCCTGAAGATCCCGAAGGGCCGACTGCAGACTCTGGATGTCTCTCTCATCCAAAACTGCGCAGGTTGCGTCTGATCTTGTTGATAGGTACCTTTTTCAGATGGTAGTCATCTGCAAGTAACGTGCCAGACCGAATCAGTAACATAAGACTTAACAGGTTTTTGTACATTGACATCATCATCATAATCGTCGTCGTTATCGTGATCATCATCATTATAAGCATCATCATCATCATCATCAGCATCATCGATGCCTTTATACGTCACATATCATTCATAGTTTATTCTTCCATCCTATTGTATCTTGTGCAAATGTTTCGATGTCAGGGATGAAATCCAGCCCACCATCCTCTTATAAACATACTTCCTAATATTTTTTTTTTTAAACGTCCTTGTTTACTCCCTCAAATAGTTTGCCATCTACCGGTACCTATAATGATTCTCTATTCACTTCTCCTCAGGATTTACCAATCATATCGGCATTTTGTATTTTTGTCCTGTTGATATCATTGATTATCCAGACATATTTTATTTCTTCGTCTTTCCTGATTTGATCCCATTTTAGTGGTCTACACTGGCAAGCAATATACCTATTAATTCAAAGAGATATAGCTTGCTTCTGACTTTCATCTACATCAGAGATTAGTTCTTCATCCATCGTGTACTTTGTTTACTAACATTTTATGTTTTGGTCAGAACACACTGCAGTAATCTGGGGTCTTTAAAAGTAAACCAGCCCTATTTATTGGAGTTATAGCCATTACTTGTTATGTGTCAGGAAATATTCTGTGAATAAAGACTGAACATGACGACAAATGCTACACACCCCAGATTTTAAGAAGAGAAAAAAACAAGTATTTTTCTTTTTCTTCTCTTGCTCTTTAACCATTTCGGGTGTCGAGGAAGGTATAAGGTTTTGCTTCTTGTTCTTCTGACTGGATCGATCATTGACACATCGCTCTGATGTGGAGCTTTTCTAATGTTATCTTTCCATCTTGTTCTTGGTCTATCACTTGCTCTTTGTTCATCTCCTCTTTTGCTTTTGGTGTATGCCCTGTATGTATGGCGCCACAATGCATTGTCTTTAAGTATGCGAATAAAAATACTCACACATAGGAAGGAACAAATCAGCGGATATGGGGCTGCACTTACGTTTTCCGGGCACATAGATGACGTTAGGTTCCCGAATTAGGCTGCTGTCCAGTACAGTGCCGTTAATGGCCTTGACATGGATGTTGAAGTGGTAGTCGTCGTCATACCGAAAACCATGTTCTTTGAGCTGTATAAAATATAGATACGATCGCAAACTAATCAATATAGGCTTTCTTGAAATTGTAAAAAAAAAAAATGCATAAAGTCATCTCAAAATAACTGAACATATAAAAGTTTTTAGACTTTAAGTCAGTGTACAGTGTCAATAAATAACTTTAAAACAAATTATAATAAAATTATCTAATGGAGGGAAATAACATTTGGGCACAGCTGGAACCTAAAGTTTTGATCAAAATCTTGATAAACTGAGAAAAAACGGAATCTGACACGAAAGAACAGATTACATGAAAACTGAAATTAGACAAATTGAGAAGGAAAAGCTACTTCAAAACGAAATGCAGAATAATGAACAGGACAAGTGGGGAAAAGAGAAAAGAACAAGAGGTGAAAAAAAAAAAATCAATGTAGAATTCGAAAAAATAAATTTTTTAGAAACATCTTTAAAGTAAAAAAAAAAAAAAAAATAGACCTGACCCTAAGCATAAGTTTAAAGTTCACGAATCAATCATCTATTTCTCAATACCTATGTTTGTTTTTGAAATTTTAGTAAATTTTATTATCAAGATGGCGGCTGTTGCCTATGGCAACCATGTTTTAAAACTCTAAGTGTACAAATGTATTACGATACATCTCTACAAACGACCATTATAAAATAATTGGTCTAACTTTGAAAATTTAAAAAAAAAAACATTTTTTTCCCCTTTAGTGACCCCTTCAAATTAGGGTTTATTTATGCAGTTTGACTTTTCCCATAAGGAATCCAATTTGTTTGTGTGTGTGTTTTTTTTTCATGTAAAATTGGTCTTCTTGTTATATAATGTTGTAATAACGATGGACTCAATTTCTGTTGCCTGACTTGTGGCTCATTTACGTCCAATAATTTCTGATACAGATGTTCTTTAGTTTCACCAAATAAACTGCCGACATTCAGCTTTCGTGTTCTCAAGGTACACTTGAAAAGGACTGTCGTCGACTTCGTCACCCTGTGATGCCGTTATCCGGTTCAAAACCTGGCAATATATTCTCCATTCAGGTTATAACCTATGCAAGTGCTTGACTATCGTGCCAGTCAGGTTCTCTGGCTACTCCATTAAAGGGGGAATTGTCATCATCATCATCATCATCATGTGATGTGCCAGTGTCCATAGGCTATCATGTTTCACCATCTCAAATGATCACCAGAATCACTGATCAGTGTTTTTCTCTCGACCTAATCCATCTGACCGTGACATCCAGGTATCTATCTCTTTGACTTCCTTTTGATCTTTGTCCATCAATCTTACCAGTTGTTTACCAAGTTCCAGAGTACCTTTCCTCTGATATTATGTCCCTCAAAGAAAATTCGACTGTTTACGTCTAAATGTTTCAATAAGTTGACGACTTTCATCTGTCTCGATGAGGACTGCTTCGTTTGTTTTTCTATCCTCATATGATAACTCTTTGTATTCTTCTCAGAAACCACATCTCTGCTGCGGGTAAACTTTTCAGTGTGCCGTAAGTAGACTGTCAGTATTTCAGATGTGTATAACAACACAGGTTCATAACAACATGTTAACATTCTTTTGATCACCGTAAATGACATGTTCTTATTAATGAGAATCTTTTGCATCTACCTAAATGTCATATTTGTCATGGCGATTTTATTTCTAATTTATGCAATTCGTCTTGCGTTGGATATTACTTATACATAAAGGAGGACTATAAAAAACTAAAAATAAATATCCCCATGACTGTCCCGGATAAACATTTACATACTACCCAATAACAACAGCAGCAGCGGCAGCAGCAACAACAACAACAACGATAACAACAAAAAAAGAAACCCATGGCTACTGAAAGGAATATAATTTTGTTCTAAATGTGACATTCAACTTTGTAATTAAGTGAGTGAAAATGTTTAAACTGCACACAAGAAAATTAAAATGGATCGCGTGTGCAACTGCTGATCTGTTGGGGACTTCTGCTACCATCAATGATGAGCTGCATTTCTAATGTTGAACTGTTTGTGTTAGCACTTCGGGTGGCTACCATATGCTTTAATACGAGTGTATGCTAGATATGCGGAGACAGCAGTCTGTCAATCTTTCCACAAGGGACTGGGATAAACATTCTGTGTGTTTTTCGTTGGCACAGGAGCGGAGCAACGATGGGTTGACCCGTTTGCTATGAAGCTGAAACTAAGACTACCAGACTACTAGATTAAAAGGCCTTAGGGTTTAACTAATCAACTGTAATTTATTTTGCATCTAGGTCATAGTGTTTAGTCGTACAGGTTTTCCTTAAACTAAAAAAAAAAAAAAAAACGTGCCATCTAAAACCTACGCTTTTTTTTTTGGGGGGGGGGGGGGGGGGGGGGGACTATTTTTTAAAGAAAACATTTTATTTCATACTCTGTTGAACTCCTGACCCATCTCAGCAGAACTTCTGAAGACCGTTAATGAATTAAGGCTGGTAGAATACGGGATGTTAAATTAAATAACATGCGTAAGAGTTGAGTTGAGTCAAGAATTGACATCACAACACTCGCGGCATCCCCATGCATGCTCCGTACTCATCTTAAGCAGCCAGCGCAGATTTCCAATACTGATGGTACCGGTCAAAATCTGGTTGTATGTCCGCATTGCCAGTGAGCCAGCCAGACTCTCTCGTTACACCCTGGTGCCTTATTCTCTCCAGACCATAATGATTTTGTTTCTTTACTGATTCAGTTGCTTGTTCCCAAAGTGCCTTGACCACATCAACCTCAACATGTATCAATTCACCACCCAGTGATGCAGATCCAGCCAGTCTGTCTGACTGTTCATTACCCACCACGCCGACATTGCCTAGAGAAAAGATCCAAAGTATGCTCACTACCCGTGACCTTCCCAATGAAGCTTGCCACTCTACTCGAAGCAAAATGCGTAACAATGTGTGAACATTAAAACAAGGAGTGGATTTGGCAATGAGACATGTATGAGAGAAAGAGAACAACGTGTGAGTATTTAGTGGGCTACAGAAACAGCATCTACACATTGAGACATTTGCTGTGGGGGATGATGCATCTATGGGTATATCAGGTCTCCCATGATGTCGTCTCTCAAATCAGTAATCAGTACCCTATAAACTAACCTGACGGGTGATCTCATATTTGTAGACCCTGTCAAACTCCCAGGGCATCTCAGCAGAGCCTCCAAGAACAGAGAAGTAACCAGCAGGGAAGCAGTTGTCCGAGGCAGCATTGCAGATGTCAAAGTCCACATTCACAGACCGACCAACTCCTTTTAACAGAAAACCTGTGGTGACAAAAAAAAAAAAAAAGATTTGTATAGATGATCCATACAATTTTAAGATTTAGTCACATACTTGCAAAAGAATGCATACAGTTTATAGAAATTGCACATACATGTAAACTGAAACTAAACTATGCGTTGAGTTCTAGATCCATATTTCATAAACTAGTTGGTGGGCAGTGCTGTCAACAGCATGCTGGGCTTCATACTTTCCTTGACTTCACCTGTTAGCTGTTTTTGTTTGACAGCACAAGCCATTTTTGGAAGATAAAGAAAATTAGACTGGACGCTGATTTAAAACCACGACATTTATCATGCCGAAGGCTAGAGTCTAGTCACTGTACCTTGGTGGCTCTCTTATGTATGTATAGTCACACAAAAACACACACATATATATATATATGTAAAGGTAAAATCGGGAGATGTGAAATAGCGTCATTGCACACGGTTATAAATCAAAAGTGCTCTGCCACCAGTACGGACAGCTTACTATCCAGTCATTCCCTTGTGGGATGTAATTTTTCGTTGTTTAAAGCCCTACTCTGGCTCTTGCCAGGGCCCGAAATATAGCCCGATCATAAATATGGTCTAATGGCTGAACGCGGTTTCTGGGACCTCCCCACTGTGATCCTCATCCACATGGTGGCACTTTGAATCATCGAGTGTTTATCGCTTGTGTGATGTCCTGGTAGGGTAAAAGAAGATAGATACGGACAGCAGTTAAGAATTGTCCGCCTGTGTCACCGTCCGCACGTAACTCTGTAGCTACAGCGACGTTCCTCCATCTACCCTTAGGCGTCAATACTGGTACCCATTTCCTAGAGGCTGGGTGAACCCCGGCAACCGCCCGGTTTCGAACACCGACCGTTGGCTGCAGCGAGTCGCAGCTGGATTTGAAAGCAAGCCTCTTATCGACTGCGCTAACGCGGCCCCCATATATATATATATATGATCAATACAGTTTGTAGATTTTCCATGTGTAGAAATGCATAAGTAAAATAATTTCTTTTAAGAATAATTACTCACTTGTATTTACTTTACATAAATGTTTTTCACATATGAATCATTTTGTATTTATCTGGAATGGCAAACTGAATATGTAAATCCCTGTTGCTGTGTATTCAAACCCACCATACACCATGTGGTTTCGACGCCCCAATTTTTTTTTTATTGGAAAAAAGAGAGAATAGACCCATATCACTATAAGCATGTCGTAAAATGCGACTAAATAGGAGTTTCCTGAATTTAGATATGTTTGGCAAAAAAGATGAAGATATGAATAATAAATATGAATAATGAATGAAAGCAAACGTTACCAGCGAAAACTCTGTCATGCTCCTGTCTCTCTTGGATGTAAGCGTCTAGAGTGGGGATGTTCATGCCCACAAACTCCAGGGTATCGTAGCGGTAATGGAAGTGGCCCGTGTAATCAAAGGTGTCCTCGGGATGAGAGTTGTCTCGTGTCACCTGGTTTAGGTTGTAGGGTGGCCCAAAGCTGAATGGTTTTAATGGTTCCTGTGGAGAAAATACATCCAGAACTGTACAAAGAGAATAGAACTCCGTTTGCGTCATGGTTAACATGGAGAAGATCGACTTCACTGAAATGAGTTTCTTCCTACATAGCTCAGTCTCTCCCCCACAGACCCGTTTGCCACCTGCCATAGAGCAACACAAATAGCACGAAAACTGTAGCTCCGGTGATGATCCTCAGGAATCTCCTTTAAAAAAAAACTACATACTTGAAGCAAGCGAACTACGCTATGGTGAAATGAAGCCAGAACCGTGAGAGCTTACACTACACTACAGTCTGGGACTACACAGACTACGAGTGGCATGGAACGTACATAATTCATTGGGAAAACATTGGGAATGCTCGAGAAGTTATGCCTGACCTGTAGAGTGAACAGTCGATGAGAGTCTTTACCCTGTAATGTCCATTGGGGGGGGGGGGGTGAATTTAGACCCCCTTCTCATGCCTTTGTCGTATCTAGTAATAGTGCTAGATCGATAGTTTTTATTGATTGACTGGCACTCGTTGGGTGAGTGGGTCAACAACATGGCCCTGCTTTTACTTCCCGGACCCATTTTAGACTAGTCAACCTGGAAGAGAATGTTTATTTTAAAAAAAAATCAAATGTGCCTGATTACGGATGTGAACTCTGGACTGTCGGGTTGGCAGGCAAGCGTAATGGCCATTCATATCTAGTAGTTTATAAATAAATTTAAGTAAAATCCCAAACAGATAATACAATTGTTATGTGAGTGGCCTAAGTATACATTGCAGCAATTGGTGGGGGTGTGGTGGAGGGGGGGGGGGGTTGAGGGGTGGGCACTTGAATGGTCTAAGTTGATGGAGTTGTTGGACAGCAGGCTTCTGGGAAGGCTTGCTGGCTGTGGAAGTAACCTGGATTGGATCCATATTTCCCCATCTGGGCTCATACCTTATTGTATACCAAACCATCCTAAATTCAAGAAACATAATCCAGATAGAAGACCAGCAAGGCATCATTGAAACGTATGTATGTAAGTTCTACCCCACCAGGATAACAAGCGATAAACACCTGGTAAAACAAAGTGCCACCATGCGGATGAGGATCATTCGTGGAGAGGTCACAGAAACCCCTTTCAGCCGTTAGGCCTTATCTATGGCCCGGCTATATTCAGGGACCCAAACAAAAGCCAGGTTAGTGCTTCAAAATAACAAAAAATTGCATCCGACCAGGTGACAACTTTCTATTATAGTGCTTAACGTGAAAAGATATGCAATGAAAGCAAGAGGTCGTCCTAGAAGATGGTTCGATAATATTAAATACCTTCTACATCAAAACAGAATGATGGTAGTCATTGTTACCCATCGCAATCTGTTCCTCCATTCAACGCTTAACAGCAATAGTGGAAATTGGAGATGATCATGACTGAAACACACATATAAAATACCTTACTTTTAATTTTTCCAAAGCACAGTTGACCTCATTTGGATTATGCCCCCTATGTCGTTGAAGCTCCTGCCAGATTGCCCAGAGTCTGTCAGTATTGGAGTGATGCAGGAAGAACACAGGATCATAAGAAGCATAATGTAGATGAGCCATGGAGTATTTCTTGGACCCACCAATCCAGGAATGGATGGCGTTGTGGGTGATTTCCAGTTGTACGGCGAAGTCGCAGAAGTCTTCCTGCTCCAACGCGAAGAGAGCCTGGTTGTAGAGCCAGGTGTCCCAGCCGTGGGGTCCTACTTTGAACAGCAAGCCAGTCTGAAAATGTATAATGGGATAATTATTTTAAGTTACAGGTCTCGATGTCACAGTGGCTCGTGCACTTGATTGTCAAACTATTGTTTCGGGTTCAATAATAATATCCTCATCAATCAACAGGTCCTTCACAGAACGTCGCTCTCTTCACGGCACGCCTGAAAGTCTCTCTTTAGCTAGTTGTCCAGTCTTATGTGCTTTCATTGCATCTTCTACGTTTTGTATCCACATTCACGAGGTCAGCCCCTGCTCTCACTTTCCGAAAACTTTCCTTAATTTTGTTTTAAACGAGCATCTGGCTAGGTTGGCCTTGGGGTTCTAGGTTCATTATAAAAGTCAGTCTTGATGCTGTCTGAATCCAGGACTGTATTTACCAGTAGAAAAATCTGTATCCGCTGCGATATCGTGGCCAGGTTTGATTATTCTGACAATAAACTCTTGCAAACTTATTGTCATGATTGGTGCCAACGATACGTTTAAATACATTCATAAAGGTATCATTGTCTAAATGAGCCCACTAGGTTTGATGCTGAGGTCTATCCTTTCGCTTCAAGCAGATATGGCACAAAGCCTTGCCCGCACTGTGGAGTTATTCCCTGCCAAGACTGGCTTATCACCAATTCGATTAATTGTGTGCCCTTTACAAAACGCTGCAGAACCAACCCCAACAGAACCAACCCCAGCAGAACCAACCCCAGCAGAACCAACCCCAGCAGAACCAACCCCAGCAGAACCAACCCCAGCAGAACCAACCCCAGCAGAACCAACCCCAGCAGAACCAACCCCAGCAGAACCAACCCCAGCAGAACCAACCCCAGCAGAACCAACCCCAGCAGAACCAACCCCAGCAGAACCAACCCCAGCAGAACCAACCCCAGCAGAACCAACTAACCCCAGCAGAACCAACTAACCCAAGCAGAACCAACTAACCCCAGCAGAACCAACTAACCCAAGCAGAACCAACTAACCCCAGCAGAACCAACCCCAGCATTTATTTGTCTGTGTGTGCTTTCACTAGGCATAATTTATCTCAGTAGTTGGCTATGTCAAGAATGAGAAAACTGGAGTTCATCTTGACGATGGAACAGTTCGATGGGGAAAGAGGCAGAGGGAGCCAAGGGAGAAGATGCTGGACAGACTGACATCCTGGCAATGAAGATCGTCTGTGTCAGAGCTGATTGAAAGTACACGAGACAGAAGGCTGTGGGGGGGGGGGGAATGACTACTAACGCCACACATAATAGACAAGAAAAAAAAAAAGATCTTGTAATTCCCTCTTAACATATCATTGTCGAAATCCATACAAAGCGATCTACTTGAATGTAAAGACAGATTAAGTCAAAAACAGGTATCTCAGAATTATAAAGCGCGTTCACAATTCCTGAGCCGAACTCGCTAACATCAGTCACCTACACTCATAAATACTTGCTACATAATGAAAGAAATGAATTATCCTTATTATTTGCAATAGAAAAAAAAAAAGCATATACTCACATTAACAATGTTTATGTTAAATTAAGTATCGACATCACAGCCACCAGGACATTCTCAAAAGTGCTCGGCCTCCATCTTCAGCAGCAAGTGCAGAGCTTCAATTCTAATGTTATCAGTTTACAGATTGTTTTTACCTCTAGCGTTTTCCTTAACTGTTTGTTGAGCGTCGGCCAGATCCCATTTTCATATCTCGCAAAATCCATTCTCTTCAGACCATGATAATTTATTTGTATCTACTCACTATTAATTCGCGAACAAAGAACTCTTAGAACATCTTGCTAGAAACCATAATGTAGCACTCACCTGTATATCTCTCTCGATGTTTGTGTGCTTAAACTCAATTCTGCCGCTGGTGAAAGGATTATCACTCCAGACTCCAGTGAAGGGGTCAGTGTAGTTATACGAGGTGAAGAACTGGGGCAGTTGCAGGGAAATTCGTGTCCAGTCCCAATAAGGCATGCCCACGAGAGAGCCATGGCGTCTGAGGGCGTCTTCGAACTGGACAGTGTAGAGGCGGTGCCACTGCAGGAAAGCTGCCCCTCCATGTATACAGCAAGCGTGTCTGAAGATCGTTGAAAAGAAATGGATACACTTTAACTAAATGGTTTCAAGTTACCTGTCACATCAAACCGTTATTTAAAACAAATAAAGGACCCATTCCCACGCCTTTAGGCGTATAGGGAATATAGGGTTAGATCTATTTTTTATAGACCAGTTGGCACTTGGTGGATGATGTGGTTAGCATCACGCCGGCCGCCTTTACTTCCCAGGACTGCACCCGGTACCCACTCAAGGATGGGTTGACCTTGAAATGAAGGCTATTTTTGAAGACAATAAAATCCGGCTCCCTCAGGACGCGAACCCACGACCTTCCAACCCGTAGGCGGGCAAAGCCGCCAACACCACGGCGACTACCATGTATAACATGTAAGTACAATTAAAAGGTACAGACTTGTAACTTCTTCATTTTAACATCATGTGAAGTCACTGTATTTCTAAACGCTGTTCCGCTGACATCACCCCCGTGATCCATGGACCACAAAATGGGAGGATTACTGTGTTGTATTACAACAACCATGCAATGATAAATTTACAAACAGCCTTACGTATGATATTTGTCATCAAATGTTGCCAGAAATTTTATTTATTACTTCGTGTCCAAAGCTCGGTTGGTGGTGCTTGCTATTGTGTTTACGTGTAAATCCCCACTGTCATAATGTGCTCAATACGCCCTTTTTTTTAAGCGTTTTCTCCAGCATTAGATTTTCTTATGTGTGTCGGATGGAGGGCTGCGTGGTCTCGAGGCCTTGTTTTCCGCCTCGAGTGCTAGAGGTTCCGGATTCAATCCCCGATAAGGGCTGGGATTTTTTCACGTGGACTTGGACTTCTAGTAATTTCCCCTGGTAGAAGCCTAACGGCGCTGCCTGGACAGAGGTTGGCATTAAAAATCTATCCGAAGTCCTCGCCGGTGCTACAGAGCCAGTGCAATGCGCAGAGCTTCTACGGACTCAGACTTGAGTTAAAAGAAGAACGGAGCACTTATGGGTTACTACCCGTGTGCCATGATGTTGATCTGTTGTTCAAACCTCAAACAGGTGAATCGTCTGTGTGTCTGCCCCAGTGGTTTGCTGCATTTCAGAAGATTTCCCGACCTGTGGATTTTCTCCTTCTGTGTGTTTGATCTACCGAATGTGGTTTCGTTACGCTCTTTCACCTAGCGCTGTTTTATTCAACCTGAGTGGTCCGGGAAGTTTGCTAGCAGTCCGCCTAAAAATGTCTGTCAAATCAGGGTTTTCTACTTCTTATGTAAGTGAAAACAGATCAAATGGATGTTACTGCTTCGTCCATCAGAAACAATGCTCCAGTTACGTACATAAGACCTTATAACCGTTCCCTTGCGTACAAACGAAAAGGAAAAATGACGATGATATGTGTGTACCACGGAAAGGTTAAACAAATGTGCAATGATGCTACATAATTATTGTTGCAGTCACCTTTTGCTAGCCTCAGGACTTGGACATAGCGGTGGCAGGGCATGGAAAGATGCGATGGATTGGAAGCCATCAGCTGAGTCATCAGCTTTGAGTGCCGTCAGCGCCTTGACCAGATGGTACCCTTCTAGTGGACTGAACGTTTCAATGTTCTTTCTGACCAAAACTGAACTGACCTGTCCACTTTGATCTTCAACTTCATCTGAAAATAAAATCGTATCACAATATATGCATTTTTCTAATCAAAGCGAGTTGAATTTTGAGTCAGCGATAGATTACACACAAGAAAAATTGAACATGGGGATATTCTCTCTCTCTCTCTCTCTCTCTCTCTCTCTCTCTCTCTCTCTCTCTCTCTCTCTCTCTCTCTCTTTGTCAATTAGTTTTTTTAAGCGGCGGGACAACACTTTATGAAATGCAAAAATATGTCAGCCTTTTGTTTTTCTTTCTAAATAAACATGGTAGAAAACTGGAATAACAGTTAAAGAAATGTGAAACAATCATATGCTCGAAAGAGGACCATCTGCCTTAAATCTCCAACAGCCTGTGTCTTTCGGCCTTGTTGTACAGTCTCACAGATCATTCAGTCTCCTGATGTTGTCATTCTAAATGTTTCGTTATCCTGTTATGTCGTGTACCTTTAGATGAAATATTACACTTGTCTTTTTTTTTTCTTTAATTGTTTCTTTCAACAATTCTAATTTTATTCCTAGCTTTTAAACACTTGTGTATTTGACTTGAGGTGGAGGAGGAGGAGGAGGAGGAAGAAGAAGAAGAAGAAGAAGAAGAAGAAGAAGAAGAAGAAGAAGAAGAAGAAGAAGAAGAAGAAGAAGAAGAAGAAGAGGAAGTGCAACAACAATAATAACGAACCAAAACAAGAGCCTTTCACGGTTACGGCTTCCGAGTCAAAAGTCGGAAAAGAGATGAAGGGGTGGGGTGGGGGTGGGGGAGTGAAATGGGTGAAGTGGAGTAAAACATAAATATTCATTGTCACCACTGACCAGTTCCAGGAACATAAATGATACTGGGATCATGGAGAACGTGAGCATCAAGATGGCTGCCGTTGACGGCTGTGACCTCCACCTTCAGATGGAAATTGGCGGCACTCTGAATACGGAGACCCAGATCTCTAACAGTTTTTCGTGATCTCCAGTTTGTAGACTCGGTCAAACTCAAAGGGCATCTCCGTCTCTCCTCCAAGAATTGAGAATATGCCAGCCTATGTGCAAAATAAGACACTAGGATTTAGTGACCACTGGCGAAATTGTTTGGGAATAAAATGAGAAGAAAATAAAGACTCTGATGCCTAGATGGTTATCGGATCTGTGACTCTTGTGATCATAGGAGACTGTGAAGTTGTAGAGCATATGATTATCAGCAATAAACATAATGATGATTACAGCAATTTGGTTTGCTTTTTATGTAGCATCAATTTACAACCAGATAGGTTTATAGGTAAAATCCGTTTTGGGATGATTTTCTGGGTCATATATACCATTGTGAATAGGATAGTGGCAAAGGTTTGAGCACATGTATTCATGATGATACACCTTTAAGGTAGGAAATTGTAATGTTTAGGCCGTAATGCTGTTGCCCATCTTCTGCTTCTTCTTCTTGTTATTTATATCCAGACTCAGTTCTGCTTTTCAGCCTCATGCCCTGTGAAAAAGCTTTTGGTGCGCACCTTGATGTGTGCTGCTTATTCGGCACCTTTACATCTTTCCAGGGGATAGTGTTTTATTGCGCTGTGAAGAGGCACATGACTCATTACCCAGGGCGATATCATGTGTGACTAGCAAGACCCACTGGTGTTAAGAAGAGTCTTTCACAACTAGAGTATGGGATTTCAAGATCAGTGTCGCTATTATGTGCATTTGGAGTGTTTCTTCCCTAACTCCCAGCCCTCGTCCTTTCTGCGATAACTTCTTCCTTTACTGTATTAGCTTCCTGATTTGCCCTGTCCACTTACTCGATTTGTTCTATTATTATTCCTCTTCTTCGCATTCACCGGCTGTGACCTTCGTGACAAGTTTTAATTATTCATCCACTTCTGGACTGTGTGCATTAACTGCTACGTTTAGAAGATCGATGTGTCTGTTAAGCTCTTCCTCATTGCTCGGCATAGGGGCTTGTTTGCCATCAAAGAGGAGCTCACTGCACTTATAGTCTTCATTATTTTCAGCTTCTTGACTTACTAGATCTATAATTATGATCAATAGCAAAGGGGAATATAAGAATCCCTGTAGGACCCAAGACTGTCAATGGAGCTTTTTGGTCATTCTGGAATTTGATTTATTTATGTCATACATAGCCATGGGGCTAAAACACACTCCTTACGGACTCTGGATAGCCAATATAAATTTTTAGTCATTCCAATGTTTGATTTCACAAAATCTTCTCTGCTTTAAATTATTTACATCTACAAATATATACAAGAAGCTGGTAGTCTGGTAGTCTGGTAGTCTTAGTTTCAACTTCATAGCAAACGGGTCACCCCATCTTTGCTCCGCTCCTGTGCCAACGAAAAACACACAGAATGTTTATCACAGTATTAGAATTGCAGTTCATCATTGATGGTAGCAGAAGTCGCCAACAGATCAGCAGTTGCCCACGCGATCAATTTTAATCACATACGGGCACCACAACACTGCACGACAGACATCGCCCCATTTTCAGGAGTTTTCATATTAGAAGCTGCCTAACTCTACAGATCTTCGATGTTTTCCCTAATTTTGACTATATGTGGATTCAGGTAAAGAGATGTCAATAACATTGCCAAAACACACCGTGTGGGTCCCGGGGCCCCATCATGAGGTTAACTAGAATAAACCCACTGCCTCCCCAACAAGCATGTCGTAGGTGTCGACTAATTAGGGAATTGTTTATAAGTTAGAGTGCATCTGTTTGAGAGACAAGGAACGAACAGTCTGCATACAAATAAACCCAGATCTGTAAAACGGATGTTCACACAAAACTCACGTTCTGGAACAAGATTAAAGTCAAGATGTGGACGTAGAACCTTTGGCCGGCGTTCACTGCCAGTGAATGTGAAGAAAAAGAAGATTGCTGAAATCAAGGAAGTCTTGTTATTATCTGTTTGATTTATCTCATCCACTCTGTGAATTCTGAGATTAAATCCTCATCAAAGGTTTTCTTCATCTTCCACCTTTCAACACTCACCTTATGGTTGCAGTTTGTCTTTCCCTTTGCTCCGGTAGGAACACAAACGTAAACCGCCACATCGGCGGACAGACCAATGTTGTGGAGCAGGAAGCCAGCAAACACTCGCCCATGCTCCTGACGCTGCTTCAGTAAGTTCTCCAGCTGAGGGATAGTCTGATGGTTGAACTCCAGGTTGTCGTACTCGTAATCAAAATGGTTGCGGTAGTCAAAGGTGTCCGCAGGCCGGCTAAAACAGATGTAGTTTATCAGAATAAAATTCAAAGCACTGATTTCCCATTGTAAGCGTTGATACACATGGTACACGCCGTAGTAGTAGTACATTTTTACCCCCACCAGGACATCACAGAGGCGATAAACACTAGATGACACTAAGTGCCACCATGTGGATGAGGATCACCCATGGAGAGGTCCCGAAAACTGCGTTCAGCCATTATACCATATGTATGGTCTGCCTATATTGCAGCCCCTGGCAAGAGCTAGAGTAGGGCTTCAAATAAGGAAAAATTGCATCTCACAAGGAGATGACTAAAATTTGATGGTACACGCCGTACATTGTAAACTTTATTGCCTAGAGTATCGCTCTATATCCAGTCCAGTGCTTGTTAACTGAATTTATATCGAAATATAACGATGTGCCATATAACAGAAGAAACATGTTATTAGTCAAAGGCTGCTGCGATAGAAATGAGGATAGGGAGCGGCAGCAGATACTTCGATGTAAGGATGATTAGTAATTCACGGTCTAAGGACTCATAGCGAACGACAACATCTGCTGTGGTTTTGAAATAAAAAAAAGTAGAGGACCCTTTTCCACGCCTGCAGGCGAATAGGACATACATGGCTAGACATTTTTTTAAATAGTCAATCGGCACTCTGTGCGCGATGGGCCAGTATCACATTGGCAGCATTTACTTCCAAGGACTTCACATTGTACCCATTTAAGGCTGGGTCGACCTGGCAGCAAAAATCATTTTTGAAGAGACCGGCTCCGTCAGGACTAAACCCATGACTTTCCAATCTGCAGGCAAGCATCTAGCCGCTACACCACGGCGGCTCTCAGCTACGATATTAAGTTTTAAAAAAAAAGTAAAGATCCCTTTTTACGCCTTTTGGCACATCGGGCATATGGGCAGAGCGTCCCATATTTTTACAGACCATCAGCACTGTGGGTAATGTGGTCAGCATTACGCCGGCTGTCTTTACTTTCCCAGGACAGCCCATCCTGGAACCCATTTTAGGCTGGGTCAACCTGCGACGTCCCATACCAAAACAAAAATCCACGCAGCCAGCAGTGGGTTTCGATTGCGGTATGCTGGCTTACGAGTCGGACTCACAACTCCTTAGCCACGGACGCCGCAGCTACGATATTACTTCTATTTTAACATAGACCCCCTCTGGCATGTGGGTAAAGATCGGTACAGCCAGGAGTGAGAAGAAAGACAGATGTAGAAGCTGTTTTCAAACAAAGTAGCTCTTGGCAACTAACCCGCCGGACGTTGATTCATCTTTGGAGGAGGGAAATCTAATCAGCATCTCTAGACGTTTATGGAGCACCATATGTCAAACCCAACTCGTACCTTATTTAAAATTAGGATACTATGAATGTTTTTATTAAATAACAATTAATTCAAAAGTAGGAAGTGTTTGGTTACCTGTATTTTCTGGTCACTTTATCCTCGTTGTCGCTATCCCCAAATGGTCTGAGAGGTTTTCGGAGCAAGTTGATAGCGCAGTCCGCCTCGTTGTAGGGCAGGCCGCGGTAACGTTGTAGCTCCTGCCAGATTGCCCAGATTCTGGTGTTGGTTGATGAAATACAACGTGTACATGATAATGCATTTACTAGAATTAACTTTTCTATTTTAGTTAAAGTACATATTATGCTCATGAATGCATTTTATATTTATAAATACATGTAATTATGTGAATGTTAAGTATTCAGCAGTGGCTCTACACCTTCCTAATGCCGCAATCCTTTAACACAGTTCCCTCATGTTGCGGCAACCCCCAAACAATTATTTCCCTTCATAACTTCAAACCATATTTGTTTTCTGATGGTCCTAGATGACCCCTGTGAAAGGATCGTTTTCGACCCAAAAATGGTCGAGATCAGCAGGTTGACCACTGAACTAGAACAAAGGAGCTTAGATAGGCAAAACTGACTTGGATGACATCTAGAGTTTTCCGGGGAATTTACACGGTATTAAAAATGTTGTTACAGTAGTGATGTAAGACAATTATCGGTGTCTGTTGCTTAGATATTGTGAACCATCTTTGTAATTCCGAACTACCCAGTTCGATTTCTGTGGAGGCGATGTGACAGCAGATCCCTTTGCGTTGATTTCGACACCGAAAGCGGATTTCTTACCAAGCAGCTGAAACTACTGCAAGTAAAAATCACCTAGGACAACAGAGACAGACAAAGAAAGCTGGAGTTAGTTCTACAATTTCCAGTACATGGTTTGCGAAAAACATTGTAAGACATGTAATGTTATATATAACGGAGTCGTTACCTGCCTACGCAGCTGATCACATTTAGTAAATTATCATTTATCTGTCTGTGTGGGTTATGAGGCCTATTGAGGTGAAACACTAGAATAGACCCACTGCCTTATCGTGAAAGGCGAATAATAGGTTGGGGGGGGGGGGGGTGTTGGTTCTTCTTCGAAGTCTAAGTGCATCTACCTGAGAGGCAAGGAACGAGCAGTCTGCATACAAATATGAAAGATCTGTAAAACGGATGCACACGTACAACTAAGATCCTGGAACAAAGCCGAAGTCCAGAAGTGAAAAAACAACCCTGGTCTTTCCGCCGGAGTTTACAGCCGGTGAACTCACACAAACAATAACAATATCACTATATCTATAAAGGTACTGTCACCCTTAACCTCTCACCCAGCCTCTCAGCATTGTATCCACCGATGGAATCGTTACGTCATTTGTCCGTACCCACATAGAATTGCAGATAACACCTGACTAGCCTAGTTCTTACCGATGCCATGATGACTACTTTTTTGGGGGTTGATTTGAGGGTTGATTTATCTGCGATCTGCCCTCTTGGCGTGCCATCCAGACTAAGTCTTTAATCCCAGGAATGTAAACAATGTCAAGTAAAGTAAAAGATCTTTCCCCTCTTTCAGATGTATTGGGCATATAGGGCTAGGTTTATATTTTGTAGACGAATTGGCACTTGTTGCTTGATGCGGTCAACAGCATACCGACCACCTTTACTTCCCAGAACCTGATCTGGTACTTTCATTTTATTCTATATTTTCATTTTTACTATATCTGTTATAGTTAATATTTAAGAATCACTGAAAACTGTTATTCCTACTACTATTATTAAAATCGTTATTATCTCCACCACTAGAAAGATTATTATTCTTATTTCCAATTTTTATTATTACTATATTAATTTTGTCATTATTTGTGCTACTTTATTTTTTTTTAATTCGTTCCACATTCCCTTTCCTCTTCCTATAATTTATAGTTATTAACGTGGCTCCTTTATCTGGACTGATGACCAATTTGATCTGCCTTTTGTTGCTGTTGCTGTAAAGTGGTTTGAGTCGCTCCGTCCGGAGCTATCTGTGTGTGTGTGTGTGTGTGTGTGTGTATGTGTGTGTGTGTGTATACATTGTTTTCCCTATCTCTTTTTCAAGAAAAGTATCTTAGTACAGTTCAGTAGATTAATTTCTTTTAATAGCTTGACGTGCAGCCCCAGACTTCCTTACTAAGAAACTAACAACCTACCTGTCAGTGTTGGAATGATGCAGAAAGAAAACCGGATCAAAAGCGGCATAATCCAGAGATGAAAGGGAGTATCTGGCGTGTCCACCCAGCCATGAATGCAGGGCGTTGTGGATCACCTCAAACTGAATCTCGAAGTCGCAGAAGTGTGTCTGTTCGAGGGCAAACAGAGCTTGTTCGTAGAAATACTCGTTGTTGAACAGTTCCGGTTGTGGATCTCTATAAATAACACACAGAATGCTAGCAGAACTGATAGAATGCTGTCCAGATTTTAAATAAGATTAATTAATGGACCTATCTCCACGCGTTCAGGCACCTAAGGCTGAACCTATATTTTATAGAACAATCAACATTTTGTTGGTAATGTGGTCAACATCACATCGGCCGCTTTTACTTTCTAGGACTTTACCTTGTACCCATTTAAGGTTGAGTCGACTTGGGAGCCAAGATCATTTTGGAAACATCCTGCTCTGTCAGGATCCGAAAAAATTTTAAGTAAAGAGACATTTTTTGAGAAACCATTTAGTTCTAGACAAGCTTCTGTAGTTTAGTTGTTAGTGCCCCTGCTTTGGAACATAATGATGGGCGTTCAAATTCCAGCAGATAGGGAGTCTTACCCTAAAGAGTAAAACTGTGAGGTCATGCCGGAAGGATGTTATATAGTGACAGGCGATTTCGAAAATTGTCTTAGAACTATCTAGAAAGAAGAGAGGCCGAGGAAGAGAACTGTCACTCCATGTCAAAGATGGCGCAAATGACTACAGAAAGTCATTACTATCATCTCTGTCAATCTGGTCATGTGTTTGTTAACAGCGGGGGGGGGGGGGGGGGGGAGGGGGGGGGAGGGTATCTAGGTATGAAGTCAGAGAATGGAGAGTCAGAAGCAACAATGAATTTCATAATTTAAATCACCATAATTACTGGCATCGTAATGGCGAATATGATTGAAACGGTTAGAACAAATAGAGAGAATGAAAGATAATAGTTTTTTTTTTTTTTTTAAATGGCATTAAAAAATGGTTAAATGAGAGTAGACTAGGATGCAAACCAAGAAAAAAGTGGAGAGAAAAAATATCTGGAGGATAAATACTTAGAGTCACCAATTTGAAAGAATGGAGGCGGGTGATATCTGCAGCAATGAACCTCAAGGGTTCGGAATACAGAAGAAAAAGAAGATAAAGCTTTCTGTTGATGCTCACAGTTTTAATCGACTGTGTTTATTGCAGTACAACACACAGTGTTACTGATTATACACACCTTGTGGTTACTGCATCCTCTCCAGCGATTCTGCCACTAAAGAAAGGGTTGGGATCGAATTTCTGCTGCCTGGAGTTGAAATATGTTGCCTTGTTGATCAGGTCGGGTAGTTTGATGATGGGCGTCGTCCAGTCCCAGTAAGGAACGGCTACAGAAGAACCATGCTCCAACAGGGCGTGTTCCACCTTTGAATGACATTTTCAGATAATTAATGTCTCAAGCTTGAGTTTCGTTTGTAATGGGTCACATTTAGTGTAAACGGAAATCGCAGTTAGAACATCTCTTCATTCGCATAGATTATAGAGCAAGGCATATTTAACTAAGTAAACTCAGGTGCCGAAATGTTGAAAAAAGGGATCGTTAACGGTCAGAGGTCTCAGCCTCAACGTAGAAAGATCATTAATACAATAAAGCTGGACGATGATCAGCGGTCCACTTGCTAGGCCTCTGTGGGCTGGATTTTGCCTGCGGGCCATCATTTCAATAGCAATTTTCTAGAGGGACACTGGCACAGTGAATGGGAGCTATAACAGCGAGGATTGTAACGTATGCAAAGCAGATCTATACCTAAATTCAGGATGTCATCATTAAGTGTCTTGCCGACCGACGATAATGCTTCTCCAGAACGTTCAATTTCCAACAACATATATCAGCTTGTGTGCTGACAAATTTCCAACAACATTTACCAGCTTGTGTGCTGACAAACTTCCAAAAACATATACCAGCGTATGTACTGACACACATCCATGCCACGACAAAAGGCTGCAAAGATTCTTCCTATAATGTCTCTCGCAGTCTCTTTTCACAAATGTATGTAGTCATCACAGCGTGTTGTAGTTTCTTTCTTCTCATAACATGAGCAAACACTGATGACTGTCGCTCTCTGGCATTTGTGATTAGTTGTCATCTGGTACTTGTTTCTTTCAAAGTAAGCAGATTAGTCATTTTGCATTCTACGAAATTGTAAGTATACTTATGCGAAAGCCACGCTTATGAGGTGTCGAGAAATTGTTTGAGTTGTCTACTAATCGTTCAGTATTTTAAACCATATGTTCAAACTGGTTCTAACGCATGCAACGGCTCACTGTCTTACTGCCAATGTAATATCTTTTAATAAACTCTCTCTCTCTCTCTCTCTCTCTCTCTCTCTCTCTCTCTCTCTCTCTCTCTCTCTCTCTCTCGCTCTCTCTCTACCTCTCTATATTTCTCTTACTTTTTATCTCTCTCTCTCCCCTGTCTGTCTCTCTCTGTCTCTCTGTCTGTCTGTCTCTCTGTCTCTCTGTCTGTCTGTCTCTCTCTCTCTCTCTCTCTCTCTATTTTTTGTATACTTTCTATCATGGTGTACCACAATAATTGTTCGTCCTTACTTATAACTGCATGTTCTACCTAGCAGGTGTAGCTCCCAAGGGTAGCTTAAACGGCTTTTGGGGATCTGCCCTGTTGGACTGTTATCCAGGTTGAGATTTATTTAAATCTCAGAATGGTAAAGCTTCAGGCTGCACACGAAAGGAACAAACCGATTCCGATCGATAACAATTTTTTCCCGTCGGAGTCTGAAGCTTAGGCATCACGATCACGCTTCGTAATTTGTAATTTAGATACCCGCTCAAATTACTGCTGCAGGCGATTTGGCAGCATACAGCATTTTTGTAGACAGTGGTATGGAGCACCGACAGTTTGTTTGGGAGATGGAAAACTATTAAGTTAAAAATTGTTTGATAAAACCAATCCAGCTAACAAATTCAGAAGATGTTTTTGCAGAGTGCTGTAAAGGGTAACAACTCACTTTGACCATTATAAAAGGACTCTATTACACACCTTTAGGCGTATTGGGCACATGGGGCTATACCTATATTTTATAGACCAATCGGCACTTCGTGCGTGATGTGGTTATCATCACGCCGGCCGCCTTCACTTTCAATGACTACACCTGGTACCCACTTAGGGCTGGATCGACCTGGGAGCCTAGGTCATTTTTGAAAAAGGTCCTGGTTCCATCAGGACCCTAGCTCGTGACCTTCCAATCCGCAGGCAAGCATCTAGCCGCTACACCACAGCGACTCCCGCTTGACCATTATAAAAAGCTGCTTAATTTGTTCATATGAAAAATGCTATCAATAATCTCACCTGCTCAACGTAAAGTCTATGCCAGGATGGAAAGCTGGGGTTGCCATGGACACAGCAAGCCACTTTACGACCCGCATGCTCGCACAGGCCAGGTTTCCCATGGTAGGAAGCTATTTTCTCGTATGTATGGTCTTCCTGGATCGCCAAGAAAGCAGCTCGAAGACTTTCCACCTCTCCTGGGCTCAGACTGCTCAGATCACGACGGACATGAGACGTTGCGGTGGCCGCTGGTCTGTATTCTTGTCCATAAATGTGGCCTGAAATATGTTTAGATAATAATGTGGATTCATCTTGGTTCATCTGAGTAAAGATTCGAATAGCAGCACTCAGGACAAGACTATATTAGCTCTGCCTTTTTCCTCTACAGCCAGCCAAGATCCTCTACACTGATGGTACTCAGTATGATTACCAAGAGAAGATGGAAATGGCTTGGCCACGTTATCTGACTTCTGATTTTCAGCTCTCACATGGACCGGAGAAGAGACGAAAGATGGAAAGTCTGACATCTTTGATGAAAGTACTGAAATTGCACAGGACAGGAAAGCATGGAAATCTGAAGTTGACTAGGCTAACGAGAACTGATGATGATGGTACTCATTATCATCTTGTTAACTACTTGTTATACCTTTTCCTTGAGTCTCTGGCTGCTCCCAAGGCTTGCAGACACTCCCTGCTGGAACATTTTCTCCAGGTAAGGGTTTTCCATATCTTACCCTTTTTTTTTTGTTACCTCGCCCCACAGGCGGGAGATCACCTCCGCCTGTGCAGTCGTAGTACGCCCCCGGGTGGAACCAGTCAAGCGAGTCTGTTGTGGTCGGCGTGACGAGGACACCTCACCCAACAAGTGCTGACTAGTCTTCAAAATATGGGTTTGGACAAATATTTCAACACTTTTTTGTTTTTCTACAGAGCGATAAGGTGATTTTTATTAACATGACACCGACCGTCTTCACTTCCCAGAGCATTACCATCAAACAATTTTAGGCTGGGTTGCCCCGGGAGCCAAGGTCAATTACGATTTTTTTAAATTCTTTTGTATATGGATCTGCATCTTGATCTTTGACCGGCAAAATGAATGTATAGCCGCTCTGCTTGCTTGAATATATTTGTAGAATGTATGTATGAACATGCTTGTGTGTTGTGTATATGAATATGCTTGTGTGTTGTGTATATGAATATGCTTGTGTGTTGTGTATATGAATTTGCCTGTGTGACACCAGGTGACACAAAGTGCCATTTAAGTTTGCAATAGCTTATATAGCGATTGTAGAAGAGTAGTTAAAATAAATCAGGGAACATTTGAACCATTCAAAGTAACATCTAGAGTAAGACGGGGATGTGTCTTATCACCACTCCTGTTTATCACCTACATTGAGAGTATAAGCAAGGATGCCAGGCCAAGGAAAGAAAATAATAGTAACATCAATACATTTTTCTTTGCATTGATTTCAGAGACAGCCATGAATTTGCAACAGCATCTCACACTCATGAAAAAAGAATGTAAATCAAATAACATGAGAATCTACACTGAAAAGACAGAAGTAATGTCAATAGGAAGAAAAAAAAAACAGGATTTAAACATAGCATTAGAGCATCCATATATTAAACAGACATCTTAGTTTGAATATCTTGTAATAACATTCACTGAAAATGGTAAATTGGACGAAAAAAATTGTATTACTGGCCAGGTATTGGGACAAATACCCCCCACCCCCCCCCCCCCCCCCCACCCCTCCTTACAAGATAAGGCAATCCTGATCAGAACAAAGAAACATCTCATACAAAGCATACTCATTCCATTTATTCCTATCTTATGCTAACAGTGACAGACGTAATCGCCAACAACAAAACATAAAAGAAAATTAGTAACCATGGAAATAAGGTGTCTGAGAAAGACTGAAGGAGTGATCGAAAGAGAACAAATCAGGAATGAGGTCATACGAGATCAAGTCGGCACAGTACCAGTTCTAAATTACATACAGAGACAGCAAATCAAATGGTTTGTCCACTTGGAAAGAATACCTTCCTGATGATACACCACACAAGGCACATGCCAAAAGAGGAGAGGGAGGTAGAGAAAGAGGTACGCCAAGAAAAATATGGGTAGATAAGATCAGAGAAACTAACCAGCACCACGCGGTGTCCATGGTCAAAGCAGCCAGAAGAGCACGAAGCAGGACCTTATATCTCCCTTGACACCCGAAGCGGTAAAAGAGGACGTAAAGAAGAAGAAGAAGTAGTAGAAGAAGAAGAAGAAGAAGAAGAAGAAGAAGAAGAAGAAGAAGAAGAAGAAGAAGAAGAAGAAGAAGAAGAAGAAGAAGAAGAAGAAGAAGAAGAAGAAGAAGAAGAAGAAGAAGAAGAAGAAGACACAACGTGCCACAATTCGGATGAGAATCACCTGTTCACAAGTCCCATAAATCCCGTTCAACTTATAATAAAGTAAAAAAGTAAAGATGATTTTTACGCCTTATGCGCATCGGGCATATGGGAAAAGTACCCCATATTTTTACAGACCAATCAGCACTAGGCGGGTAATGTGGTCAGCATTACGCCGGCCGTCTTTACTTCCCCAGGGCAGCCATCCTGGTACCCATTTTAGGCTGGGTCGACCTGCGACAACCTGTACCATGATAAAATTCCGCGCAGTTCAACCCATAGTTTGGGCTATTGTAGGGCCCTGGCAACTGCCAGAGTGGGGCTTAAAAATAACGAACAATTGCATCCCATAATGGGACCCTGTAGTTATTATGTAAGTGTGTTGTATGTATGAATATGCCCGTGTGTTTACTCACTAGTTCCAACTTCATGGATCACAGTTGGCTCAGGGAATGGATGACCAAGATCCGCCCCATCAAGTCCAGTGACTGTGTACTTGATTGTATAGCGGTCATCGTATCGAAGATGCAGATCTGCCAGCTGTTGAGTGATCTCGTATTTGTACAGGCGGTCATAGGCCCATTCCATCTCGTGCTCGTCCCCCAGAAGGTAGAATTCCCCGGCAGGATGATTACAGTCGTCAGCTTTCCTAATGAGAAAAACAATTTACATCAGGGGAAATAATTAATAACGATGTGTAACAAGTGGAAATTATCATATTAATTTTCCAAGAATAAATAATGTATGAACAGTTGTAAAGTTAGAAGTAGTAGTAGTACATTTTACTCCACCAGGACAAGACACAAGCAAAAAAAAACACCCGATGACACAAAGTGCCACCATGTGGATTAAGACCACCGTGGAGAGGTTCCAGAAACCGCGTTCAGTCATTCGCTATATTTATGGCCGGGCTATATTGCGGCCCCTGGCAAGAGCCAGAATAGGGCTTCAAATAACGAAAAATTTGCTTTCCACAAACTAACGACTAGTTTAAAAAATAGTGCATCAGCCAGCAAACTGCGAATTGACTGACTGACTGACTTTTACCCCACCAGGACATCACACAAGCGATAAATACCCGATGACACAAATTAAGATTAGTGTCACGTCCCAGAAACCGCGTTCAGACAATTGGCCATATTGACCTGCCATTGCGGCCCCTGGCAAAAGCCAGAGTGGGGCTTCAAATAACAAAAAAGACATCCTAACAAGGACGCACGCCCTAAACGTATATGGATGATGTTGTTTGCGAACTGTTGAGACTCAGCCCTAGACCATAAGATTTGTTCGCAGCTTAGACGAGCAACAACAACAACAACAAATAAGTTAGGGGTTTAGTGCTTGGACAAATAGTGTATTTACATCTTAAAGTAAATGAGAACCTGAATCACAGCATGCTTGCTTCCGAGTGGCTGTATTTAGACAACAGGCAAACTATATCATCTGCCTACGTGTATGTGACAATTTTAGGGAGGGTGCAGGGGGGGGGGGGTCTGCCTGTCTGTAACTATTCATCAGGTAAATTTATACCTATGTACGGGTCTGCGACTAGAAAACAGAGAAAATATGTATTTTATAATGGCCGGATGTCTGGGATTATACAGCTGGGGACGTATATTATCTGTGCCTGTGACTACAACAGTGGAAACATTGTATCTGCCTGCGTGTATCATACAACAACGGTCATATGTTACCTCTCTGTGTGTCCGTCTAACTATAAAACTGTAGAAATATCTTAAATGACGGTGTCTGCTACTATTCTAGATAGAGAAAAACATGTCTCTCAGAGTGTCTGATCCTCTTTTGAAAAGAAATTGTCTCTGACGCAAGATAGTGTGTGTAAGCATGTATGTAAGTTGTATCCCACCAGGACATCACAAAAGTGATAAACACCTCCGGTGTCACTAAGTGCCACTTTGCGGATGACGATCACCAGTCGAGTGGTCCCAGAAACCCCGTTTAGCGGTTAGGCCATATTTCAGGCCTGGCTATATTTAGGGCCCCCTGCAAAAGTCAGGGTGGGGCTTCAAAATAACTAGAAATTCTATCTCACAAGGGGAAGACGAGAGTGTGTAACAAGATAGTGAATGTTACAGACACAATACAGCTGGCCTTCAAAACAGAGATAACATATTCTTGATTGTAGTTTTGTCTTACTTGCAAATATAGAACTTTGTGAGGGCAGAATGGTGAATTCCGTGAAGCCTGAATCCAACAAACACCCGGTCTTCTGCCTTGCTGTGTTCCAGGTGTCTAGCCAGCTGAGGGATTGTGAGTCCATTAAACTCTAGGTTGTCGTAATCGTACTGGAAGTTTGTTTTGTAGTCAAATACCTGCAGAAGGGAGACAAACATGAGTGTCTACCAGGACATATTGGCGTGGTTGTAAAGGGCATACAGCGCTAGACCTATATATTTTTTAGACCAATCGGCACTTGGTGGGTGATGTGGTTAAAATCACGGAGGCCGTCTTTACTTCCCAGTACTTTAACTCGTACCCATTTAAAGTTGGGTCGACCTCGGAGCCTAGACCAGTTCTGAAGTCGGAAACAGAACCCACGATCTTCCGATTCGCAGGTGAGCTTGTAGCCGCTATACCACGGCGTCTCCCAGTTATAGTATCAAGCTAAGTATAAGGATTTCAATGATCTCAATGAATAATTTTACATGAACATCAACTTAAAGTTAAAAAAAAAATTATTTTGTAGTTCCAAAATAGTTACTGTCGTTAGGGTGTGATGTGTTTGTTTTCCATACATACTAGAAGACAATACAAGAGGTGGGATGATGTGATGTGTTAGTTTTCCACACATACTGGAACACAATACAAGAGATCGGATGATGTGATGTGTTAGTTTTCCACACATAATGGAACACAATACAAGAGGTGGGATGATGTGATGTGTTAGTTTTCCACACATACTGGAACACAATACAAGAGGTGGATGATGTGATGTGTTAGTTTTCCACACATACTGGAACACAATACAAGAGATCGAGGTGATGTGATGTGTTTCTTTTCCACACATACTAGAAGACAATACAAGAAGTGGAGGTGATGTGTTAGTTTTCCACACATACTGGAACACAATACAAAAGGTGGAGGTGATGTGATGTGTTAGTCTTTTCCACACATACTAGAACACAATACAAGAGGTGGAGGTGATATGATATGTTAGTTTTCCACACATACTAGAACACAATACAAGAGGTGGAGGTGATATGATATGTTAGTTTTCCACACATACTAGAACACAATACAAGAGGTGGAGGTGATATGATATGTTAGTTTTCCACACATACTAGAACACAATACAAGAGGTGAGGTTGATGTGATATGTTAGTTTTCCACACATACTAGAACACAATACAAGAGGTGAGGTTGATGTGATATGTTAGTTTTCCACACATACTAGAACACAATACAAGAGGTGAGGTTGATGTGATATGTTAGTTTTCCACACATACTAGAACACAATACAAGAGGTGGAGGAGAAGTGATGTGTTAGTTTTCCACACATACTGAAACATGACATAAGAGGTGAGGGTAACCTTTTTCCATATTTGGTAACCTTTCAACATGAGACAATTTTTAGAACATTTATTAATATTTATGAGGTGTGTTTCGACGCCAGTAAAGTCCTGGTCTTAAACAAATCCCGTAAAAGTAAAAGTAAAATAAAGTGATGTAAATTAAAAGTGAATGGATAATTTTCTAAGCTTTGAAGTGAATTGTGAATTTGAACAAAGAAGACATAAACAATAGATTGCACAATTTATTGCCTGGTATATTAAGCTGTATCTCGTCAGGTGCATACTACAGTAACAATTGAGTACAATTTAACTAAGAAAATTGTCGCTCAGCTTCAAGACTATTAAACCTTTCTGTGGTGACCCCCTGTTATGATGCCCTAAACACGCACTTGGTGTGCTTAATAGATAATCCGACCCTGGCCTGATGATATACAGTCTGTATTAAAAACAATTATGCAATCTATTGTTCATCATCATCATCATCATCATCATCATAAACCACTTCGTCATTAAGTGACGTGGGGAGAATAATTTGCGATCCAGAGCACGTTGGCTGCCACTGACTAATGTCATGCCGTGAAGGCATAGAGTGTCTTTAATATTGTTGATCCATGTTTTCCGTGGCCGTCCTCTTGTTATCTATTCTTTGTGTACTCAATATTTAAATGTTTCTCTTCTGCAACTAGCTAAATTGTGTATGAGCACAATAAAGTGGTTGAAATGCTTACTTGGTAAGGGTATGAATGCTCCCGTGTCACAGGGTCAGGGTTCACATCCGACGACAGACTGAATGGTGCCAGGGGCTGTCGGATTTTATCAACTGCACAGTTAGCGCTGTGAGATGGCTTGCCTCGGTATTTTTGCAGGGCCTGTTGTAAAGATTGATTTGTAAGCATGATGTTGAATCGATTTAAATATCACAAGCAAATATTTTCAGTAAAAACACATAAGGTTGAAATCCATCCTGTTAGATATTTTACTGAGTGAGGTAACAAATAATCTCTTGAATAGAAAGTATCTTTCACCTGTTTACCTCAACGATAGACATTTTAATATCTCAATAAAATATGATACAGCTAAAGCAATTGAGCAGGGTAATTAGTAGATGTATTTGAAATTATTATTATGATATATTTATATTTGCAAACTAATTAAACAAAATGTTAAATTAGTTAAACATAACAGCAGCAGCAACAGCAGCAACAACACCCTTTGGATTGTTTATATTAAATATGTCTTATTTGCTTGTACATCTTACGTCATTTATTAGCACTCTCGTGGACTGGGTCGACATTGGAACCCAAACCAGTTTGTTCTATGTTTATTTAATGTAAGTTCCTTTTGGTATTTCGTCTCTCGCTGGTGTTAACCTCTGCAAGTTGCAAAGAACTTATGAGGCACGACTGAATTTTCAAGGCGAATCCTGTTCATAAAGTAATGTTTCTCAAACATTTTACACATTGTCCAACATGCTAGGGAAATCTGGCTTATCCCACAGGTCACATCTACTATGCATTCACCAACTGAAAATAAGGCATTTGATATTTTTATATCACTTATTTTAATTTGAGACACCGGCCTCTGGAACTTTGTGGAGACCTAATATTTATGATCATCCATTTTTGGTGGGACGTTAAGCATCGTGAGGAGAATTAGTATGTGAAACATTGTTCCATGGGTAGCTTTGGCTGTAGCCATTTCGTGTGGAGATAAAAATGAAGTAAAAGAAAAGGACTGTATTTCACGTCTTGGGCATGTAGGGCTAGACAAAATTTTTGACGACCAGTCGGCATTCAGTGGGGTATGTAGTCAACATCATGGTGGTGGTCTTTATTACTCAGGAATTTACCTGGGATCCATTTAAGGCCGGATTGACCTGGGAGTGAAGGTCATGTTTAAAAAAACAAAAAACAAATAAAAAACATGACTTCACATCCGCAAGTGAGCAACCAGCAGCTTCACCGTTCATGTGGAGGTAGAGTATCTTTAAATTAGCATAATTTTAATGTCATCAATCGATGTTCTTCCTGGGTTCTCTCCTGCTTGAAAGAGGTTAAATAGTAAACCGTTTACAATGCAGATAATTGCCAGTCACTCACTCTCAAGCATACACGGGTCTCTATTTAATATGCGTGGTCTCTTTTCTACAGACGGAAGCCACCATGGTGTAGCGGCTAGACGCTTGCTTACGGATCAGAAGGACCTGACGGAGCTGGGCGTTTTTCATTTTCGCTCGACCCAGCCTAAAAATGTTACTAGGTATAATCCTGGAGAAGAAAAGGTGGCCGGCGTAATGCTTACCTCTTCACCAACTAAGTGTCGATTGGTCTATAAAAAATAAGTCCAGCCAAGTACACCTAAGGCGGGGAAAAGGGGCCTTTTGCTTTACCTACAGACATAGTTACCTGCCCTCATTGTCCAATATCAGGGGCACTCAACCTTCCTAATGCCGTGACCCTTTAATACAGTTCTGTCAAGTCGTGGCGACCGCCAAACAATTATTTTCTTTCATAACTTCAATAAATATGTCTTTTCCGATGGTTTTAGGGGACCCACGTAAAAGGGTCTTTCGACACCAAAAATAGTCGCGACCCACAGTTTGAGAACCGCTGTTTTAAATCCTTCAGGAACCGTATCCAGCTGATAAGTCACCTTCGAACTCTGGCAGAAAGTTCTTGTTATTCATCACATCTAGACTTTAGACTTGTTAAAAAATCTGAGTGTTGTGTACACGTCCGTTTTACAGATTTGACTTATTCGTATGCACACTGTTGGTTCCTTCCCTCTCAGGCAGATGCACTCAGACTTTTAAGGAAGCTCCCTAATTAGTTAACTCTTATGACCTGCTTGTTAAGAAGGCAGTGGGTCTATTCTTGTGCCTACAATGGGCACAGACCAGCACGGGCAACAGAAAATTAATTATAGGTTTTATGACAGATGACAGAAAGAGTAGTCCATATCACGTGTGATGGATGAACAACAACAGTCATATGTGTACCTGCCAAACGGCCCACAGCCGGTCTGTGTTGGAGTGGTGTAGGTAGAAGATTGGATCATACGCCGTGTACGCCAGGGAGGCCAGAGAGTAAACCTCGCTACCACCGACCAGAGCGTGGATGAAGTTGTGGGCGATTTCAAATTGGACCTCGAAGTCACAGAAGTTTTCTTGCTCCAGTGCTAGAAGTACCTGTTTATGTAAGAGAGACGCTTCACTTCCGCTCTAAGATACAACTGGAATTAATTCTACAATAAACATTAACTTCTTCTGTGTAGGGCACATACCGTGTGGCGTTGGTAGACATGTCTTCTTATTCTTCTTAGGGTTTCATTGACACTAAACTCCAATGGAAAGTTATTTTTGTTTCGTCCACTTGTGAACTTTAATTTTTTTCCTATAACTTGAATTTTGCGTGCATGCCCGTTTGATAGATCCGGCTTACTTGTATCCAGACTGCTGGTTTCTTGCCGATTAGGCAAATGCTCCCCAACCCCTCTCGATTTCAGAGAAAAAAAAATCAATAACTATTCATCTTTTACGACATGCTTGCTAAGGAGGCAGTAGGTCTGTTCTTTCCCCGCCCCCAAAATGGGGCACCAGATCCTACACGGAGAGTAGTCTTGTCTATCCAAAACCTTCTTTCTCATGTACTTTCAATGATTCTGTCACAATAATCTTCCATGCCATTATGTCAGACTATGAAGCATCTTCTCTCTCTCTCTCTCTCTCTCTCTCTCTCTCTCTCTCTCTCTCTCTCTCTCTCTCTCTCTCTCTCTCTCTCTCTCTCTGCCTCTTTTCCACTCCAGCTTTCCCACTGTCATGATTTACTCATTTCTCCTCCGCTTGACATGACTAAGAAATGTAGATTGTCTTCTGATGTGAGCGATCATCTCTCTTCGTTAGTCTCTCTCTTTCAAGACATTTTCCTTACTCTTGTTATCTGTTCAGAGAGTTCTAGTCATTTGTCTATAAAGCCACATCTCGGCTGTTTCCACATAATTGTCCACTAATATGTCAAGTAACAGTGATGTGCTTCCGTTTATCAGGATAGGATTTATACACCGGTATAGTTCCTGAGAATTATCATTTTCATCTCAACTGACAAAGAAAGCATTCATGGAATATTGTTTTATTTATACTACTCACTTAAACAAGGCATGTGTCTCTTTAGCCCCCTCTGCCATATTGGTAAAATAAACTGAGCTAGAAAAGGGAACTCTTAAGAAAAATATCGAACTAATCATGATATACAGACGTGTGAATCATAGACACTTAGCTCATTACTTTTAAATTAAACTGAAACTATAGAAGGTGTGGTTTGAGAACAATACGGACAGAAAAACACTCCATGAAGTCTTGAAATAAATTAAGATCCGTCAACGTCCCCAACATCCAGCGAAGGGTCTCCATACGGAAGATGTCCATTGTCATCTGTTATCCAGTCTTTTTGCTTTTAACCTGTCTCGACTAGTGCCCAGAGCTGTTTGGGTTCTTGTTTTTTTTTAAATTTAATTTTGAATATGTTGGTTAGACCTAGAAACAAAATGTTGGTAACAATAATGTATTAATTAGTGCTCTTTTTGTGTCAGTTGTGTGTTTAAATGTACTACTGCAACAGCAATTCAGAAAAGACAAGCTAGAAAAGACACTGAAGCAAATCACCAGAGAGATGCGGCCTTTTTTTTCCCCTGTCCACACTGCTCAAGAACTAGAATTGGCCTTTTTAGCCATCTGCGCACTCACAAAACCTAATCCAGTCACCAATGGATGAAAGGACTGGTCATCATCACCTGTGATGGACGAACAACAACCACATACCTGTCTAGCTATAGCCGTATAACCCCCGAATCCTGGATCCTGGTACAGATCCTCCCTCACCGACCTCACAGTGTCCTGGTTGGCGTCATCGATATGAGCGCTAGTGGAAGAACATTTCCCATACATAAGTAAATATCATTACACAGTGTGGTTTTAGTTATTGTTAATGGTCGTGAGGTATTGTTGGTGGCGTTAAATTGTGTTCATCCTGTAGGTCAAATGTTTGATTTCGAAGTCTGACGTTCTGTTCGCAAGCGTACGGTGCTCCAGGATCCACAACGATTGTTGCTGGAGCTAAGAAGATTAATTAATATCCGCTTTAATCTCTAGTTGGATGATCAGCCACTCTCAGGAGAGAGACCAGACATGAAAACATAAGACATTCGACACTGAAATCGATTTTTTTCTTCTTCTAATCGCATTTTAAAGTTTAAAGCAAATTATGGTAGACAAAAGTAGACATTGAATTCAACTACGTAAAGCAGTCCTAATGAGAATACATTTAGCCCACACACACACACACACACACACACACACACACACACACACACACACACACACATACACACACACACACACACACAAATACACAAACATGCATTGAGAAACTTTATACAAACTCGGTATACTGGTGGCGCATCGCTGTTGATTGATCGTCAGCAAGTTTTTTGTCATTAAACGTAGACGACCGTACATTTTCATGGCAAGGAATTTGAAATATCATGCATGTATCGATTCGAGTTTTGATAACTTTTCATGTTTTGACAAATTTATAATAAATAGATTTTTAAAATTTATAACTGTGAGAAGTAAATATCTTAACACTATGAGGAGCATATAAGTTATCACAATGAGAAGTATAAGATATAACACTCTGAGGTGTACATAACTGAGAAGTAAATAACATTTTATGTATAGGTATATAATTTATCACAATGAGAGGTTTATAATTTATCACTATGAGAGGCATATAAGTTAACATCATGAGATTTACATAATTTATCACTACGAGAAGTATCTAACTTATCACTCTCTGAAGTATATATTTTATTATTTTGAGAAGTATATAATTTATTACTATCTGAAGTATACAGTTTATCATTATGAGAAGTACATAATTTATCACCACACCATGTATACAATTTATCACCATCTGAAGTATATAATTTATCAGCATGTAAAGTATATATTTTATCACTATGGAAAGTATTTAATTTCTCACTTTGATAAGTATATAACATATCACTGTAAAGTACACAGCTAGCCATCCATACATATTATGCATCAACATAAGCCACGCCTACAACTTCAGAGAACAAGAAAAACACATACAGTTTACCTGTAGAACGGATTTGTAACCACTTTTCCGTTTTTGGGGTTAACATAAGTCGGGGATTCGACAATTGCAGGCAGGGATTTCAGTGGCTGTGTCCAGTCCCAATAAGGAAGCCCTCCGTGGTAGCCGTGACTTCTCAGAGCATTCTCGGCTTGGACAGTCAACAGTCTGTGTTGGATCAAGCAGAGCATATTATAGATAGTCTGTAAGTAGGGGAGCTGCCCTGATGTAGCGGCTACATAATTGCCTGCGGATCCGAAGGTTCACATCCGACGGCAGCCTGAAAATGACCTGGCATCCCAGGTCAACCCAGCCTTAAATGGGTACCAAGGTTAAAGTCGTTGGAAGTAAAGACGACCGTAGTGGTTTGACCAAAGCATCAACCAAGTGCCAGTTGGTCTTTACAAAATATATCTAACCTTTATGCTCGATTTGTCTAAGGGCCTTGAAAAGGAACCTTCATTATAATATGGTACGTAAGTGGTAATACATAGTGAAGGACCTTTTTCTTCTCACGTAGGCTTATTTGGTATATACTTAGTACAAGTCGTCCCCTTGTCGGATGCAATTTTGAGTTATGATGAAGCCCCATCTCGGCGTGTGCCGGGGGCTCTAAATATAGCCGGGCCATAAATATGGCCTAACGGCTGGACGGGGTTTCCGAGACCTCTGGACTGGGGATCCTCATCCGCATGGTGGCACTTTGTGTCACCGGGTGTTTATTGCTTGTGTGATGTCCTCGTGAACTGGCGAGAGACCGAGTTTCTTTCAGACAGACTGTGATGAGAGCGACGTTCTGCAAAGGACCTGCTACATGATGATGATGATGTTCTCGTGGGGTACAACCTACCTCCCTTTTTTGCATAGAGTACAAGATATAGATTTTATATAATATTTGACACTCAGTAGGTGATGTCACAATCATGCTGCCCGCGTTTGCTTCCCGTGACTTTGCCCAGGACAGAAAGAACGAGCAGATTATTAATAAAAATAATAATAATACGCATCTGTAAACTGAAGATTTAGTGGAAGAAAAGAATAGGACCCATTTACTGTACAACGATAGTAATAGTAAAGTAAATATTCCTTTTCACGCCTTTAGGCGTACCGGGTATATGGGAAGAGCACTCATATTTTTACAGACCATCGGTAGTAGGTGGGCAATGTGGTCAGTATTACGCCGCCCGTCTTTACTTCCCCAATACATACATCCTGGTACCCATGTAAGGGTGAATCGATCTGCGACGACAACAATAATAATGATAATAATAATTTTTTTTTTACATAGGTATTATCATTACTCAGCAGGTCCATTCCAGAACATCGCTCGCCTTACGGCACACCTGAAAGTCTCTCTTTCTCTAGCTAATTCTCCAGCCGTATGTGCTCTCAAAGCCAATGAATCTTCAATGTCTTTATCGACTTTCGAGGATCTCTGCCCATTACTGTTTTTCGGAGACTTCACCCACCATCACTATTCTCTGCCAGCCCCTATTTCTCCTAAGGTGGGCCAAAATACCTGAGTTTTCAGCGCAGGATGCTGTTTACGAACAAGCTGTCCTGAAACAAGTGTGAAGTATAATAATTACTATTTAGAAATAGTAAGACCATCAAGTCTGTCGATAACGTCTGCCTTTTATGCAGCTCTTCCTCAAAGCTACAATACCAAATTGCCCATCAATATTTTCAAGACAACACAATACTTATCAACAAAGACAATAAAGTAAGCACTTGACATTTAAGGTAGCTTTGCCATTTGTGGATAGATCTGTGTGACCACTACACACGACATGACATGTTACTTTTTCGTCTGCGCTTGCCCCTGAAAGGACAGTAAGCTTGTGGGGCTATTAGCGGTGGCACACATGACAGCTGCCTAATGCATTTTTACTTTGCTCATGTAAGCCTTGCTATGTTGCTGAGACTGACAAGTTTTCACTAGTTTTCAAATGAGACGGTAAATGACATTGTCTGTGATTTTCACTGTCACAGGAACAGAGCAGTTATTAGAGGGAAAGGGGGTGAGGGGGTGGGGGGAAAGCGGATGATCTACCCGAAGTGACGATGGAACATAGACAAAATGACAAAGTTAGCTCGTTTCGCTGTGGCATAGACAACGATATTTGTGACTTTCGGCCCAACACACTCGATACCAGCGAAATTCTAGTTATTCACCTTTTCGGACATAATTGTTGGGTGCGTAGTCTATTCTCTGTGACCCTTCCCCACCTACCATCCATTTCTCAAAATTGGGTTTTGAACTCACGTGGGAAACTAGGCCTACAAAAAGTTATTCATGCAACCAGTGTCTAAGTCTTGAACACATACCTGTGCCAGTGAAGGAAGGTAGGCATCCCATGGACGCAACAAGCCACTTTGGTCTCTGCTGCAGGACTGGGACACCACAACGTGGCTCCGTGGAAGCGGCCAAGAGTTTGGTAACCCCCAGGGGTCTTGTCATTCTCCAGTAATTCAAGAGCGCGTCTCAGCTCAAGCTCTTCCTCTGGGGTCAACTGGTTGACATTTTTGCGCACGTGTATGTCTGACCTGCTGGTTGTGTGCGGTTCTGGAAGAACAGGGGAAAACAGTTTCACTCCAAGCAACGCTCAAAGACAATGGGATGAATAACATAGGGGTATAGGAATAAGAGAAATGTCTGGACAACCACTGCCACCAACAGTTACACGGTAGAGAAGATACCAATACGCCTAAAGACTTGGAAAGTGGTCTTTGACTTCATATATATATACACACACACACACACCCACACCCACACACACACACCCACACACACACACACACACACACACACAGAGATCCTTAGTCTCACAGTGTGCAGACTAGGACTGGTTAAATATCTCATGTTAATTTACCCACATACTGGACATTTGACTTTGCAATAATTATTTAATGTCTTCTGTAATACTTTACTTGAGGATATACGGTGATTTATTAATATCATGGGACAGTCTAATATTTAAGGGGGTGGTAAATAGGCTGCATGCAGCCGTGGCACCTAACCTGCATGCAGTCGTGGGACCTAGGCTGCACCCTTTCGTGGGACGTAGGTGGGTTGGGGTTAGGGCCGGTTCTAGATGTTTTGGGTCGTTAAAAGCATCAGAATGCTGAGAAACCCAGTCTTACCACCCTCTAAAATGTTGGACTGTCCTGTAACGTCATCTGGTTAGGATATTATTAAAGAACCGGATATACTATAAGAAACTGTGTTAGGGAAAAGAAATATCGCTGGTCTGTATGATAAATCGTGGAACACTGGTGAATGAATACCTTAGGTGCACTGTTTTCTTTGTGACCCAGGCTGGAGTAGATGAAAGTAAACATTGACGGTTGAATAAATAGATCCTGCAGTGCCATGACTAAAATTCAATGCTGGAGAGGGCTTGGACTGTGTGGCTGTGTTAATTAAAATAGTGAAAAACTGCTGGTCAAAAACTTTAATTAAAGGCTTAAACCCGAGATAACTAACTTCAGGGCTCTGGTCTTTGTCAAGTATGGTTCAGTTTCTCCCTGTGGAACAACTTCCCGACTACCGAGAGCGTCACACAAAGTACAAACACTGTAGCTGAAGCCACGATCGCCGTGGATCTTAGTATACATTTAACTCATCAAAGTAAAGAGACACACTTTGCGAACCCACGACCTTAAGAGGGTAAGGCACAATCTCAGCCATCTAGACATTGAGGCCCTTCAACAAAGAGAATAGTATTTCTAGACATAATGAAGCACAGCCCAAAACGTGTATAAACCAATCACGCAGATATAAAAAGTAAAGTAAAATACCTTTTTCCCAGCCTTTAGACGTATTTGGCAAAAAAAGTGCTAGACCTAAATTTTATAGACCAATCGGCACTCGGTTATCATCCCGCATGCCGCCTTTACTTCCATGACTTTATGTGGTACTTATTTAAAGTGGGTCGACTTCAAAAAGAGGAGGTAATGCTTTTTTAAAAAAATCCTTTTCTATGTTGATTTGAATCCATGACCTTTTGGCCCGCAAGGAAGCATCTAGCACCTTCACCAAGGCGCCTCGCACGTACAAAGATACAACATGGAAATAAAAGAAATCTTCAGCTGCGGGACTCACCTTCAGTTCCCTTCAGTGACAGAGATATCTTTGGAAACAGACTGACATCGATAGGTGTGCCATCGAACTCTTTGATATCCAGAGTGACTTCATAAGGCATTGCCCAGTGAAGACTGAGATCTTCAAGAGCATGGGTGATTTCATGTCTGTGGTGTCAGAGAAAACACGCTTGACAAATACAATACGTGTACACAATTGTCTGTCTTATCTGTCTGTCTGTCTGTCTGTCTGTCTGTCTCTCTCTCTCTCTCTTTCTCTCTCTCTCTCTCTCATTTATGTCTATGTATGTGTTTGTGTTTTATGTTTGTATATGTATGTAGATGTGTGTGTATGTATTACGTATGACTGTATATGAGTGTGGATTTATGAGAACGTAGGAGTATGTATACGTGTGTGTGAGTGTGTACGATTGTGTACTCATGATGTGTGTATGCATTATTCTATAATTTATATTTCTTTATTATATCCATAACATGCATTATTGATAACAGGCATTGGTACTCTAAAAATGAGTTCTTAGAAGGGCCGAATGTCAGACGGGCTTGCGTGCCCAATTTGTAACCCTTTGAAAAAAAAAGTTTGTTCGTTCGTTCGTTCGTTCGTTCTCTCTCTCTCTCTCTCTCTCTCTCTCTCTCTCTCTCTCTCTCTCTCTCTCTCTCTCTCTCTCTGCATCCACCCCGTCCACTCCCTTCCCTGTTAAATCACACAATCTATCGACATTGGTAACTGGCTGTTACGAGTAGGCCTACCCAAAGATCCTGTTCTAAAGCAACACTTGCATACAGTTATGTCCCCCTGGGTGGTTTCTGAACCTTACTGTGGGGTGAGGGGTAAAAAAAAAGGGGGGGGGGAGGTGGGGGGACAATAATTCGCCCACTGCCTCCCAGAAAACACATCGCAGAAGTCGACTAACTGGCAGTACCTTTTGAAGTCAGAATACGTCTGCCTGAGAGGCAAGGAGCCCAGAGTCTGCAAACATACACACACACACACACACATTTGTGAAAAGGATGGGCATGCAACACTTATGTTCCATACTAAATCTAAAGAACAAACACTCAGGTTCTAGACTAAATCTAAAGAACAAACACTCAGGTTCTAGACTAAATCTAAAGAACAAACACTCAGGTTCTAGACTAAATCTAAAGAACAAACACTCAGGTTCTAGACTAAATCTAAAGAACAAACACTCAGGTTCTAGACTAAATCTAAAGGACAAACACTCAGGTTCTAGACTAAATCTAAAGAACAAACACTCAGGTTCTAGACTAAATCTAAAGGACAAACACTCAGGTTCTAGACTAAATCTAAAGAACAAACACTCAGGTTCTAGACTAAATCTAAAGAACAAACACTCAGGTTCTAGACTAAATCTAAAGAACAAACACTCAGGTTCTAGACTAAATCTAAAGAACAAACACTCAGGTTCTAGACTAAATCTAAAGAACAAACACTCAGGTTCTAGACTAAATCTAAAGAACAAACACTCAGGTTCTAGACTAAATCTAAAGAACAAACACTCAGGTTCTAGACTAAATCTAAAGAACAAACACTCAGGTTCTAGACTAAATCTAAAGAACAAACACTCAGGTTCTAGACTAAATCTAAAGAACAAACACTCAGGTTCTAGACTAAATCTAAAGAACAAACACTCAGGTTCTAGACTAAATCTAAAGAACAAACACTCAGGTTCTAGACTAAATCTAAAGAACAAACACTCAGGTCTAGACTAAATCTAAAGAACAAACACTCAGGTTCTAGACTAAATCTAAAGAACAAACACTCAGGTTCTAGACTAAATCTAAAGAACAAACACTCAGGTTCTAGACTAAATCTAAAGAACAAACACTCAGGTTCTAGACCAAATCTAAAGAACAAACACTCAGGTTCTAGACTAAATCTAAAGAACAAACACTCAGAACTTTCCGCCGGAGTTTATAGCCGGGCAACGTCAAGAAGAAGAATCACACAAACACAGAAGCAGGTTAAAAAAAAACGTCGCACTAGGAGACTATGGATTAATGACAAAAAGAGCTTCTACGCAGACACGAAATTACAATAGCCGTTGCTGCCCATCAAGCAGTAGATGGCAATCTGTTCCTCTTTACCCGCTGATCGGCAGAAGTGAAAATTTATGATGATGATGATTGTATCTGTAGATGGGAACTCGTTGAGATACCTGTATGCAATGAATGTGACGCTGTACAAACATCAATCTTAAATATATCCAGTATACTGTACACCGTACTTCATCTTACTTGTAATCACGATCGAAACTCCATGGCATCTCTGAGGGACCTCCTAGCAGGGCAAAATGACCAGCGGTGTATCGCTGGCCGCTCAGTGATGTCACATATATCGTTGCCAAACCTGTTTTAGAATGGAGACAAAGTTGGTGAGAAACATCCTATTGTACTTCCAACGACAATATCTTGCGAGTGAAGTCCGGAGGCACAAATAGATCACTACGGTCTGAGAAAAATGGCGCTGCAAGGAGTCAACAGGGGATCTGACCGACGCCAAACACTCAAGGGATAACAAGACGGATATACAATCAGTCAGTTACTGGAATTGTAACTCTTCTCCTGCTGCTGAAAATGGGGACGGAGGATTTATGGGAGTGTCCCGAGTGATATGATGTCGATTTCGAATTCAACATTGAACATTCAGTCACCAATATATTCTGACTGATGTCTTGTATTGCCTGCATTCATTGCTCTACTCAAGAACCCTTTCAACGCCTTCATGTATTCTGGGCATATAGGGCTAGACCAATAATTTATAGACCCCTTGGCAGTTGGTGAATAATGCGGTCAATTTCACGCCGGCAGCCTTTACTTCCCAGAACTTCCTACTCAGGGCTAGGACCACCTGGGAGCATGGGTTTTTTGAAAAAAAAAAAGTCTAGATTTGTCAGCGGCGGCTCCACATTTCTTCACTGTAAGATTACTACTGTAAGGCAGTTGGACAGTTTTACATACACTCATAAATATACACACATATTCATATCCATGCATGCATACATACATCAACAAATGAGCCCATAAATATCACATACGCACACATACGTATATATATATATATATATATACATACAGTAAGTAAAGAAAAGATCCCTTTTAACTCTTTTCAAGCACATTGGGAATATGGGAAGAGCACATATATTTTTACAGAACGATCGGCACTAGGTGGCTAATGTGGCCAGCATTACGCCGGCCGTCTTTACTTCCCTAAGACATACAACCAGGTACCCACTTTGGGCTGGGTCGACCCATGACGTCCCATACCACGATAAAAATCCAAGCAACCAGCAGTGGATTTCGGTCTCAATACCTTGGAATTACCACTCGGACTGGCAACGCCTAAGCCACGGACGCTGTCTATTCAAACACTCGTTTGCACACTTTTATTACACATACACACACTCATACTTATACCTACCAGATATGCAGGCACATAAAACACACACACAAGCACTCACACAGACACACACATACACACCCATATATATATATATATATATATATATATATATATATATATGTATAAACACGCACATTCATACAAATATTTTCCATAGGTGCATACATCTAACACACAGACTCATAGAGAGAGAGAGAAAGAAAGACAGACAGACAGACAGACAGACTATAGACAGACAGACAGAGAGAGACTGAGACAGACAGAGATACAAACAGACTGAGACAGACAGACTGAGACAGACAGACAGACAGACAGACAGACAGACAGACAGACAGACAGACAGACAGACAGACAGACAGACAGACAGACAGACAGACAGACAGACAGACAGACAGACAGACAGACAGACAGACAGACAGACAGACAGACAGACAGACAGACAGACAGACAGACAGACAGACAGACAGACAGACAGACAGACAGACAGACAGACAGACAGACAGAAAGAGAGACAGACAGAAAGAGAGACAGACAGACAGACATACAGAGACAGACTGAGAGAGAGACAGACAGAAAGAGAGACAGAGAGAGACATACAGTCAGACATAGAGAGACAGACAGAGAAAGACAGACTGAGAGAGAGACAGACAAACAGACAGAGACACAGAGAGAGACAGACAGACAGAGAGAGACAGACAGACTGACAGACAGAGACAGACAAAGAGAGAGACAGACAGAAAGACAGACAGACTCACACACACACACACACACACACACACAGACGTACCAGATTTTTTGATGCCATGAAGCTGTATGTTCAAATAGACACGCTCTTTTGTCTTGAGGGTATTCAGGTAATCATCCAATTCTGGGATACTCATTCCTCCAAACTCCAAACTGTCATAGGCGTATCCCAGTTCTTCTTCATAGTCGTAGACGTTGGTGGGCGTGGAGTGGGAGAAGGTCTTCTCGTTATTATTGAAAGGAGATGAGAAGGCGAATGGTTTTAGTGGCGTATGTACGTATGATTGGGCGCAATGGGCTTTGTATGGCTTGTGCCTGTAAGGAACCAGAACAAATATAGGGAAGGATTATACTAAAATATAACTTAAAATCACGGTCATTACCGTTATTATATTTTTGTGTATTCCTTTTTATGTATGTGGCTTGTATATTTATGTGGTACTGATGAAGGCTTTCTAGCCGCAACGCTCACATGTCGTCTGTGTTGGTAGTAATGTAAAGCTGACTTTTTCTAATTTTAGTATGCTTGACATATGTGCTTTAGTTTTACTTTACATTACCTGAAAATATTCATAGAAATGTGGAGACAAAAGCTTTTTTTTTTATGTCTGTACACAACAGTACGCAATAATAACACCTATTTTTTATACATCATTTTTTTCCCCCGCCTATCTAGAATAGACAGTACTTCATGGTGAGTACAGGCACTTTTGTTTCCAAGAAAAACAAACCCTGGTGAAGACAAACAATATTACCTATGCTCTTGAAGAGCGATCCAGATGGCCCAGATTCTGTCAATGTTGCTGTGGTGAAGATAGAAGATAGGATCGAATGCACTGTATGACAGAGAAGACAAACCATACTTGCTGCGTCCTCCAACCAGGCCGTGGATAAGATTATGTGCAATCTCAAACTGGACCTAGAAACACATAAACAAAGGTTCATTATGTCAATGCATGTTTCTGTTCACATGTAGATAATTGCTGGCATAAATCAACATGTAGCGATCAAAATCTACTCTAACGTCGCTGGTTCTAAGAGCCATATCATCTGTGGATTTTTAATCTGATATGAACGATTCGGGAAACTAACTGATTTGGTCAGCATAAAGAATGGACATATTGTATTTCTAGTTCCTAAGTATGATGCCCTCCCAAAAGAAGGTGCTGTGTGGATCGGCGGAAGTCTTCTTCGGGCGAGTGTATCTTGTATTCGGAAGTCTCGCCTCTAGACCATACTGTTTGTCTCAGTAAAAATGTGGAACAGAGAGGAAGATATTCAAATGGCGATAGAATAATTTGGAAGCACCAACATTGTACGGATGGAAAGTTTGGGTCTATCGCTGATGGAGTTGCGTTTGATGGGGAATGCTTTTCTCCAGGTTGATGGTAGTACTTTTTTTCAGAGCCTTTTGCAGGATATGTTCAGTTTATCAAGAAGTTCGTACACTTTGCTAAGGAAATTAGAGTCAACTGTGTAGCCGAAGGAGCTGAGAGCATAGAATGTAGTTTTTAAAAAAGGAGTGGGTGAGACGAAGTATTTAGAATATTGCTGTGAGAATCTGTAGACTTATAGCAGACGGCTGTCCTTAGAAACCGGAAATAGATGCTGCCGTTGATGTCAAGGTCATGTGCCAGATTAAGGAAGCATGTACCTAATAATTCAAAACCTGTATAAGTACAAAAATGCACATAATTAGTGTACACAATACATAATTGGTGCTCTATTGATTCAGTTCCGGGAACTTGTTGACTCCACAAATGTAGTTATCTTTCTTTAATTGTTATTATTATTTAATTGTTCGTGAGTATGGATGGTCATATGTTGCACAGGTCGTAAGTGTGGATGGTCATAAATTGCACAGGTCGTAAGTGTGGATGGCCATAGGTTGCACATGTCGTAAGTATGGATGGTCATATGTTGACAGGTCGTAAGAGTGGATGGTCATAAGTTGCACAGGTCGTAAGTGTGGATGGTCATAAGTTGCACAGGTCGTAAATGTGGATGGTCATAAGTTGAGCAGGTCGTAAGTGTGGATGGTCATAAGTTGCACAGGTCGTAAGTGTGGATGATCGTATGTTGCACAGGTGGTAGGTCGAGGGGAAAGTGTATCTGATTATTAATAGCCAGACTCTTCCGCATCACACCAAACTCACAACCATTTCGTCAGTCGCTCATCTAATTTACTGACCTCAAAGTCACAAAAGTTGTCCTGTTCAAGGCCAAACAGGAAGGCATCATAGAGCTCTGTGTGGTCACCCCAGGCTGGACTTTCACTCAGACCCGACTGGACATCACGAGACGTTCGCTCGCCATGGCCCAGGAAGGCGACCTCCGCGTCATAGAACGGGTTACGATGCTCTACACCGCTGACAGATGCGTACAGAAACTGCTCACACATTTGTTTGTGTAAAGGCAAATTCACAAATACATGAAACGTGCTATTCGAAATATTGCAAGCTTTCTATCCTTATTTGCAACAATTTAATATACACATGCATTACGGTAAATATTAAATGATTTAATATTATTTGCATATGCGGCTTAATTTTGCGAGGGCGATTAGTGATTCCAAAATACCTGGTTCGATTCCTGCTGAAGGTTTTACAGCAGCAGACAGCTTTGAGTTTACGGTTCAGTCAGCAATGGCAAATTACCTTAATATATGCCTTGTATGGTTTGGGGTCACAATGCAATCTCTCTGCGTCAGCAAATCATTTTTGTAATTTAAAATTGGATCTGCGCCTACTTTTTTCTTATACGACCTTGTTTCTATTTTATTTGTTTTGGTAACTTTTGCAACCTTTTTCATTTCCACGCCCAACCCTCTTTAAAAATGATAAATACAGAAAGTTAGGAAAGTTTTTCTGAGATCAGTTAGTTTATATCTAACCATAGAATTATTGAAGCCCAGGCCTTACAAACTGGAGGGCAACCACTCACAGTTACAATGGGTCTGACATGTATATAGAAACTGAGAGAATAGACCATCGCCTCCATCCACCCATTTACGAAAAACAAAACTAAAAAAATTGACCACATTCAACCTACTACGAGCAGTATCGTCTCTAAATGTAGTCTGGTTTCTTTGTGCCTATTATGTTGGCAAAGAAATCAGTTTATGAAAAAACAAAACAAAAAATCGACCACGCTCAACCAACTGTGAGCAGTTCGATTATAATGGTGGTCTAGTTTCTTTGTGCCAATTATGTTGACCACAAAATGTTAATTGCACCAAAACTAATCACTTGGACAGGTACTCTAGCACCCAGTGAGGGTTGTTAGGGAGGGATTTATGCACTATACACACCCACACCCACATGTAGACATAAATGTACAATTATATATATATATATATATATATATACGTGTTTGCATACACACACATGTATATGTACATATACACACATACACTCAAGAAAGCTGCCGTGGTGTAGCGGCCAAACGCTTACATGTGGATCAGAAGGCCATAGATTGGACACCACAGCAGGCATGGGAGGTTAAGAACCAGAGAATCTTACCTCCATGACGACGCAGTGTTTGCTGGGAGGCCCTGACTGATAAAGGACTGGAATGGAGCAAAGCTAAAGAGACAACTGCTGACAGAGAAGTCTGGCGATCTCTCATTAAAACCGTTATACACCCCCTCCCCACAAACCTCCCCCTGTAGAGGAAGGGAGACTAAGTGAGTAGTAAGTAAATAAGTAAGAAGCTGTAGCAATACTCACGTGTATGGGTCAGTATATAGTTCTTCACTTGCCAGTTCAGGAACCTTGGTATTGGGTCGAGTCCAGTCCCAGTATGGTACACCAATCGGTGACCCACGTCGACGAAGAGCGTCTTCCACCTGCATGGACCAGAATTCTCCTATTAGATAACAATCTGTGACTAATCCTTCGTACAATGCTTTTTCGTCCTTTCTAGGATGAAATTTTTCGTTATTTGAAGCCCTACTCTGGCTCTTGCCAGGGGCCGCAATATAGCCTGGCCATAAATATGGCCTAATGGCTGAACGCAGTTTCTGGGACCTCTCCACGGTGATCCTCACCCGCATGGTGGCACATTGTGTCATCGGGTGTTTATCGCTTGTGTGATGTCCTGGTGGCGTAGAAAGTCAGTAAGTTAATCCTCCATACTGAGTGTCATGCCCTGTTTTGGGGCTGAGAGTCATGACATAACAATATCTTGTGGCAGCATCTGCCTAAATAATCGCAAGTTCTTCCGATTATACTCGCTTGGCCATGAGTACCCTAAGTTTATTTCTTCTCTCTTGACTGTTTATATTTGATACCGACTCTTTCTCCCAACTATCAAGTCGATGATTAGGCCGTTAAAGTACATTTTTTTTTTCGTGTTTATTGATCATTTAATCAAACAGAATAAAGTATCTAGTTGATAAGGAGACGTTCAATTCTCTCAGCTCTACACCTTTCCATGCAAGCTCCAGCCAGAGCACGGGCACATTAAGTCTACATACTAGTTCGGTAACACCATGAAGGGGGCACAAACAGGATGTGATACACATGATGTAAAAGAACCCAGACAACAAAATATGCAATATACTGATTAAAGCGCCACCTGTTCTCATGCATCGAGAGGTCCCACTCTCGAAAACTTTATAGAGTGGGCTGAGCAGTCCCCTATAGGCCTTACAATAACCCCCTTCTAACTATAAATATAAAGTCTCTGTTTTCTGTATCTACTATACATTTGTTTATTATTTCAAATTTGTTGTTGGATTTTTTTTTCTTTTCGAATTAAGCCCACAGTTGTTATTATTATTATTATTACCATTGTTATTATTATATTTGTATTGAAAATTTTGGTAATACTAATTTGGGCAAGGCTCAAGCCGACTGAGGTCACCCCCCCCCCACTCCACCCACTTTCTTTAAAATGTTAATATCTCAGCCCCTCCCTCCTTCCCCTAAAATAGTTACATTTTGTCGGCGTCCCTGCACAGAGATAAATCCCTCATGCACACCAATCTACATATTTCGTTCTTGCAAACAAACATTACCAAGGGAGAAAAACAGTTTCTTGCAGTAACGCCTTTTTTCCCAGGACAATACTTGATGCACATGCAAGGCTGGGTCAGCGTTCAATCACTTTTTTCAGTGCTCAATCATGACCTGGTAACATTCTTCTTCTTAGCGTTCATCGAGCGTAAAATGTTCAGGTTGTTTGTCCACTTCTGGACTTTGGTCTTGGTCCAGAACTGGAGTTATACAGATCTGGCTTATCTGAATGCTGACTGTTGGTTCCTCGCCTGACGGAAATATACAGTCCGACTTCGAAGCAAACACCTTTATGTAGACAACATAAATAAACAAACAGACAGTGTATTGATTGGTACTCATGGGAAGAAGTAGAAAGATAGAAGAACACACAAGACAATGTAGCCAATAGGTGGAAAAGGAGGTGGGCGTTAAAAGTGAAATGTTTCTTTATTTAAAGATATAACATTCTTAAAAAATGCATAATGGGGGAAAGGAAGTTGAAGGCAAGCGAGCAAGAGCTGGACATTGAGACAAGTGGAATTATAATATTAGAAATGAACCAAAAGCAGTCAGCGAGAGCATACAGTCATGGCTAAAGACAGATCGTGGTGGGAATCCACTGCAGCAACCCTCGTTGAGGAGACTACACCTGATTGTTAAATGAAACCAAAGTACCATTAGACTTTAAAGAAGACATTTAGTCTAAGTGATACTTGACCCCTGCCTGGTCAATATCTTTGAATCCACTCTTTGAGTTTGATGGAAGGGAATCACTTACCTGAACCACCAGAAGTCTATGCCAATGTGGGAAAGTAAACATCCCATGGAACGCAGCAGGCAAATCTATCTCTGGCTGTTGGAGTCGGACACTTTCCGGGGTCGCCATGAAACTCTGCAATAGCTTGGTACCCATCCACGCTGCGGTCTTTCTGTTAATATAAAGTTCTTAAATCATCATCATCATCCTCATAAGACACTTCGGGCGTTAAGCGGCGCGAAAAGGAACCTTCTGCGATCAAGTGCACTCTGGTTGGCACTAGCCAAATATTTGCCGTAAAGGCATAACGCGTCTTTAACGTTGTTGATCCCATTTTTTTTGTAGCCGTCCTCTTGATCTTGTAGCTGATCTCCTTTGAATGGAGCAGTTTTTCCGGCCCAGACTGATTTTATTAGTCATCTCTGATTCCACTATAAGCCAGACGTATTTAGACATGGCCGTCTATGAAAACAATAAAAAAAGACACAATCCTCAACTCTCTATTTTTGGTAAGTAGCATGGCGTTTTCCTGTTTTTTTTTCTGTTCTTTCTATCCCTTGCTTGTCAGTGGAGCATAGGCACCCAACCAACACATGCCAAGCTCTTTGTGAGCGTATTTATGATTGCCAGAATTTTCAGCTACGCTTATTTAAGGCTTAAGGAAATCCGTCTCCCTCCAACACTTACCAATCCTTTCTGACAGCATGCACGGTAGGTAAAGGTTTTACTATTCCTTGTTTTTGTGACATATTCATTACGAAGTGGTGATAGTAGAGTCAAGAATTTTTATTTTATTTTTTTCAAATGAGATCACATACAATATATCACACAATGTATCGAATGACGCATTTCACAGTCTCTTGTCAATTGCCTTGCTCCAGAATTTATATAAACATGTAATCAAAATTAAAAAAATGAATTCATTCATGAGAAATAGCCAAAAGCACAGTCCATTGTCACATCGCTCATCCCATCAAGGAAGTCCAAAATCAACTATGCGATCGTTTTATTTACATAGCACCGAAACGTCTATCCTTGTTCTGTCCACTTCAGCATAGCTCTAAAGACACATTTTCTCTGTGTGATAAATAACCCAAAATGCAAATTCCTATCAACTATTTGCTCAGGCTTTAACAGGTAGCATGGTAAGCAATAATTAATTCAATTGTTCAACGAAAATAGATTAATTAAAGGTTCACCTGAAACTTCTCCAAGGCCTCTCTGAGTTGGAAAATTTCTTCTCTTGTCAAGCGATCGACATTTTTGCGTACGGACACATCGTCATGGAATTCGTGCTCGTGGCCTTCTTTGTTATGACTAATGGGGGCTGTTGGGTCAGACAAAGGGGAACAGGTGTATATGTTACATTAGACAATAAATGACCGTGAAGTTATCTACACATATCATCATCGTCGCCATCATGTAGCACGTGATTTGGAGAACATCGTTCTCATCTCAGCCTGCCCGAAACAAACTCGGTCCCTTGCCAGATCTCCCTCTCGTACACACAAGGTGTCTCTTATATCTTGTGCTCATCTACGCACTTGTCGGCTCCTACCTCTCTTTACCGACACCATACTTTCTTTTACTATTCTATCCATTCCGCCGTAGAGCTTAATGTGGCTAAAATATTTATGTATCCAAGACAAAATGGTGTTTACGGGCCAATCCTCCTTGATGTCCAGATCTTTAAAGATGTCAGTGTTTCTATTCTTCTTGATTCATGGTGTTCTGAGAATCTCCGTATAGTGTATCAGTTCAAAAGCCCCTATTTTCTTTGTTAATGAGTGCGAGATGGTCCGCGACTCACGTCCGCATGTTGCTACAGGGAAGAACGATGCCCTCATCATTCTAACTTTGATTTGCTTAAAGGTTAAAGATCTACTTCACTGCACCGGGCTCTGTTTCATATCGCTCTGTCTCTCACCTTTAAAGGGTAGCCGCTGCAGAGGACGTCGCACAAAGCACGAGCTCCGTAGCTCAGACTATGATCCCTAAGAATGTCATAAAATTGTACTTGTTAAGTGAACGGCGCAGCCTGGAAACGAATCCACGACTTTTAGAGCGCAAGGCAAATGGCTCAGCCATAAAAGACCCTCCTCCTCCCCCTCTTCCCCCCCCCCCCATGACTTCATCAACAATTTTAGAGTTTCCTTGAGAAAACATTTTTACCTAGCGATGCACCGCTTTAAGGGATAAATAATTGTCCGCATAAACAGGAAGCAGCTCCTTATGAATATCCCTTGCAGGTAAAGCTTTAGCCCACCCCGTCACCCCTCTCCTCCAGAAAAAGCACGTTGTTCTGTGAGGGTATACTTCGTAAGTACAGTCGCTATTTTGTTCCTGTGTTGCGAATGCGCATGCAACACCTAGCGCCACATAACTAAGATCGACATAAAGTTTATAGTTGCTGTCACCTAATGACACCTTTAGAAACCACCAACTACATTTTCCGGACATCCCATAACCATTTGTGACTTACTTATTGACTTCCCTTTGTACTTTTTCCTCTTTTAGTGATAGACGTTGACTGATATGAAATTTGAATAGAAACAGTGGTTTATGAACTAGTGGAAGAAATGCATCGCACAACAGATAACCACTGACAGGTAGGGTGAAGAGAAGGAGAAGACATACATTGTGGGGGATAGTTGGAGACTGTCTTTATACATCAGTTGTTAGCTGCATTACCTCTATCCTTTACAGAAAGAAGTTTTGTTTGAATGAATGCATTGAATAGCCATGCCACATAATGCAAGAAATTAAACTGATAATTGAGGCACAAATTGTACACACATCTGTCTGTGAGAGGATGGATCCAGACAATCATAATTTTGTTGTAGTTGAATGAACAAGAAACGTATTCTGCGCGATGTGGTGCTCGAAGAGTTCCAGTATTTGTGTCACATTCTAATGCAGCAAGTCAGGAACGTATGACGAAACATCCACCAGCCTCGTATAAAATCAAACAAAAATTTCAAGCTTAGTCCTTTTTTAGCCGCCTGATGTCCACCAGCCTTCTGAACAACTGGTCTTCAGCAGAGGACGGCAACCAGAAACATCTGAAGCACTATTAACACGAACTTGCTGGAAAACATCCACATAAATCATTGATACATGACAAGGCAGATGTGGTCAAGGCCATTTGGGAACAAGCAGCGAAATCCGTAGAGAAACAAGATTATTATGGCTTGGAGAGAATGAGGCACCTGGGTGTAACCAGAGGGTATGGCGGGCTCACTACACTCAGAGGAAAGGCAAGGCGGATATTTAACCAGATTGTGACCAGTACCATGAGTACTGGAACTCTTCGCTGGCTGCTGAAGACGACGGAGCTCGCATGGGAATGTCCCGAGCTCTACGATGTCAATTCTTGACTCAACTTAACTTAACCCATTTAAATCAAAGTGTGAAATAACATAAAATAAACATTCACCACCAACTGGTAATTTAGTGTCTAAATATAAAAGTGATATTTAACACTGTTTTTCTTTGACTATATCTGCTGTTTTTCATTTGATGTTGGACAAGGCAAAACGGAGGAAAAGAATTCAATTTAAAAAAAAATTAAATAAATTACTTACGGTCAGTTTTACCAACAGCAGGTCTAAAATTGACAGTTGCCTGTGGAAGGACATCTGAAGGAAGCTGAGTGCCATTGATGTGGAAGATGTCCACAGCTACGTGGTAGTTTCCATCCAGGGGAAGACCCAGCCTCTCCACAGTTTTGGTGATCTCAAAGTGGAAGGGTCTGTTGAAGGACCAGGGCATCTCAAGGGAGCCTCCAAGGATGAAGAGGTCACCTGCATGTTCACACTGGTCATCAGTGTCGTGCTCACTGACCACATCCACGCAAACCTGTCCAGAAAAGAAGAAGAAGAAAGAAAGATGAATGAGTTTCCTTGGTGTTAAACATCCGATACTCGGCACCAAGAGGAGAGACCAGACGTACATATTGTGAGATTGCAACTGGCACCACTGGTATTGGAATTCTGCCCTGGCTGCTGAAGATGACGACTGAGCGCTTATGCGAATGCCTCAAGCGCTGTGATGTCGGTTCTCGAATCAGCGCAACTTAACGGAACTTTCAAACAATTTGTAAAACTGCTTAGTAGTTAAGCTATTAGTCCGTCAGTCAATAGATCGGTTGATCAGTTCATCTCTGAAGGCCGCCCGGCTCTCTAGCGTAGTTGGGTAAACCGGATTGTGCGTAGACCGGGTGACGAACTCCTGGTGGTCCGGGTTCAATCCCGGGGGTTGGCAGAAAAGCCACATTTTCTCCCAGATTTACGGTATTTACGATGGAATCAAGGCCGACAGGTTGCGATTTCCATAATACCCAGTCTTAGGGTTAACAACTCATGGCTTCTGGATACTAAAACAAACCTAAAAACAATCTCTGAAGGCCGTGTTTTCGTTTCCTGGATTGTGCCGTTCAGTTCAGTACTGCTGTGTTTATGGAAGTCTCCAAGGAACGTACCAGAATTTACTTTGTTTGATGCTGTCGGGAGGCGAATGGCTGTTTTCATTTCAGAGATTCATGATGACGTCAGAATAATCCTTGTGCAATGAAGCCAATCTTGTCGATTTCTTAGTGCCTGCATTAATACTTTCTTGTAAGTCCCGTGTTGTAATTTTTGGCTTTATAGATATTTTTGTCTTTTCAAGATTCGAAGATTATGGTTTTTCACTTTGAACCCATTTGAAAGTTAAAACAATGTTGCCCACACACGACAACAAACCGCACACTTCATGTGTGATCTTATTACGACAAAGAGTTGCTAGTCACTATATAATATGAACATCACATTCTTTGTAGATACAAATACAGTTGAGGTGGGAATGACGAGTTCTGGAAGGGTAGAGTGAAAGACGGGCCTACACGCCCAATTTGTGATCTCTGAGAAATAAAGTACAAAGTTTCATTTGCTCGTTTTACCGCCTACTCATCTGTCAGTCTGGCTTTGTCTCCATTGTCTGTCTAGTTTTCTGTATGACAGTCTGTCTAAAATTAAATCTGTGAATATTCCTCTCTCTTGATACCACATTTTGAGGGAGGAAAGGAGCCATCCAGTTTATTAGTCATGAACAGATTCAGAGCAGCGATGGCTAACATCTTCTGGACGAACATGGGCAGGTCATCATTCTACGTCTCAGAACATGATCAAACTTAACAAAAGATCAGCACAGACTTTATCTAAGTAGTTGACCATAGTGCCCATGTGGGCTGTTCGCACAGACTGCAGAACTTGTCCAGCTAGAATATCCCTTGTACCATCCGGTAGATAGGGGTGTTGGCCAAATGAGTCAGCATCGAACTCAAAATTGTACAGAAATAAATAGAAGCTTTAGTAAAAGGTCATATTATCACAAGTTATCACAGGTTAACACAAGAATTCGTTTGCCAGTGTAAGTCAGAGAAGCGGTTTAAAAAAAAAAAAACAGTTTAAAAGACAATAAAATATCAATGCTTATTGTTCGGCACTTCTCACTTACCTTTGGCAGCTGCCGTGGTGTAGCGGCTAGAGTCACACCGGCAGATCCGAATGTCGTGGGTTCAAATCGGCATTAAGCCGCATTTTTGTCAAAAGTGACAGTGGCTGGTAGGTAAACTTTACCCGGTAATGGGTACCAGATAAGGTCATGAGAAGTAAAGGCGGTCGGTGTTATGCTGACCACATCATCCACCGAGTGCCGACTGGGCTAAAACTGTAGGTCTGTCACTACATGTCCAATAAGCATCAAGACGTGGACAAACAAGAAAGGGTATCCTCTCTTACCTTGACCCTGATATCAGCTGACGATCCAATATTGTGAAGCCGGAAGTCGGCAAAGACCCTGTCATGTGATTGCCTTTCTCTGATGAGTTCAGCAATTTGTGCCGTGGTCAGCCCATTCAGTGTCAGGTCATCATATCTAAGCAACGATTAAAAAGCGCATTAACATTTCCGTGAACAGTTTCTTATACTAAGTGGGTACAATGGAAACTATGACTGTAACAAGGGCTTTAGCATGACTTGGTACTTAAAAGTTCACACACGTATGCATTCTTAGTGACTCGATGAAAATTCTTTAAAAAAATCCAAGCTGGATTTATCAGGCAAGAATGGATCGCAACACTAAGCACTTCACGAATATCTGTCCCAACCTTCATCTTTGTGCCAGGTGCTGCGGGTGTTTAAGGAAACGAACGTGCTGACTATCTTGCTGACACTGCGGTTGCTATGGCTGGTCCAGTACTGCACAGAAGTTCAGTTATCAATGCCATGCGCTGCACCTACTTACCGAGGAGCACGCCAAAAGACATGACTCCGTATCCCTGTCTAGACTGATGGACATGGGAGTGCAGCCTGGAGCTGAAAGAAATGAACATTTCGATAAGGGGACAAGACGTTTCATCAACCAACACAGAACAGGCGTGATCAGTCGTTTTACACTTGTGAAGTTTTTGCGGAGGAGATCGGAGCACCTATGAATCTGTCCGGAGTGCTGTGATGACAATCCTTTCTAATCACTAATCCCTTATACTAAGATGTCAGGTCACGCACTAATTAAACTCTTCTTCTCTAACCTGCACGTTCCGCTTCCAGTATCATTTGTCGATTTTACACGATTACATGACCTCGGAGTGATGGCTGGTAAAGCAAGTCGTGCCATCTTAGAGGCCAAGTTAATCAAACATTAGAGGAACTTTGCGGTTTCTGCTGGGTCGGTGGACTGTGCATGCATAGAAATGTCCATCCTCCAGTGGCATCGGTTGTAAAACATGCAAGAATACGAAGTAACTTATGTGTTGGAGCAAAATATGAAAACTAATATAAAAGCACAGAAAAACAAAGAAGGCAGCCCTTTACGACATAGATGAAAACTACAGTGATTAGACATGGTACATATCATGCTTTTGCATGCAACCGGATAACAAAAAATCAGAAAAAGAGTGTGTGTGTGTGTGTGTGTGTGTGTGTGTGAGTATGTGTGCGTGTGTGTTTATGTGCCTGTGTTTATGAAAATATCATGGGGAAGAAAAATACAACATACTTGTATCCAAAGACACCAGGATTTGCTGCTTGCCACCCACTGCTGTACTTTTTAGTAAGAGGGAAAGGGTTCGAATCCCGACTGAAGGGCTCCAGAGGGGCCAAGATTCCCTTGATGTCGCAGATGTCCATATCATCCTTAACTGCGTATAGAAGAAGAATTTTTCTCGTAATTAAAACGTCATCTGTGGTTCCAGCATTAACAAACTACCTTTATCTCTGTAAGAGAAAATCCCCTCAATGAATCGATCAGGCAGGCAATCAATACATTTGCATAATTTTCTCTTTTCACAGCACGCCTAACGGCGCTGCCCGGGCAACATTTGGAGTAAACAATCCACCCAAAGTATTTCAGGATCCTCGCCGGTGCTATGGAGTTCGTGCACTGTGCTGAGATTCTTCGGACTCAGGTTTGTGTTAGAAGTAGAACGGAGCACTTATGGGTTGTTATCCTTGTGCTATTATGTTGATCCGTCGTCTAAACATAAACATAAACGCAAATTCTGCAGCCCTGTCTGCTAATGAATCTTCAGTGTCATCTATCCACATCAGTGGAGGTCGGCCTCTGCACTTCGTTTTCCAGAAACTGTGTCCTATATAACTGCTCTTTCCAGCCCACCATGTCGTGTGACAGACCCAAAATACCTGAGCTCAGCTTTCTGAAAGTTATGCTGTTTATGAGCCAGTTCTCCTTGATGTTCAGATCATGCAGGATTTTGACGTTTTTCTTCATCTTGGTCCACGGTATTCTCATAATTTTTCTGTCTCATTTCATTTCAAAAGCTCCGATTTTGTTTCTCAAAGACTGAGTGAGAGTCCACGAATCACATCTATAGGCTGCAACGGGAATGATGCATTACTTCTCCTAGTAAAATCTAACACAAACCAAGCTGGGGTTAGTTCTGCAATGTCATATTGTACATTTTTTCTCTTACGTGTACCATTCATATCATGTAACTGACACCCACATTTTTTGTCTTACGTCTACCATTCATATCATGTAACTCACACCCACATTTTTTGTCTTACGTGTGTCATTCACATCATGTAACTGACACCCACATTTTTTGTCTTACGTCTACCATTCACATCATGTAACTGACACCCACATTTTTTGTCTTACTTGTGTCATTCACATCATGTAACTGACACCCACATTTTTTGTCTTACGTGTGTCATTCACATCATGTAACTGACACCCACATTTTTTGTCTTACGTCTACCATTCACATCATGTAACTGACACCCACATTTTTTGTCTTACGTGTACCATTCACATCATGTAACTGACACTCACATTTTTTGTCTTACGTCTACCATTCACATCATGTAACTGACACCCACATTTTTTGTCTTACGTCTACCATTCACATCATGTAACTGACACTCACATTTTTTGTCTTACGTCTACCATTCACATCATGTAACTGAAACCCACATTTTTTGTCTTACCTGTACCATTCACATCATGTAACTGACACTCACATTTTTTGTCTTACCTGTACCATTCACATCATGTAACTGACACTCACATTTTTTGTCTTACCTGTACCATTCACATCATGTAACTGACACTCACATTTTTTGTCTTACCTGTACCATTCACATCATGTAACTGACACCCACATTTTTTGTCTTACCTGTACCATTCACATCATGTAACTGACACTCACATTTTTTGTCTTACGTGTACCATTCATATCATGTAACTCACACCCACATTTTTTGTCTTACGTGTACCATTCATATCATGTAACTCACACCCACATTTTTTGTCTTACGTGTATCATTCATATCATGTAACTGACACCCACATTTTTTGTCTTACGTGTATCATTCATATCATGTAACTGACACCCACATACGCGACCTAAATCTCTACCCCTCCTGCCCCAATCATGGTCCATTTTTTTCAATAAATTTGTAAGATTGGTAAGCAATCGCATTTAATCATTAAAGAAACTCTCTTGAAAAGTTTTCAGTTTTATACTTTGTAGTATTTACAATATATTCTTATGTGTTTTCTTTTTTTTTTTTTTTTACCATTCAGCACATTATTTCTGTATCTTCTGCTTTCTTATTCTCCCATGGAGCATAGGCTGTCAACCAAGTTACACCAACTCGACCTATGTTACCCACATCACCTACCAAATGCCTATTGGTCAATAAAATATAGGTCTAGCCCTATTTGCCCAATACGATTCATGGGTGGCGAGAGGTTGTTTACTTTACTTTACTTATACATCTATCATATATCTCACCTCAGCCACATCTGCTGTCTATCCTACCACACCCACATCGACATATATAATTTTTTTTCTTACCTGGGGGTGCGAGTGGGGGGGGGGGGGATGGGGGATGTCACAGATGGCGACAGTAGAAGTCGCGTCTTTCACTACGCTTGAATATTTCGTCTTGGAATGCAGTGTTTGCCGACAAATATTTCCCTGCATACATCGTTTAGGACATGATATAATCAACTGTGTGTGACTTCTCCAGGATCCTCGCTGATGTCACGGAGTTGCGTGCACTGTGCTGAGATTCTTCTAAGTAACGTTTGTGTCTGTGTTTGCATCACCCTGGAGTCGTCAGCATAAACCCACTAAGAAACATATTTAGGAGAAGATCTGAGCACTTATGGGTATGCCCGACTATCAATGAGGACGATCTTGAGATGAACAATAAACAGTAAACAACTCTTACCGGGGATTCCTCTGTACTTCTGAACTTCCCGGTACACCTGAACCAGACGTTCAATATTGGAGTGATGCAAGAAGAAGATAGGATCGTACAGCGAGTAGTCGAGGCTGGACAAGGAGAATGGGCTACGACCTCCAACCAAGGAGTGGATGTAGTTGTGGGACACCTCAAACTGAACCTCAAACTGGCAGAAGGTCGTGTACTCAAATGCATGCAGCACATGTTCGAAGAGATCTGTGTGTTCTCCGGCATTTACCTGAGTAGATAGATTATGTGTGTATCATTATACACATAATAGTAACAACTGTATACACAAGGGAGATGAATGTTCATACACCACGAGGCAGAAAAAGAAGAAGACGGAGAGATAATGTCCAGACAGACCTGCAAACACTTGGTGTCACCAACTGGAAAGAGAAGGCCAACCAGAGAGATGACTGGAGCCGGGTGATATCTGCAGCAATAAGCCCCAAGGGCTCAGAATGCTGAGCATTAGGTGCATATGGTTCAAAACAAATACAAAAGAATGAACAGCAAACGGGATAAGATCAACAGAGGTGAAGACATAACAGAAATGTCTGAGCACACCCTTTTATCAGCAGTTATAAGACAGAGAAAATTGGGCTATATTGGGCCCATTCTGTGAAAAGACTAATAGAGAATCACCAGACACTGAAATGGGATATAGATAGACTGAGAAAACGAGAACGTTAAAGAGAATCCCCAACGCGAACGTTGATGAGAGAAGACAAAGGTATGTTGTAGACTGGAAGGATGTAGTTTCGTCGCCCAGCTTCTGAGTTGAGTGCATGGCGTGACACTGTGAGCTGCGTTTGTTTTTCGTTGGCACAGGAGCGGAGCATGTGTGGGGTGACCCGTTTGCTATGAAGCTGAAACTAGGATTACCAGATTACCAGATTACCAGATGGGACTGGATTCCCTTCATGACTGCACATGATAGAATGGAATAGAGGAATAGACTACAAGCTCATGTAACATGAACTGGCACAACAAGACAATGAATGAGTGAGTGAATGAATGGATAAATTAATAAATAAATGAATCAATCAATCAATCAATCAATCAATCAATCAATCAATCAATATCTTTTACATCTTGTGAAATACTGATCCGCAACACTTGTTGGTTGTTTCAGTTTTACAATGCAATTATTATGTACAGTAAATTGCCATTGTAATTAAACGGTCGGTTGTAGATATTATTGTGGGAAATCTATGGTCAGCGCTCTGCTGCTAAATCTTTTGAAATTGGAACTGAAAAGGGTATCTCGGAAGTACAAACCACGTTCACAACCTATAAGCTGCAGAAGCAAACTATATCAGATACCACACACTGAATGGTTTATACAGTAATATTATGACAGATCTTGAGGTGAATGACTGCGCTGTATTCTGATAGACCACCAGAAGAGAGTACAGTCATACGTGCACCGTGAAAATAGAAACACTGAGAGAGATCTAGAAGCTAATGGCTTTGAGATATCACTGACTGGTTAAGATCTGATAACACTACACCATATCCGAAACCTGGTTTAGCGGCCTATCGTTTGTTAATCTCTGACGGTCAGCGGCACAAATCAGAAAGTGACTGACGAAGAAAGGAAAAAAGAGGTTTATACTTAGAACATTGATACAAATGTAACTTTAATGTACATGATAGGGAGTCCGTCTGTTGTCTAAATGGGTGCTTTCCTAATATCCTACCCCAAACGGAGAAAATCAAAAGGTTACGGGACAGTCTAATATTTCAGGGTGTGGCAGATAGGCTGCATGCAGTCGTGGGACCTAGGCTGCACTATCTCGTGGGACGTATGTGGGTTGGGGTTATGTTATGGCCAGTTCTAGATGTTTTGGGCTCGTTAAGAGCACCAGAAAGCAGGGAAACTCAATCTTACGTCGTTCTAAAATGTTGAACTGTCCTGTGACGTCATGTGGGGTAAGATAATAAGAAAGAACCAATAGATGTGTCGGCATAGCTTGATGGTGACTGAAAACTTACTGAAACTATAGAGATGGTGACGGAGCATGTTTTCACTGAAAGTCCTATATAGACTGTATAGGAAGAGAAAATTTCCAGAAGTCAGGAGTATCGGTTCGTTTGACACAGCTTACTGACCTTTTGATATAGGCGATCGTCAACTGCTCGAGATGTGTGGTACACTTTATCCCCGATGTGGACATCACCTTGGTACCAAGGGTTGTTCAAGGTTTTACCTCCAGCAGGATTAGGTAGAACACTGCCTCTGACTAGCTCTGGCAAGTCGTGGAGCTCCTGAGTCCAATCCCAATAGGGGACACCCGTAGGTAGACCTTCAATAGACAATTATAGCAAAGTGGTTTATGTATTCACTGACATACGATGTGGTCGGTAGATCCGTTGGTTAGGTCGGTCGTCGGTCTATTGGTCGGTCAGTTAGGTTGTCTGATGGTTGGTCAGTCAATTAGTCGGTTAATTGTTTGGTCGGATGGTCAGTCAGTAGCCGGTTAGTAAGTCATTTGGTCGGTCGGTTAGTTGTTCGTTTGCTTGGTCTGTCGATCGATCAAATTGGCAGTCGATTGTTATTGAGGTTATCGTTTTTAATGATATCAACACTCAGATGGTGGGTAGAAACAAAAAAGACTGAAACAACAGCATGAATAATTTATTACCTTGCATATTTCGTTTTATTTGCTTTATCTTAATGAATATCAATGTAGTAAATACATGATGGAATACAGCGAAGTATGACAGCCAGTAAACAATAAACTATGCAATCTATTGTTTGTGTCGGCTTTGTTCAAATTCACAAAGCAAAAAGTTAGCATGCTTACAGTAACTGAGTAAACGAAACGAAGAAAAAAAAATTCAATAATTTTAAAGACATTTATTTCCCGTTTAGATAGTCATCTTCATCAATAGTTTCCTGTGATGTATATGAACATAATATTTCATTGTATGCGGGATAAATTATTAAAATATTCACCACGCATCGCTGCACATAAGAACTGATATCCAAACAATCTCTACACGTATGTCAATTATCGTAGTTTTTAGGGGTATATAAATAATAAGTCAAAAGAAAAAAGATCAAAGACATTCGTCGCTAAAGGAAAACAGCAGCCCCTGCGCAATCGTAGTGGCCTAGAGATATGACAATAACCTCAAGGACATCTATGTCAAGAGTCAGTTACGGTCTACTTCAGAGTCCTACTTCGGCACGGTTTCATGCCACAGACCTGTATGTATGACTTGTCCATGTGTGGTTCAGGGAGCAAGTCTGGAATTCCAGAATGCCACCTCTCACATACGTGAAGATTTCTTCTGCACGAGCCGCAATCTCATTTACACCATCAACTGCAAGAGATGTGGCATGAAATAAAAAAGCGGAACGGCTCTACGACTCGCTCACAGGTTCAGACAACGTCTTCTAGACGCACAGAATGGTGACTTGAAACAAGCACCATTTCACTTCAATTCTCAGGATTACCACAGTGACCACGACATGGAGATGGCGGTCATCACACCTAGCCACTCCAGCGACAGAGTCCACAAGTCTCTTGAAAATCGATTTTTTTTTTCACTGTGCGCACTTTAACACTTTGAGGACTGAACTGCCAACAAAGTTTCATCTAAAATCCTAGGTGATTGAACTGCCCACACAGTTTTATCTGAACCCCTACAGTTACGGCCCTGGTATTCCAGGGGAGTACTTTTTCTCCTGTCCCACGTGTCTCCTCAGTCTACTGACAAAACATCGACCTGGCCGCTTCAAGATACAAAGCTAAGTGATTTTGTGTATTTGTATTATATTGTTTTATTTATGTATGTGCTGATAAAGGCTCCATAGCCACAACGTTAAAGTTTTGTTTGTGTTCGTTATATTGTGAAGCTCGCTGATATACTTTTTGTTCCGTTTTATATATGTTCTCGACATGAGTAATCTAAAGACATATGAAAACATTCTTGTTTATCTTTACAAGACTTTTCGAGATATTTATAACAGTGCGAAGGCACGAATTTTGAAACACACTATAATATTTCAACTTACCCTTTTCTATCAACGCCTGCTCAATCTGGACAACAAGAAGGCTGTGCCAAATGGGAAAGTTGGGACTGCCATGGACACAACAGGCCACATCCTTGTTGCCATGCTTACATTGCGGCGGATAGCCGTGGTAGGCGGCTATAGCATCAAACCCTTTCGATGAGTTGTCTTTTTGTAGTTCTCTGAGAGCCGTCTGCAGGTTAAAGATATCCTGAGTTGTGAGCCGGTCCACATTCTTTCTAATCACTGCAGCGCCGCCTAGGTAAACCTGCGCATGAATGATTAGAAGGTGTTATCGATTTATGCTAACAGAATCAGTCGAACTGCTGTATATGTGTGCAAAAGTTAATTAGTTAATTTATCACAAGATCATGCTCATTGAGAAAGCTGCCGTGGTGTAGGCGCTAGACGCTTGCCTGCACATCCGAAACCCGTGGGTTTAGATTCTGATGGACCGAGACATATTTCTTTTTCCAGAAATGATCTTGGATTCCATGTCGACGCAGCCTTAAATTGGTACCAGATGAAATTATGGGAAGAATAAGCGGCCGGCGTGATTTGACCACATCACCCATCTAGTGATTGGTAAAAAAGAATTTAGGTCTAGCCCCATATGCCCAATATCTCTGACAGTATAACGCGTGAAACAGAGACCTTTACTTTACTTGTTATCCTCATTTCCCATCGAACCATTCAGTCAACAGGTGCTCGGATCTCCTTCTCAGAAAATCCTGCAGTCTAAAGCGGCTGACAACACCAGTTCCGTGTTGGTTTATTCTTCCATTTTGACCTCCTGCGTTGTTCTCTTGTCTGGCCTTTATGTTTTTTCAGTGCAATTACGGTTAGTTTATTCTCGTTATCCTGTGACTAATGCTAGAAGCCAGGCACATTAAGTCTGTTTCTGGCAGAAGTTACGGGAACACATGTAGTCTGTTTCAGGTAGAAGTTATGGGAACACATTTAGTCTGTTTCTGGTAGAAGTTACGGCAACACATTAAGTCTGTTTCAGGTAGAAGACACATTAAGTTTGTTTCCGGTAGAAGTTACGGGAACACATTACGTCTGTTTCTGGTAGAAGTTACGGGAACACACTAAGTCTGTTTCTGGTAGAAGTTATGGGAACACATTTAGTCTGTTTCTGGTAGAAGTTACGGGAACACATTACGTCTGTTTCTGGTAGAAGTTACGGGAACACACTAAGTCTGTTTCTGGTAGAAGTTATGGGAACACATTTAGTCTGTTTCTGGTAGAGGTTACGGGAACACACTAAGTCTGTTTCTGGTAGAAGTTATGGGAACACATTTAGTCTGTTTCTGGTAGAAGTTACGGGAACACATTACGTCTGTTTCTAGTAGAAGCTGTGGGCAGTGGGAACACTTTCAGTCTGTCAGCTTCAAAACCACAGTGTCAACACCGAATGGGCGCTGAAGTAGAAAGCTTTCCTCGCCAAACAAGAGTAGCTGTTCGTGATTGTGGTATTCTGATGCTGGTTAGTTATTTTGCTCATTCGGATTGACGCTGAGTTAAGTGCACGGTAACTACTGACATGAATCTAGCCATTTGAGGTTTCGTGGAATTGGATGTGAGTCACGGAACTATGTGTTCCAATTAATATATCTCGTAACACCTGGGAAAACCCGTATCTCTATACACCAACTATAATTGCGTTTATCAATTTGCGTGTAAGTGCCAGTTGATTTATATTGGTCGAAGGGAGAGACAGACTTAAATTAGAGTGGCCGAACATATCCCTAAATAACTTCATGCACAACTGAGTGGAGATCCTGTTTCAAAATTAGCCAAGAGGAGAAAACCCAGTTCTTCGATACGATGTCCTTTGCTTGACTCTGTACAGCTAGTTTTTAGGGATTGTGCCTTCAGAATTTTATATCACACATTGAATACACATTTCTTGAAACTGACCGTATCTATAAAACTGAATTCTGTGCTATGTAAACAAAAAGAGCACGTGATAAATTTGAAGCTACCGACAAGGCTGATGTTGCATTTTTAGTGGTGAGATGTACAATCCAGTTTGGCATTGTGGTTTGCCCGGCTCTGTAGCGTAGTTGGCTAAACCGGATTGCGCGGAGACCGGGTAACGAACTCCTTGTGGTCCGGGTTTAATCCCGGGGGTAGGCAGGAAAGCCACATTTCTCCCAGATTTACGGTATTTACAATGGAATCAAGGCCGAAGGGTTGCGATAATCATAATACCGAGCCTAAGGGTTAACAACTCATGGCTTCTGGATACTAAAACAAACAAACAAACAGCAATGTGGTTTATGCATATCAGCGAAACGGATTCATTGTTGTGCTTCATTATGTTTATTCTTCTTCTTCTTCTTCGCGTTCACCAGCTGTGAACTCTGGCGGAAGGTTCTGGTAACTCATCCACTACTGAACTGCAGTCCTGCTCCAGAACCTGAGTGTTGCGTGTGCATCAGCTTTACAGATCAATTCTCTTGAATACAGACTGTTGGTTCCTTGCCTCTCCGGCAGATGCACTCCGACTTCAAGAGAAGCTCCCTAATTAGTCGACTCTTACGACATGCTTTTAGAGAGGCAGTGGATCTTTTCTTGTTTTCTCCACAATGGGGCCCCGGAACCCACACGGGGGATTATGTTTATTATGTTAATGTTTATTCACGGATCAGCATCATGGCACACGGGTGTAACCCATAAGTGCTACTTTCTACTTCTACTTCAAGCCTGAGTCTGAAGAATCTCAGCGCAGTGCACAAACTCGGTTGCACCGGCGAGGATCCTGAAATATTTTGGGAAGATTTTAACTCCAAATTTTGCCCAGGCAGCGCCGTTAGGCTTCTTTTTTCGATGTCCAACTGCCAAATGATTTTTTACATGCTCAAGAATACAAACTCTTACAACCTAGAGACTAGAGAAAATTACTAGAAGTCCTGAGACCACAGCTCCATGATACTTTTCGGGGTGGGGCTTAAGGAGCGTGCGCCTTACTTGATTGCGCAATAATAATAGCAGATACTTATGTTATTATGTGCTTCTTGGCAAAAAAATATAATAATTCATTTCAAATAATATACATTTGTGAAAACACATATTTAAAATGAGAACGCATACATATAGTGCAATGGACAAGTTAGCCCCCATACACAATTTAGGGTAGAGGGGAAGAACCGAGATCGCTCAACCATCCTAAAAATTGGTGGGTGGGGAGGGGGGAGGGGTGGGGGGAAGGACGCTCAGAGACCCTGAGCGCCCAGGTTCAGGCGCCTATGGTTACATCCCATCTTGAAACAGAGGGCATACGAATGTCACTGCGAAGTAAAACAGTGACGTAGCTCTAGTCCCCCTCGCCACTAACAGATCAGTTCACGGGTTGAAATCCTGGCCCTGAGAGAACAGATACACTATCTGTTAAACCACCTTACCGAGGGTTCGATCCCGGGTCTATCGTGTAACAAGGCATATTGAAATAAACTAAACACAGAAACTCACCAGAAAACCACAGAATACCACCACCAGATGTGGCGAAGCCATCGGATTGTTTGTTAAAATGACCATTGCTTCGTCCAAAGACTGGACGGAAACAACAACTTTTTATGTAAGGACTAGTATTTATAACAACTCTGGGTAGAGGTCAGTAGGTCATCGTGACTGACTTCCCACAACCAGATCATATTTCAAGTGATAAATTCGCAGAGAAATCTGGGATGAGCCCAGTGACAGTGCACTAAAACAAACAAGACCAATAAGATCTAATGATTATGTCATCAATTAGTCGTTTCCGCCATTGTTTCCAACATCTATCGGATATAACTTCACGTTAGCAAAGAAAATAATTGTGTTATATCTGGTTATCTCTCTATTTATTAGTGGGTATCTTTCCATCTTTCCAAAGTATGGCCAGAAAAGTAGAATGTTCTATGGGCCTGCGTGCCTAATTCCTAACCCATTGATAGTACAGTTTGTTCGTTCTTTCGTTGCAGACGATAGTTTTATATTTTGCAATAAGGAGGGATGGGATCACAGCCTATAGCGATGCCGAATGTGTCACCAAAAGCTGGAAGCCAGGACAATGTTGTGAAGACTTTGTGTTGCCCACCTAGGAGGTTTCCTCTGGGTCTGCCTTGCAAAGTGAGATAGAAAACATGAAACATGACATTAAACTGACAAAACAAAACTTCTTGTTTTTAGTGTTTACTGGTTGCAATCTCTGGCGGAAAGTTCTAGTTGCCCGTGGCAATTTAGCTTGTTTTCTTCCAGAATTTAAATTTTATGTGCACATCCCTTTTCACAAATGTGGCTTATGTATAAAATATACGCAGAAATAACAGACTTAAGGCAAGATATAAGTCAAAACAGTATAACAGATGGGACTCGGTGTAATTAAAGAAGACAATACAAAACAAGACAAGAACAGAAAACATGTTGCTGCATTAGAATTTTTGAATATAATAGTTTTACCGTGTGATATAAACAGACATGGAATATTGAGTGTTTCCACAGAACCTGTACTGGCTTGTTGTTCATTTTTTTTTTTTCAACACCAGGAAAGTGCTTGGAAAGAAAGGACAGACAAAAAGTAAAATAGTAATTGCAGACTGTAATTACCACTAAAGCGATGTAGGTGAGGGTGCGTGGGGAGAGTGGCACGGGATCTTTGGTCCTGTGGATTAAAACCTGCATGGCTAGTGAACTCGCCTCAGACTTTGCAAGTTAGGATTTATTTTAATTGTATGTCCGAGGCAGCTGTCGGCAGTTGGTTTAGGGGGTCCTGTAGCTTCTTCTTCTTCTTCGCGTTCACCAGCTGTACACTCTGGCGGAAAGTTCTGGTTGCTCGTCCACTACTGAACTGCAGTCCTGCTCCAGAACCTGAGTGTTGCGTGTGCATCAGTTTTACAGATCTCATTCTCTTGAATACAGACTGTTGGTTCCTTGCCTCTCCGGCAGATGCACTCCGACTTCAAAGAAAGCTCCCCAATTAGTCCACTCTTACGACATGCTTTTGGGGAGGCAGTGGGTCTATTCTTGTTCCCCCCACAATGGGGCCCCGGAACCCACACGGGGGGGGGGGGTCCTGTAGCTGATTAACTTGATTGTGGAAGAGGCATTGGTTGTCGGCGAATCGGAGTTTGTTAAATTGTTCCTGTTCATGCATAGCAGGTGACATTTTGTAGATAACGTCCATGAATATGATAACAACCAAATTTGATCAAACACATCTTTGCCTGATGTTGCTGGAAACCAGTCTGTAAGGCATTGCTTGTTGTGACGTCACTTTTACTT